CTTATCTAAAAAATCAGTTAGAATATAGTAACGTTAATTAGCCGCGTTTTCGGTATCCCCTATAGGAAAGTATAAAGTATCTAAGTCGTAAGTAGGTTTTAGAAGTACCTTAATAGGTGTTTTATTAAATATAATATTACGCGATATAATAATCTTTCTTAAATATATATTATATAGCCGATAATTACTAGCTTATAAATAGCCTACTAGGCGAGCTTCTAATATATAAGGAGAGAGCTTTAACTAGCGTAATTCCTTAGGAACGAAATACTATACCTAGTAGCTAAGTACGCGTAGATTTAATATATTTAGTTTCTTTCCGTAGAATCGTTCGTATAGAGTTATACTAATCTTTAAATACTAAAGGCGATTTATAGTAAAATTAATACTAAGAAGTAGCTTACCCTAAGGTATTTAGGTAGCTAATTTTCGGTTATAATAGCTATAAGGGGCTTAATAAGCTATCGATTTTTTACTTTAGCTAGACCGTTATACTACTTTATATATAGGGGGATAGGATCCTAGGTAATACTAGCTAACTTACAGAAATTAGCGATACCGGCGTATTCGCCTATATTATCGCCTATAATTAATTTTACTTTATAGTCAAATTACTATTTTAAATACTAAATAACTTCCTTAACCTTCTTAATAATTTAGTCCTTAGACCGTAGTAAATAGACCTAATAGAACCGGGATATATTATCGGTAATAGTGACGAAATATCGATAATCTCTAGTTACGGAGTAGGAAATTGGACCCTAAATATTAATATATAGGCGATCGCTAGGTCGAGTTATAATTAGATTTCCCTTATTAAAAGGAAGCGTATAGCCCTTACCTTAAATATAAGGACCGTAAGGATATTTAATTCTAGTCCCCTTAATAAAGCTAATTCCTTCCGAAACAGATAGTATTTTAGATACTTTTTATTTACCTACGTAATAGGCGCGGCGATAAGCTAGATCTATAGGAATAGGCTTAGCCTTCGAGTCCTTAGAGGTTAAAGCTATAGCCGTATTCGAGTCCGTAGCTATATTTATATTCGAACGCGCGAAAGATAGCTATATTATAGGTATATACGCTATAGATATATAAAGCTTATTAAGTTAACCGCTACTATTATAAGTAGTAAGCTAATATTAGCCTCGGCGGCGTTCCGCGTATATAAGGATAGTATCTTAACTATAAAGTAATCTAATAGTTCTAAATATAGAAGTAATACTATTATTATTAGCTAACTTCGTAGCTAAAATAAGGTTATAAGTAAAGGATAATATATACTATACCTTCTAAAGGACTACCGTAGAAACTTTAGAAGTTTTAGTATTTAATAGGTTTAAGTAGATATCTCTGTATCTCTCTATAACTACTTTAGAGCTATCTAGAAGACTAACGCGAATATAGTATCTTTTAAAGGAAACGAAATACGACTTAAAAGGAGTTATATAATTACTTACGCTAGAATTAACTATCTAAATATATTAATTTTTATCGTTTTAAACGCTTATAACGGTAGTAGATATAGTATTTAGGAAGAAACGGTCTCTATTAAATAAGACGGTAGATATAGTAGGTATCTTAACGGCTTTCTAGTCCTTTTAGCCCGAAGTAGTAGCCGTAGCTATAGATATAGATATATTAGATTTATCCTTCTTAGATAGACTCTTATAATTCTTCCTCTTTAGATTCTTAAAGTATTCGGTAGTAGTATAATTACCCTTCTTCATATAAATAGTATACTACTTATTATAACTCTTTAAATCCTTTTCGGTTAACTTCGAATCATCCTTCTTTTTATCCTTTAAATAACCCCCCTTTTTAGTAGAGATAGATATAGCCGAATAATAATAGCGAGATGATTTAAATAATAGTAATTATATAATAACCTCTTCTAAGACGCGCTTACTATCTATATTAGGCTAGAGCCGAGTAACTAAAGATTTAGTAGTAGGGTACTACTTAATAGTAAATATAAATTAAGCCTATTACTATATAATATAAATAGGATATAGCGTTAACTTCTATACTTCTTATAGGAGATTCTTCTACTTTATAACGAAGGTAGCTACGTTATCCCCCTTACGATAGTAGAAGATATTCTATTTATTATACTTTTACTAAAAAAGCTATAGATTTTTCTGACCCTATATTTCACAGATATAATTATATACGGATAAGGCTATTTCAAACGGATTAAGGAAGGTCTTAATAGACTTATCTAAGGATTTAAGTAAGAAGTAAAGATAGCTACCGTTTAGCTTCTTCTAGTCCGCGAAAGTCTTATTCTTTTCGTAGATATTCGTACGTATCTAAGCTTTAATCTAGCTATACGATATTTTATTAGGGATAGTTCCTTTATCGGTAGTAATATTAAAGCGGACTTCTTCCTCAGAAGGGATCTAGAGGTAATTACTTATTAGTAGGAGGACCTCTCTAGTTATTATAAGCTATAGCTCTAGGTCTTAATATTCGAGGAAGTATTAAAGACTTTTTCGCTAGATAGCAAAGTTAGACTCCCTCTTAAGGATCGCTTTAATATAATCGTGGCTCTTTATATTATATCCGTTAAAGGTAATTCGTTAAAGTCCTGTTACGGATCTATAGTCCTTCGGTGGGCTCGTAGTCCTAGGCTTCGTAAGGTGATTAGACGCGGAGTCCTCGGGTTAGACGCGGAGTCCTTAGGTTAGACGCGGAGTCCTATAGGTACGGAGCCCTTTGCAGCCGTTGAATAGCTGTAAAAAGGAGATAGACGCGGAGTCCTATTGGACGCTAGGTCCGTTACAGCCGTTGATTAGCTGATTCAGAAAGACGCGGAGTCTTAGCGATTTTGCGGTTGCGAAGGCTGTTTTTCGTATTCGAAAAGCGGCGCTATAGGATGGCAAAGGTATGCGAATACCCTTACTAGCACGCTAAAACAGGGCTTATAACCTATTTGTAGTTGATCTACAAGAAGGAGAAGAGAAAGGTGAAAAACGCAACTTGATTGGTAAAAAGAAGATAGGAGGAAGTGAGGCTATCTAATGTGGGTTGTGGGTCCCTCGGTGGTGAGTCGGCAGAATCATCCAAACAATATACCCCTTTTCTCAGCTCCCTGCCTTGCAGCTATGTGCGAGGGACCATCATGATGATATTCAACAAGGCAACTTGCGACAAGCAATAGGCTGTTCCACGGGTGTCCTTAGGTTGTCCACCTGGCTAGGACCGAAAAGGTAAGGTCAAGTGATTTACATATTTCTTACGGAGGTCGTTTCGAAAGTGTTCGACTCACAATATAAACTACTATTCCGCCTTTACTTTCCGATTCAACACTGCGAAATTTCTGAGTTGGCGGTCTAGCACTTACCCATCCCCTGAAATTAAGTCACCAGCCCTATAGAATCTTTTCTTAAACTTGATCCTTAATATTTCTATAGGACCATAATTATATATAATATTATGATATAAATACAAGTGGTCAAGGATAGAAAACTCCTGAATGAGTTTTTGGGATTCTCGGCCGGGAAGTCAGTGGGCGGTAAGGAGTACCAAAGAAAATAAGTAGTTCCGTCTCTTGGCAAGTACACCCACTACATACATCGGTGATGACAATCTGAAAAATGTCAAGCCCGATGAGCGAGATACAACGACACACATTAATGATTGTTTGATCATTTGATGATACACTTGCAGTGTTCGTTATCTACTGGACCCCTGACCACTCCCCACATCGACACTGGACCCTGTACGTCCTGATCCAGGTAGTAGGTACTAGGAGTAGAAAGTCCTATGAAGAAGCATCCGACTAGCGCTGCGACCGCCATTCACCCGCCTGTCTAGCGGGATCGGTGAGCAAAGGGAACTCGTCGACCCGATGCGCGCATGACAGTACTTGATCGGGGAAGCGATCCAGCCCCCGAGTGCATGCAGATTGCAAAGTACCGTGCAAGTACCGGGGGGCTTGCGGTGGGCCAACCTTGAAGCTTGCCTGGTGCTGAAGGTCCACATGTGTACCCCAAATGCCTATCGGCCGCTCGGTCCATCGGCAACGATCATCGAAGTATTCTGGGCCCATCGAAAGATGCACGCTGCAGCTGGGCTACTGGGCAGTAGTGGTGACTTACAGGACATTTCCTCCTCTCTATGTCAGTCCTCGAACGACCGTACGGGTCACTGGCTACCCAGGAGTACCTTGTAAGGATTCCCCGTGATGAGCGCATCTCCTGCTTCGATAGAACGTGTCATATTATGATGATAGTAGTCAATACCCAGTCGGCCCGGTCTGACCCAGGTTCAACCCCAAGGGAACCAACCTTCCAGGAAAACTGGAATGATCAACGATTGAGCCAGACGCCGTATCACTCTCCCTTCAAGTGGAGTCAGCCGCAAAACCGGGTTTCTCCCATGAAGAAACTGGCCAAAGTTCATCCCTTGACCTTGTCACCTCAGTAACTGTGTCCATCTCTTCCAAGATACTCCCGTCATCTATCAAGGGTACCTGAGACGAATCGGACGCGCAGAGCCAGTGCTATCAAAGTGCTACAAATAATAGGTACTGAATGGTAAGTTAGTGCCACTGTAGATCGGTGAGATGCACATGTAGATCTACCGGTGTCGGCGCATTCTGCAATATATAGGATCTCTGGTTGACCACTGCGTGGTACACACTGACACAGTCCTCCAGTCGGTAGTCGGTAAACCTCGATACATCTGTGAATCGAGAATCATCGGTCGAGCCCCACTTTTTCCACACTCTTTAAATTTTTTCCCTTTGCCTGCGCGCCTCCAACTCCCCGATTCCGATTGACTTGCATTCATTCTGCACCCTCCCCGCGCAGCGCAGGATCCAGGCCCTTCGGTTCCTCTGACGAGCTTGACGCACATCCTTCTTGTCGGCGACTTTTTCCTCTCTTTGCTTTCACTTTCTCGTCCAGCTTTCTCAGACGTCGTTGCAGCCGGGCGCCTTTCTGAGAGAAGGACAGAAAAGAAACCGGATCCCCGCTCTTCGACGCCCCGTCGCTATGACACCACGAAATATACTACGCCCCGCAGAACCTGCAGACTTCCACAGTCCTTTCAGAGGGTCCTTCCAAGCAAGCTCGCCACTCGCCGAGGCTTCGATTGCTCGTGATCTTGCTCACTATGTCGACGAAGATTCCACCTTCAGCACCGACGAGGCATCCGAGGCCTCGACGGTGCGACCGGTCGACAGACGCCCTTCCAGTTCGTATGCGGGGGGAAACCCACACTCGCTGGCGGGTTCATATCGTCGTCCGGGTTTCTTCACCAACGTCAACCACGCCACCATCATTCCCGCTCCCGCAGACTATCAACCATTGTCGGATGCGGAGCGCTCGCTGGCGATCGAGGAGGAGCGACAGTTGCTCAGTGACAATAATGTGATCTCGAGCGAAGAGGCAGCAGGCCGAGGGCTTCAACACAAATTGAGTAAAGTGTTCTCGACATCATCAGGCCTGGTCGGAGCTGGAAAACACAATGATTCCGTGAGTGGTGGGCAGGATGAGACGACTGCCCTGCTCGGTGCTCCTGAAGCCAGTGAACTAGGCCCAGAGGAGATTGATCGCAAGTGGGAACAGGCCGTGACTGCCGGCCTGATCACGACGACATGGCGACGAGAGATGGAAGTCCTCATTCGCTATTCCGCTCCTTTGATGGTCACCTTCATGCTACAGTATTCACTGACCGTGGCGAGTATCTTCACGGTCGGCCATCTCGGGAAGGAGGAGCTGGGTGCTGTCAGTCTTGCGTCGATGACTGTGACCATTACCGGCAACGCAGTCTACTCTGGCCTCGCCACCAGTTTGGATACCCTTTGTGCTCAAGCTTATGGATCAGGAAAGAAGAAGCTGGTGGGATTGCAGATGCTCCGCATGGTCTACTTCCTCCTCGTCGTGACTGTCCCGATCGCGATCATCTGGTATTTCTCTGAAATCGTCTTGGCCAAGATCGTACCGGAGAAGCGCGTCGCCCAAATGGCTGGATTGTATCTAAAAGTGGCACTGCTTGGATTGCCAGGATATGCGTGCTTCGAAAGTGGCAAGCGATATCTGCAAGCTCAGGGTGTCTTTTCCGCCTCGCTTTACGTCCTACTCATCTGTGCGCCACTGAACGCCTTTATGAACTGGTTCTTCGTCTGGGTAAGTTTCGAAAAAGACACACCAACCATATGCTCACTTCTCATGCTGATCCCATTCACAGAAACTCCAATGGGGATTCATCGGCGCGCCCATTGCCGTTGTCATTACCGAAAATCTTCTTCCAATCTGTCTATTCGCGTACATTTACTTCCGTGTCGGTGCTGAATGCTGGTGTGGTTTCACGAGACGTGCATTTGACAACTGGGGTCCCATGATTCGTCTTGCGTTGCCTGGTCTGATGATGGTTGAGGCTGAGTGTCTTGCATTTGAAGTATTGACCCTGGCCTCGAGTTACCTGGGTACCTCGGAACTAGCTGCTCAGTCTATCCTCGCGACGATATCCAGCATCGTTTGGCAAATTCCATTCCCTCTCTCTATTGCCTGCAGTACTCGTGTGGCAAATTTGATCGGTGCTTCGTTAGTGGGTGCCTCGAAGACTTCAGCTAAGGTCAGCTTCTGTCTGGCGACCGTCGTTGGTCTTTTCAACATGGCTCTCCTTTCGAGTCTCCGCACATCCGTTCCCAGACTCTTCAGCTCTGATCCCGAGGTGATCGAACTTGTCGCCATCGGTCTTCCCGTTTGTGCTGCATTCCAACTTTTTGATGCCCTTGCCGCTGTCTGCAATGGTGTGCTCCGAGGCCTAGGGCGTCAGGAGATTGGTGGCTATATTCAGGTGCTCTGTTACTATCTGATTGCCATGCCTGTGAGCATGAGCACGACATTCGCCCTGGGCTGGGGTATCCAAGGTCTCTGGACCGGAGTGGCGGTGGCACTATTGTTTGTGTCATCGACCGAAGCGTTCTTCATCAGTCGAATCAGCTGGGAACGCTCCGTGGAAGAAGCTCAGCGTCGTAACGAGGCTATTTGAACATGTCATCCATTGGAGATGAGCTTTTTGTATCTTTATATCTATGTTTCTCATTTCTATGAAAATATGTACCACAGATCGCGATGACTTGTGTCGATCGTGAACACAATCACGTGGTAATTTTGTATTCCATCCAACGAAGCTAAAGAATGCCCGTCATTGCATACAAAACTCACAGAAGATAGACATGAAAATACACTTAGGTATATATACCCTCACTGTTTAGCAACGTGCTCAATATCTTAATGTGACTAGTCTATGCTCTTTGGAAAGTCTCCCAATGATCACCTGCAAAATGAAAGCAATTCATACCTAGTAAAGTTTTACCCTATTAAATAGCATACAATTGACACGGGGAAGAGTGACGAGTCTATCAAGCAAAAAAGGGCACTACGACATTAGTGCCGACATCACGCAGATGGGCAACAGTGAAGGTTAGTGCATCCGCTAAAGTCTTGGGTCCACGACTGAAACCGAACAAGGCCTCTTGAGGAAGTCGTCCGTTTAACTATTACCTACCGTATCCCTCATCTACGCCGTGCACTTGAAGTGCCATGTGCTATCTATTCGTTAGCCCCTCTGATACGATCAATCCGCTGGCTCTTATCGCACCGTGCCGTCTATCGATAATTTCATCATCGAGAATGTCATATTGAGATTTCAAATCGAAATTCGAATTGATATAAATTTTTTAATTCATGTAAAATGATTCGTAACAGAAAATGAATTTCTGTCTCCAAACACTGCCGAGGCCAGACAGCGCGACAGGACCTTCCAGTCTTCATCACAGAGGGTCATCGTCTGAGTCTTCCTAATACTCAAGGATGGCCCAAGTCTGTTCGTCTGACGTGGAGAAGATCACACCGGCCCCAAGCAGCTCCTCGCCAGCACGGGCAACGTCGGTAGCGGGGACGTTCATCTTCGCGGCGATTTGTTGTACGTGCAAGCCAGTGTCGTCCTGGGGTTCGGTCCTAAGCACCTGATAGACCCTCTTGGCTAAGGGTGACATGGACATCAACGCCCGGTTCTGGCCCGCTCCGTAGTCCTCCGCACCGCCCATCATAGCATCACCTCCAGCTGCTGATGCGTTCTTGGCGCCAGCATTGGCCCCGCCAGGAGGGCCCCGTGTGAAGAATAGGTGGACCACAGTGGCCTCGAGAATGTGACAGTGCAGCTCGTTGATATCCGTCACTGGAAGCACATTGTGTGCGCCGACATATCGCTTGTTTCCGAAAGACTTGACGGCGCCGGAGATCCGAGCATATCCGTTGAGCTGAATCGCATTCTTGCCGCTGCCAGGGCCTTTGCCTTCGTCTGTGTCCATGCTGTCTGCACTCCCAGAATCAATCCACTTCTTGACCTCGATTTCCCCCGTGCCGTCATCAATCTTATATGTGACATTGGTGCTTTGAGTGCTGATATTGCGTACTTGGCCGATTAAGAGGACGCTAGCTACATCGGCACCGTCGATTTGGTAGTTGGCTTCAGGGAAAGGTTGAGAAGCATCGACGATTTGTTTGACTGTCACGGGACGAAGTGTTTTGTTGTCGCGATCGCCGCCCTGTAGTGACTGTCAGTTGATTCATTACATTGCGAGTATTGGGAGCAGCAAAAGTTTGGCCTCTTACCTTTCCGCCGGAGGGACTGTTCATCTCGCCAGGCATGAAGCCACCACCACCGCCGCCACCACCTCCACCGTAGGAGTTGTAGTTGTTGTAACCGCCATCTGGATGATGTGAGTGCCTGTAGTTGATACAATCGTGGAGAGTGTGAAAGACACTGACCCATTTTTTTGAAAAAGATAATTATAGTGAGCTTTCGTACAGAGTTGGAATCATTTTACTCGATTGGGAGCGTGTTTAGACGCGTCGCGGGGAGCTGTTTGCTAGGTTTGCAGTGGATCATTGAACAGCCGCCACTGACCGCCTTGAACTATTTCTCCAATTTTTTTTTTCGGGCGGTTGGGGCACGAGGAAGTTTTCGGTGTTGAACGAAGGATCTGCTTAAAGAAACATTCTTGGATAGGGCAGCGAGAACATTTTCGCAAACTGAATTCTTGATTGCGACTGACTCCGATAAGTCTCGCGCACTGACCACCGAGGGTCGTCGCCTACGACATTCGCCTTTGAAGATTGTCATTTTGTCAATCATTAATCGGCACGCTACTGTCGATTGGAATTCAAGGCTCCCCACGCTTTTGCCCGCCATGCCTCGCCGTCAGTCATCACCGGCGATGTCGGAAAATGAATTCGACATCACTGGTGCTTTGTTCCAGGACAACGATGACTCCGACATGGAGATTGGCCAGAAGGCCTCCAAACAAAAGATCGACCACAACCAAGATCTTGACTTTCTGAACGCCGACGATGATGGCGATGCTGCCTTCATTGCGACACAACAAGCCTCAGCGAACCGAAAAGGCTCGAACCTCAAAGGCCGTACCGTGAAGAAAGGAGGCGGTTTTCAAGCCATGGGTCTCAACGCCAACTTGCTCAAGGCAATTGCTCGCAAAGGTTTCTCGGTCCCCACCCCGATTCAGCGAAAGACGATACCTGTGATCATGGATGATAAAGACGTTGTGGGTATGGCCAGAACCGGTTCCGGAAAGACCGCAGCTTTCGTGATTCCAATGATCGAAAAGTTGAAGAACCACAGTCCTACTTTTGGTGCTCGTGCTTTGATCATGTCGCCTTCACGTGAACTTGCTCTACAGACTCTGAAGGTCGTGAAGGAAATGGGCCGTGGAACGGACTTGAGATCGGTTCTGCTTGTCGGAGGTGATAGTTTGGAAGATCAATTTGCCATGATGGCTGGAAACCCCGATATTGTCATCGCCACTCCTGGTCGATTCCTTCACTTGAAGGTGGAGATGGATCTGGACCTCTCGAGCATTCGCTACGTCGTCTTTGACGAGGCTGATCGTCTCTTCGAAATGGGATTCGCCGCTCAGTTGACCGAAATTCTCCACGGCCTTCCGTCTGCTCGACAAACCCTCCTCTTCTCCGCGACACTGCCCAAGTCGCTTGTGGAATTCGCTCGAGCGGGTCTTCAAGAGCCAAGCCTCATTCGTCTGGACGCCGAGACGAAGATATCTCCTGATCTCCAGAACGCCTTTTTCTCCGTCAAATCTTCTGACAAAGAAGGCGCTCTACTTCACATTTTGCAAAACGTTATCAAAATGCCCACGGGCCCGACAGAAGTCACGCAAAGGTTCAAGGCGGAATTAGAGGACCCCAAGAACCGAAAAAGAAAACGCCCCCACGCTGGCAAGTCGATCTATAAGGAATCGCCCACTGAGCATTCAACCATCGTTTTCGCGGCGACTAAACATCACGTCGATTATCTCTACTCTTTGCTGATTGAGGCCGGGTATGCGACGTCATACGCCTATGGTAGCCTTGACCAGTTGGCACGAAAAATCCAGGTATTACAACACCCATTGAGCATGGTATAATATGCACGATTTCCACAGATACTAATTCTCTCCTCAAATCTACAGGTTGAAAATTTCCGAAAGGGCATCTCCAACATTCTGGTTGTCACGGATGTGGCTGCTCGTGGTATCGATATCCCTATTCTCGCCAACGTCATCAACTACGATTTCCCGTCTCAACCCAAGATCTTCGTCCATCGTGTTGGTCGTACCGCACGTGCTGGCCGCACTGGTTGGAGTTACAGCCTGGTGCGCGATGCCGACGCTCCGTATCTGCTTGACCTACAACTATTCCTCGGCCGGCGACTTGTTCTGGGTCGTCAGTACGGCACGGAAGTCAATTACGCGGAGGATGTCGTCGTCGGATCCCTTCCGCGTGACCCGCTATCTCAGAGCTGCGAATGGGCTAGCAAGGTGCTCAACGAAAATGTCGATATTGCTTCGCAGCGCCAAGTGTCTGTCCGTGGTGAGAAACTGTATATGCGCACCCGAAACGCAGCATCCTTGGAGAGTGCGAAGCGAGCAAAGAAAGTCACATCCACGGATGACTGGTCCACGTTACACCCCCTTTTCAATGACGACGAAAGTCGAATGGAAGCGGAGCGTGAGAAGATGCTCGCGCGTATTGGTGGCTTCCGTCCGGCAGAGACCGTCTTTGAGGTGCAGAATCGACGCGGCGGCAAGCAAGAAGGCGGAGAGGCAATGGACGGAATCAAACGCCTCCGTGCTACCGTGGACAAGAAGAAGATCCGGGCTCAGCACAAAGAGCAATCTGAGCTGGCCGAGCTCGGCATTGCTGTCAGAGGGGCTGACAAGGGCGATGAGGGTGAGAGTGATGAGGATATCCCCGATGAGGCGGGAGATAACATGTCCGAGGCCTCCGAGGGCGAACTGGAGGTGACTTTTTCGGCCTACAACCAGAAAGACAAAGCTTCGAGCAAGACGAGCGGCGTCTCAGCCAATGCCTTCCAGAACCCTGATTATTTCATGGGATACACGCCTGCGAATCACAACAGTGCAGAAGACCGAGCGTACGGTGTCCACTCTGGTACAAACTCCAACTTTGCCCACGAGTCTCGTAATGCTACCATGGACCTGAACGGTGATGATGGACAGAAGAACTTTGGCGAGAACCGATCGGTTATGCGATGGGACAAGCGACACAAGAAGTACGTCGCCCGTCAAAACGACGAGGACGGATCCAAGGGAACCCGTCTCGTGCGCGGAGAGAGTGGTGCAAAGATTGCTGCCAGCTTCCGCAGCGGACGATTCCAGGACTGGAAGAAGGGCAAGCGTATGAGCAATCTGCCTCGCGTGGGCGAGGCGGAAACTCCCGGTCTCACCACGGGATCGGGCATGCCCGGTGTCCACGGTCCTGGAGGCCGCTTCCGTCATCAAAGGCAGCAGGCTCCCAAGCGTGCCGATCCATTGCGTGCGGATTATGACAAACAGAAGAAGAAGAATGAGAATGCCCGAGAACGCCAGCAGGGCCAGGTTGGGGGTGCAGCGACTCGTGGCAAGAGCGAGATTCGCTCCACTGAGGATATCCGTAAGGCGCGAAACCTCAAGCAGAAGCGCCGTGAGAAGAACGCTCGACCTTCCAGGAAGCGCTAGGGGACGCGCTGGCTGTCGAGAAGAGGTCCTTGTTTTGTGTATACACCGGGCTTCAAGGGCGGGGTGCGTTTCTTCTGTCCATGATGTTTATACCACTCGCCTACTGCCCGTCTGCATGATACCACCTGTGTTGTTCCTTTGCTCATTCAAAATTCATTATGTTGATGAATAGATCAGTTTCCATCGTATAATGGATACTGACTATGTTTCTCCATCGTTTTGCCGAATGTACTGTAGCACTCAAGCTTTGATCCGGACGTTGAGGTGAGTGCTGTATATTGTAGGTAGTAGGTAGTGGTACTAGGTACTACACTCATCCACTCTCTAACTGTATATAGTATACTGTACCCCGGATGATGCATATTGTCCAGCTGGATGTCCAGATTCGCTCCTCTCCCTCGTTTATGCAAAGTCCAATTCTCCCCCTGATTCTGCATGTCAAATTGGTCAGATTTCAACGCGGCCTAACTCGTGGGAGTAGACGTGGCTCAGAGACGTGGTTCTCTTGCGGCAACGCGTGGTTCTTGCACACGCCATTTCCAACTTGAACCCTGAATTCCGAACTCGACGGGTCCTGATTGAATCCTATCGTTCTCTCATCTGCCGCTCTCCAGAAAAGCTCCGGTGACGACCAATGAGGGAGGTTAGTATGGTGTTTGGACACTGGACTACTGGAGTGTTGGGGGGGGGGTTTACAAAAAAAAGGATAAGGAAAACCGTTGCAGGAGGTAGAGCCAACTGGAAGCAGGAATACATGCTGATGGGTTTGAGCCCTGGATCATGATGCCTTGGGCCAGTAGAGAGCTCACCTAAGTCTGTTTCCCCCCCTTCTTTTTCAGGCCAGAAGCGGACGCAACGAATGAGAAGGAAAAGGAGAAATATGTCAAGGAAAGGATGAATGGGTGACTCTGGAGCCCACGAGGTACGATCAAACCTCTCGAATCATGGTCTCCGCGCACGAAGTCCAAGCCATGAGGATTTTTCATAGTCCACACTCCACAGTTCACAGTTCCACACAGCGATGGGGATCAACGCCAATATTGGTCTGATACTGCGGTTGACCGTGACAATCACCTGATTATGGGCAAATGTAGGTGGTTGTTCGGGCAGTAGTTGGGATAAATGTGTCCCTAGTCTCCAACTAGTTCCTACTCCCTAGACGCCCTGCGAGTTCTAAGCTTTGGTCATACAATGACCAAACTTGGTACTGCTGTAACTGTCAGTGCCGGTAGAGTCGGTAGACTCGGTACCTAGTACCTAGTACCTAGTACCTAGTACCTACTAAGTCAATACTAGACTACTAGTAGTACTGCGTCGAGGTCGAAGGAAAAGTTCAATCCGCGTTGCCGGATCGTCTGACAAATACTCAACTAAAGCCGTCAAGTTGTCAATTGCCCGCACTCTCATGTGGGTCGGACCCTCACCATCTGTACCCAAGCTAGACAAAGGCAGATCTGTGGATGGATCCCTTTTTTTTCCAAAACAGTCAAAAAGAGAAAAAAGAAGAAAAAAAAAAACTCCCGGGTTTGCAGAAACCATGTCATTGTACTTGGTGCTCACAGATTATCCCAAAGCATAGATATGAGATAGATGGACGGGTGACAAACTTATGAGTATATCGTTGAAGGCTATAGAATCCCAGCTGTGTCGCAGCCCAGAATTTCTCCACAAAAGTCTGATCTCAGGACTATTGCTCTGGGTGGGTGTCAATAGTGGAATTGGAAACAAGGCCTGACAAGGTGGCAGCACAGACCAGGACGGACCATTCCAGTACCGAGTAACTTGGAGGATCAGATCGTCTACCGAGTAGTAGTAGTGTACCGACGAGGTGCACTAACTGCATACTGCGAACTGCAAACTACAACTAGTTAGTAGTTACTCGGACTACTACTATTGCAGCCTCTGGTGCACGTTGCCCTTTTCGGACAAAGTGGAGACACAACTGCCAAGTTCCAACTAGCTTTGTAAAAGTGGTTCGCGCTATTGACTTAAAAGTGGTCCCCAAGCGCTATCGTGCATGAACCCGGGTGACAGGAGAAAGCCTCCCTTGCTGCTCTGTCGACTGCAGGTTCCACCCAACATTGTGCACTGCAGTAGTGCCGTGGGGGAGTGATTGCCAGGCGAGCTCTCGAGTGGTTGGAAGTACTATAGTAGTGTGCCCGGATTTCAAGTAATGGGTAGTGGGTACCAACACCGAGTAGCGACTCTGAGAGGAGGCACATGTACCATGTACAGATACTACAGATTATGCAGTTAGTAGTAACTCTATACACAGTCTGCAGTATGCACATTGCCCCGTCTGTCGTGTCCGACCCTTCTTCTCAAGCGTCAGTTCAAGAACAATTTGACTACCAGTGCCAAGTTGGTGTATATCACTCTGTTCGAGCCAATTCTCATCATCTGACATATGACATGATCAGTGGGACCCTGTCCATCCTGCGTGCGAATGGTCTCCCGACTTTGTGTTCAGTTTTCCCTGGTGGGGACATGCGTACCTCGGCAAGGGGAGTTGGGCGGGCAAATGTTGTATGTACTACTACTAGCCCAGGCTACTCTACCAGTCTGCCTATGTAGTTAACTTATAGTAGTTACTAACTTAGTTACTAACTAACTCAGTACTTGGCGGGAACCTACAATACTCGCCATTTTAGTCAGGAATCGGCTGGCTTTCGATGAGCGTCCGCATCCGTGTGGTCATGTGCAAGTGTCTCGACTCATGGAAAAAGATTCAAAAGGGGTGTCCTTTGAATCAGTAGCAGATTCGGGCTGGACCGGGATCGTGTCTAGGTCCTCGAACGGATAGAGGCATTTACGCACTTGATCCACGGTTTCCAAAACCGATTGAGCTGAAGTTGGAGCGGACGAAGAGGCTAGGGGTACGTATCGTGTGTTTACCGCCACTCCATTACTTACCAGGACCCTTACGACCTCTAGCCTTGCCGGGGCTCCGTACGACAAACTCATGTGAGGTTGGAAGAGCATGGTGACCGGCTCGTGAAGTAGTTGCAATTGGTCACCTGACAACTGAAAACAGGTCGGTGAGGTTGATGACATGCACTGTGCAGTCCCGCTACCGCTACCTAAGGTATCCCCTGGTTGGCCGTCTCTACCTAACTATGTCGAGGTAGTAGGTAATGGGTGGTAGGTAGGTATGAACCCTAAGTGCACTGTGCAGTGGATTGAGGTTTTGCACTTGTAACATCGATCATTCGACCAGTGCCATCACCATTTACCCAAAGAACCTTACGCCCGACAGCTCGAGTCGATTTGCTGCCTGTCGCCTCCATTTTTGACGTTCGATCCAACATTAAAAGAGAGTCGGCAAGAAGTTGAGCAAATCTTCCGACCGGATCCTGTTGCAACCGTCCTCCCTCGGTTGTACCACGTCGCCTAGTGACGGATATGTTCTGCAAGGGTTCTCATTCGGAGCACTCGTGCCAGTCCATGAACATCCCCATCTTGATCAGAAGATGATCGACCCATGACAGGCAACCGTCCGTCTCCAAGGGGAAAAGAAAAAAAGCTCCGGGAACGTCGAGGGTGGACCTCAAGAGCAGGGACGGAGCTATCGTGTACGTGTAGACGTGTACACTGTAGTCTGTACAATATGTGAGTTGCGGTCATGGGTTGGTGACCCTCTGGTGATCTACCGTGCATGCTGTATAACCTTTGCAGGGCGAGGGCAGCAAATCATCACGAGCAGAAAAAAGAAAAATACAATTGACATGGTCCAATAAAAGCCCGAAGAAGGGATTCATTACTTCACTCAATCTCCGCCCGGACCGATCCTACAGTATTGACTCTATTGAGTATGTTGGCCGCAGCTTGGTACGAATCTCCGATTGATTACCATGTTACTCCAGGGTCTGACAACTGAACCCTTAGTACATCACTCACGGGGCGCTCTTTGGTCATGACGAATATCCTGCTGAATACTCCCAAAATTTGGAAAGATGAGCAATGCAATCCTGGGCGTACATGAGAAAGCCAAGCCAAAGCGCAGATCGAGATTGGGGGTACACGCCGTTTGGTTGACATGGACGGCGCGGCATCCATAGATCAGCTGTACTTCAGTACACCGATGAGATCTACAGTACATGTCGATCGTTCGCGGTCGCCTCCCTGAAATTTCAAAATGACTACAACGTTGAATGAGGTCCATAGTGATCGCCGGTATACTAACTATGCGCTAACTTCTGGCTAATGCGACCCCTTCTCGACAAGTCAGAGTGCTGATGTATGTAGTATGTAGTATGTAGTATGTACGACAAATGCAATCCTGGAAAGGTTGCTGGGCTGTGGGCTCTGGGCTCTGGGCACTGAGCACTGAGCACCGAGCAGGAGTAGTATGACTATGAACAATCTGTGAGTTTGCATTATGACTGTGCAGTACATGCAACTACGCCTTGTCCTCTCAGGTGAAATGTGTAACTGTACTGTACCTCCAAGTGACCGAGCGCAACTATTGGCAGTGGCGTGTGAAAAAGCTGACGTCGTGACGGCCCAGCCAGCCGCGACGCCGACCTTGCCTTGCGTCGCGGCGGATGGCAGAGGGTGGTCGGGATCCTCTGGCATAAGCCGCGACCAAGAGTTGCGTCTGGGATCAGGGCGGAGGTCCGATGAACAGGAATGGTCATGGTCCAGAGTTAAGGTCAGTGTAGCACTGTAGTCAGTAGTGAACCGACAGAATGTAGTTCGGTTGAACCTATACAGTGTTTGGTAAGAATCGTTAAAGAGGTCGGCCTGCTTGGTCCAAATAGCTGTGGCCCCATTGCGGTACTTTACTTCTACCTAAGGTATTCAAGGTGGTAAGTTAGTCTTGTGCATACCTAACGTCCAGTCTTCCACTGAAGGTTGAGTAGGAATAAGTACTTCGCCTGTGCGAATTATGCGGTGGCTTGACCAAAAAGCTTTCCTGTTTGAAATCCACTATTGAAACTTCAATAGCCACTCCGAATTTCAACCGGTTGATCGTTCTCAGTGCGGCCGCTTGCGCCGAGGGAAGTAGTCGGGAGCTGGGAGTCCCGAATGACAGTCACACCAGAAGTCCCCATCACGGGCGTCTCTGCATTCGATTTGTTTGCTGCGAGGATCGTCGCCCAACAGTGACCATCCGTCCATAGTTCGTTCCGGGACCCTGGTCGAGGGCCATAGATACCGTGTTCAAGTGTTGACTGTTGATCCATCAATTCCTCCGCCGGCGATTTTTCTCCGGGTCGGAGCATTCCAGCCTGATTCTCATCGCTTCTCCATTCTTTTCTCCAATTTTGGATGATGGTTGGTCCGTCCAGTTGAGGAGACGATCTCGAGGCAAAAACCTCCGTCATGACCGCCTGTCAGATTCCCATTCTCATGGCGATCACTTGCCCTTTTTGAGGAGATGGGATTTCGTTCCTTCAAGTATGTTGCTTTTTCGGCTCGTGCACTTTTGATCCGCGAGTGGGTTATGAATCTCCAGAAAATGGGACAGTGCAGAGTGCCAAGTGCAAAGTGTAGATAGTAGATAGTGATACTAGATGGCAGTGCGACTACAGTTCAAGTCCAGCAAGCTTCGTCGTTGAAAAAGGACAATCATGCACGCCAGTGGCCACGGAACCCAGTTGCGCCAGTAATTCCCTGACCCCACCGACCCGACCAGCACGATGCCGATCAGGCTATTGAATCAATAATGTTAATTCGGGCGTTTCCTGGTCGGGGTGGTCCACGGACCGGGTTTCTTCGTTCCTCCCACTGGTCCTCATACCGTGGAGGTTTGTCCTGAGGTCGTCTTTTTCGGGCCAAGTTGATCGTAGGGAGATTCTCTTCCCAGCTTTTCCTCCCCCGTCATGTTGGGGCAAGTCAAACTTTGCTCCCATTCATCAAACGAGTTAGTTGCACGCAGGAATCATGGCTTCTCTCTTTGGATCTTGATCGTCGAGACCCTCCCCCCACTCTGACCCCAAAAAGAATTCCCCGAGCGCGGGCGCTGGGATCCAGAACTCTATCAGCGGCAACCACGAACAGGAGAATTCTTTTGGGATGGTTCATGGGAGGAATCAACCGTTCCCTGTTTCCACCCACAACCCTCCGAAATTGCGATTTTCCATTCGTGGTGAACTTGTCCCCTCTCCCATCGCGGGGACTAGTGATTTAGGGGGGGGCAGTGGTAGAGCGTGTCAATGGTCCTGAAGGCCCTATCTCGGGGATCTTTTCCTCCAGATCCATCGACACGGGAAGGAAAAGGGTCTGGAAGATAGAGGGGATTACCATGTATCACCTCATGAAAAAAGGGAGAGATCAAGAGGAAGGAGGAACCAGAGCGGCGAGTCACCTCACCTTTCTGCCGTTACTTATGACTTATTACCATACTAGAACTACATGAAGCACAGAAGTGATGCATGCACTTTTCCCACCGACCAGCCGTATCTAACGACCTCACCGCGATTGACCAGCAAGTCGATTCAAGTCGATCCTGGTCACTAGCGTCGTCTGCATGGATCGTCACTGCCAATCGCCTGCGTGTCGGAGACTCGTTCATTTCATTTGTTACTCCGAATCTGCGGCCCACTGGCAGTCTGGCACACACGGACAGTGCACTTCGAGCACGAAGAAACTGTAATTCTGTTCATCGCGGGATAAGTGTTAGTCCATACTCCATAGTCATAGTCTATGCTCTATACTATAGAGTCTATGGACTATGGAGTCTATGGAGGATGGACCCATAGTCATACTAGTAGTCCCGGTAGTGTCAACTTGTCAAGAATAGCTCGAGCCCTGGGCCTTCTCACCTCCGAAGCTCCGAGTGTCCGGATCAACTCTTCACTCTTCCCCCTTTTGGACACAACAAAAGGGACGGACAACAACAACTAGTCGACTACTACAACCCTCCTCGGCCTCCTCTCTGGATGCTGTCTCCCTGGGCGGCTGGGTGACGATGTCGATAGTTCTGACTCTGGCCATTTTTCCCCCTTTTCTCCTGTCTTCCAGTCAATCGCTCCCATCGCGTTCCCCTTTCCAGTGTGTCCACCGTCTTTTCGAAGCTCGTGCTTATCGGTTTGAACTGCAGTGGGTGAATTGTCTTTTGTTTTGTTTGTTTCTTCGGTCCTCTCGAATGAACCATCGAAACTTTAACGGTTCCTCATTCTTTTTTTCTTTTTGGAAGTTTTGATTTCTATTCTCCTTGAAAGATTTTTGGAAGAACGTCTACTTATAATGGCGACCGTTGTGGTAGAATCGGAGAGATATTGCCCCCTCTCTGTTTCTCTCTCTGTTTCTCTCTCTGTTTCTCTCTCTTTTTCTCTCTCTGTTTCTCTCTCTGTTTCTCTCTGTTTTTCTCTCTCTCTCTCTCTCTCTCTCTCTCGTCTAGACTTGTTAGCCACTCTCAGCTCTACTCCATTGCCTGCCTTTTGCTCCACTCATGACACCTTACCTGGGGTCGTGCACTCCCTAGGGTAGCTTCCACGTTCGACATCCCTTGGATTGGTCCAGGCTGGGTTCATGACGAAGACGGGAGATCATCGAGCAGAATCACCGGGGAAAAGGAGGGGCGGAACAATAAGGACAGAGGGAATTCAGGGACACGAGAAAAGGGTCAGAACCCTGACAGAAGGAAAGCGAGGATATCCCCGCTCTTTTTCGTTCGGCAAGGAGACCGTCGACCGTTGGAAGCATGATTGCCGATTCTATCGGAGAGGATGCCAGGGACCAATACGAGGCAGTAGTTACTTCCAACACACCTGCGTAGCATACCGATCAAACACTCCGAGAGGAACCCGAAGGAGAGAAAGGTGGATGATGAAAATCGACCATGTAAGAAAACAAAAACATACCGGCAGTTTGAAGGTGAATATTCCTTTGTTTTGATTTTATTTTACTTTTGATTTTCCCCATCGGACAAGTGAGAGAAATCTAGGAAAGTGGAAAACCCCCTCCCTCCCCCAAAAAAAAAAAAGACAAAAATTCCAGGATGGCTTGGACGCATACATCCTCTGCAGGCAGTGGGAGATGCTAACTGCTCTCCCTCACAATGATCGCCAAACCTGCAATCCAGTTTCGAGGATCCCTCCGCATGCGCGGCTATGAAGGAAATCGGCTGTCAGGATCGGTGGAGCAGAACCTTTGGTGGAAACGGAAAGAAAAAGAGAAAAAGAAATAGCAAAAGAAAAAGAAAGTCCATCCCAAAAGTCCCGCTGATCCATGCAGTTTATTTGTTTGGACTCCTCCAATGGCGCATCGCTGCTGCACCCTAAATTGAGGTCGATCAATTCGTCACTCAGGCGGCCCTGGCTGTGAGAGGCCTTCGTGGAGCTCCCGCGGATATCGACGCCTGTTGAACCCCAAATCAGAATTGGAACAAAAAAGAAAAGAAAGAAGGAAAAAAAAAGGAAAGAAAATCTCCCAATAATCGTCGCATTGGCAGGATTATTGTCTCTCCTGCCAATAATCAGCGGGAAGAATCCCCAGTGCAATTGGACACAGTGAAAGCAAACCAACTCGAGGGAGGAAAGACCAACAACAAACAAAAAAAAAAAGAGCGACAATCGGATCCTCGAGATCGTCCAGGTAGAAATCGACTCCGGACGGTTCTCCTCGTGAAAGGGCGAGAGCCATATTTGCATCTCATTGCAAACTCTCTCCCTCCCCCCCATCCTCCTTTTTGTTCAGGTTTGTCGGCCCATAAATCTCCCAGTAGTACCTCCACCGCCGTCCACGCTTCTACACGGTCAACGGAGAGAGAGAGAGAGAGAGAGAGAGAGAGAGAGAGAGAGAGAGAGACAGAGAAAAAGAAAGAGAAAGAGAGGATGCGGCTGGTCTGAGACGGTGTGCTTCAATCAGATTTCCTAAAACGTGAGAAACCGGGGTCACGCCGTCGGTCACGCCCGCCATACATCCCCATCGTCATCACGTCGGAGATGGGCATCTTCCCTCTTCCTCATTCTCATCATCATTCTCGTGCTCCGTTCAACACTGTCTCTGATCATATTGCCCTGGAATCCCTTCTTCACAATCCCCTTTGCGGACGTTCGAAGGCTGGTCTAAATCCCTGGTCTTCATCTCCTGTCTACAGGCACCCAGGAATCGCTCCTCTCCGCAATTGAATCTAGGACCCTTCTTCAAGGGGATCTCTCCCCTGTGCTAGACATGCTGCCTCGGATGATTCGACACAGAGCCAGTGGTCCTCAATAGTTTAAGGGGAGCCCTTTCCCTCTCTCGTTCCGGTGAATTTGCTCGTGAGAGAAGATTGGGAGAACCAGAAAAAAAAGAATAAGAAAGGAAACAGAAAGACACCATCTACCTACCTACCTACCTACCTACCGCCACCACACAGACACCGTGGGTGAACTCCTCCATCACTCGGACGTGATAGTATCTTGTGTGGGCCTGCTTGTGAGACCGTACCCTCGCCCGCCTGATGCTCCGATGCAACCACTCGTGCTTCATCCGACTAGCGTTGCTCCCACCCATTTTGGACATTCAAGGTATCATTCGGGCCCCGAGCGGCTATCGGTGGATCAGTCCTGGTCTCTCAATGCTCGTGGCTACCCTCCTCGGGCTTCTTTCCCGCGACAACTTATGTCTGGCTCGCCGCCGGCCCCAGAGCCGAACACGAGGGTCGAGATCGAGGGTTCTACTGCATCGTCACTACCAGGGACGTCATCGACAAGCATAGCGGGCATCCTCGAGAGCACGGCCCTGCCGTTTGATAGCTCGATCTTGACTTTTACGACTCCATCTTCAACCTCGACTTCATCACTGCCTGATCCTCTGTCTTCTTCGAGGCAGACCTTTAGGCCCACCGACGCTGCTTCTCATTATGGAAGACCGGTGCAAGAAGGGTCGCCGTCAGCCACGTTTGGCGCCACCTTGTCTCAACCCTTGTCAATCGGCTCCCCGTATTCGATTGGTGCTCTCGGATCACCCATCGGCCTGCCGGGAGGCAGTCCTCTTGTGCAAAAGCCCACAAGACGCGCCAAAGCACATGTAGCATCCGCCTGCGTGAATTGCAAGAAAAAGCATCTGGGATGTGATGCAGCTCGTCCATGTCGGCGATGTGTCCTGGCTGGCAAGGCTGTAAGTGGATATCAAATGAAACTAATCTAGATTACTCTCACCAAAAGAGAAAATCTTCAACATTCAGGCATGATTTACTGACAAGCAAAATGAGGGCGTCGAATCAGTCTACATGTATAGATGTGACACATAAGAAGCGAGGACGGCCACCATTGAAAGCCGAGGATTCGTCATTACGCGCCATGTCCAACGTCCAAATGGAGAGCTTGACTGCAGCCACAGAGCGCGAACCAGCGACAACGAGTACTCCTGCAAGGACCCTGGGTCATCGTGCGACGTTATCTCGAGAAATCAGACCAATGCCAGATCTTCAACGACTGAGCCAACGCGTACAACCAGCTTTTACCTCGTCAATGCGAGCATCAGAAGGGCCGCAAAGTCAGTCGCAGCGTTGGTCTGCGTCAGTATTTCCTTTGACTCGCCCGTTAGAGTCCCCCCGCTCGACAGTGAGCGCTTTGGAACAAAGACCAGTGTCTTCTTCATCTGGACAGTCTACCTTGACAACCCCAACACGTCCGACTCCCATACCAGCTTCTATGGTCAACGCACTCCGCCCTCATCTTCAGCCAGGAAGCGCGGTATCGGCACCCGACTACACGTTTCCCATGTACTCTAGTCCGGTATTTGCATCTTCCGCCTCTCCGCCTAAGTATCAACTTCGGGAGGGGCAATATATGCCTGGTTCGACCGAGCCTCGTCTCGATTATTCGCAACAGCCACCACTCCCCCTCCTCCTCCTCCTCCTCCTCCTCCACCACCACAGCAGGCGGGCCACAATCGGGGTCTCCCCAGTATCCGAGACCATTACCAAGAATCACCCGTACGACTACCACCAATCCGTCCAACCACTACCAGCCCCGGGTCACCTGCATATTCACATCATGCTCATCGATTGAGTGATCCCTACCCGGCAGGCTGGAGCTCGATCATGACTGGCGAGAGCCCTCAGGAGCGCAGGTCTCCTGCGCCGATTCAAAGACCAGTGTTATCTCCATTTTCATATTCCTCAATTCATCGGCGCTCGACTTCAATGACTGGCTCATCGGATCCGATCCCTCGACATACAAGCTCGATCGAACTTCCTTCTCCACTTGGATTCAGCAGGTCATATCCTCCAGCAGCTCGATCGAGTGCAACTTGGACAACCGACGAACAGAAACCTGCAGAAGAAGGTCAAGAAGAAGATCAGAGGCCACCCAAGCGCCGTCGGATGGCCCTTGATGAAATGGTCAATGACTGAGCTGAAAGCATTGCGTCTTGTCTACATGATCTTTTCTGCCAGTACTTTTTACAAGGTTCAATCCGCGTTTCTTTGCACAGCCAATGCGGCATCTTATCATGGATACCCTGTTTTGCTCCGCTAATCTCCCGGCCCAGAATCCGTAGCAGGATCTACGGGGGACGACCGATATACCCTTTTTCCCTTGCTTCTATTTCCTTTTGTTACTGTCATTCTCCGATGATGATCTCAGCCTTGGGGATGCACTCGACATGCATTGCATATGGGGAAAACACGAATTACTGATTCAGATCCCTACGTAACCCAGTGCGCATACGTCTTCCATCTGATGATTCATCGTCAAGCGTGATTTCCATTTTACAGTCTATCGCATATATCCGACACGTGTTTCTTTTGTTCAACTACCCCGGATACCGGGCACGCCCTCCACTGCATCTAATGTCTCTAATCCCATTATGTATATTTCTGCTAATATCAAGGCTCTGGCTTCGATACAATTCCCCCAAGCCACCGTGATGTTGTGAGACCGACTGATATGTGGATTTGTCGCCTATTTCCATCCATTTTCAAACATCCTAGAAAGGACCGGGTCTGGCCTGACTTTCTTGGCCATTCAATGGAAGTCTAGCTGTCTATCTAGAACCCCAACATGTAGCTATTTCACCCGAACGCTCACAATGTCCAAGCCATCCACCGTGTAGGTTGGGCAGTCATGGTTGAACCTGCAGGTAAGTCCAGGATATATCATAATTCGTCACGTACAGGTACATGGAGGTCCATGAACAAATCCAGCTTACTCCTAGTACCTACTCCTAGGTAGTACCTACTCCTAGTACCTACTCCTAGTACCTACTCCTAGTACCTACTCCGAGTACCTACTCCTAGTACCTACTCCGAGTACCTACTCCTAGTACCTACTCCTAGTACCTACTCCTAGTACCTACTCCTAGTACCTAGGTACTCCTAGTAACTACTCCTACTGACATTCCGGTACCTTGACACATTTTCGAGTCAACAGGACTCAAATGCGGAGGCAACCCAGTACCTACCTAGTAGCTACTACCTACTACCTAGTACCCGGTGCCCTCTGAGGAACTTCACCTGACTTGATCCTATCTACCACCTATCAGTTTTAAAACCCCCTACCCACGTAGATCAATTGACCTCGTGCAACCCTCCAGCTTGCGCATGAAAAATACCGCCGGGTACACTTTCCAAATCGATCCACATGTTACTTCGGACTTCCCGCGAAATAGCGGGCAGTTTCTCTCAGGATCGGGCAATTATTTGGGGTAGTGTTCTCTGTTCCTTTTGCAAGTGCATTACTCTATGACTGCAAGGATATTGAACGGTTCAAACTCGAGCGATCCTCCTTTATGGGTATTTTTCTTCTGCGCACGAAATGATATCTCCGATTTGACGGGGCCTGTGCCAGGAACTGCAGAGTCAATCCATGAAGGGAGTCATCATAGATCGAGTCGGCCTAGGTATTATTCCTCGAAGCTTCTGAGCGGAACCTGACATGGACATATGTCGTAGCAGACGGAAGGACATTCCCCAGAAAGAAAAACAGATGTTGTGAGACTGCGAAGATGGCATTCGTTAAGCGTGATTAAAATTTTGAGGAGCAACCTAAATGCGGACCTGCCTAAAAATGTAATGCAACCAAGACACAGGATGAAAACAGCAAAAATTGGTATCTCAACAAAGTAGAATCAAAAGAACAGCCACTGGCCAAAGCGCTGAACTCTGCCGACGAATCCTTTTCTGGTTTCCGTCACAACCACTTCTTCGGTGGTATGGCCATCATCCAGACCCCCATCGTATCGGTCAGTCTGAAGGTCCATCTCAGTCTTGTGAACAAAGCGTGTCCGCTTGATCAACTTCCACGCCAGGAACATGACAACCATGACGGCAATCTCAATATAATAGGAAACAAAATCGACCCCCTTGAAATGAGGGCTAAAGCATTTCCATCCCTGAACCAGGACAAGGAATGAGTTGAGACCGATTGCGAAGATAGGGCCGTAAGGATACGTCCAGTTCTTGAATGGAAGCAAGTGTTCCAGACCTTGGGCCCTGATGGCACTGCGGAAACGGAGCGATGCAACACCGATGCAGATCCAGGACAACTGGTTCGATACACCGACGATATTCTGTAGCCATGTCCACAGCTGGCCGGCACCGATGTAACTTGCTCCGAAGCACAGTCCACTAATAACCGACGTCGCAAGCACCGCGATCCAGGGTACCTTGAAGCGATTCAGCTGGCCGAAGAATCGAGGCGCATAGCCATCTACTGCCAGGGTGTACAGCAGACGCGATCCCGCGAACAGGGCGTGATTGGCAGCGGAAATGACTGAAGTCATAATGACTGCGTTGATAAAGCTGGCTGCGACGGTGCTGCCCGCCTGCTGAAAGACAATGGTAAAGGGGCTGGTGCGGGTGCTACTGCCGGAAAGACCAGGATAATTGTAGGGCACGTTCAATCCCACGACCAAAATAGAAAGCATGTAGAAAAGTATGATGCGCCAGAAGACATTTCGGACCACTTTGGGAAGAGTCTTGGCCGGGTTCTTCGTCTCACCAGCGGTGATGGCAATGGACTCGGTGCCGCCACTTTTGATGGAGGAAAATGGATAATTAGCCACAAGTTCAAGTATGATATGTGTCCATGTGGGCATATGGAACGCAGAAAGGGGAAGAACTCACTAGGCAAAGGATGCCGTGACAAAGACAGAGGCAAATCCGCCGATGCCACCGACAAAAGGAGCACCGTCGATATGCCAGTTTTTACCGCCAATATATTGATGCTCGGTGTTGCCACCGCAGTTCACTGCAATGCCAAGAATAATGAAGATCTTCGAGGCGAGTTAGCTTTTACAACAAAGGCGAGAAAGTCATGATCCCGAAGCGCAACCTACCACGATAGTGATCACTTTCAGTAAACTCAGCCAGTATTCAATCTATAGTCGCAGAAAAATCGCAGTTAGCATAACCGCCATCGCCATCGCCGTGGGAATAGAAATACGAATGAATGGATGATGCCATCCCCCGAAAGTGCAGGGTATCATCTTACCTCGCCGTAAACGCGGACCGAGAGAACATTGAGGGCAATAACAACGACTAAGAAGATCAAGCTGATCGCCCACCCGGGAAAATTCTCCGTCCAGAATTCCAAGAGTAATTGCAGTGCAATGATGTCCGACGCGGTCGAGACAGCGTCGTTGAACCAATAATTCCACGTCAACGCAAAACCTAGGGCATCATCGACAAAACGCCTGATGATCGGCCAAAAGCGGAGAAGTCAGCCACGAGCATTCTTAGGATACGAACAAAAACTCCAATGATATAGTTCGACCAAGTCGACTCTTTGGCCCCCAAAAAGCCAAGGGGCCGTTGCCACACTCACCCCGCAAATGTACAAAAGGACCCCGCAACGGGGACAAAGGCTGCCATTTCGCCTAGAGAGAGCATCGTGATGAAGACGATACAGCCACAAATGGCATACGCAATGAGCATAGACGCTGGACCTCCCTTTGCTAGGGAGCTGCCTGTGCCCAAGAACAAGCCTGTGCCGATGGTGCCGCCGATAGCAATCATCTGCACCTGGCGAGCCGACAGGCGACGCGCCAGCTTGTCAGCATTGACAAGTGGGTTCGCACTTGCATCAGATACATGATGCTGGGGCTTTGACTCGACAGCATGCTTCTCGAGATCGAAAGTAGCTGCCATCTCTGCTGGCTAGACAGCGCGACACCGGCACCGTATAAATGTGATTTTGGAGGATACTGAAGGAAGAAGACCTTCGCGCGCTCGGCAACAAAAAAGGCGAGAGATACAACCTGGCTCAAGATCAGCACATTTCTCACGTGTAGATGCACACAGTACGCCCTGTCAGCGTCTTCCTGCCATAAGACAGGCCCAGCACCAGCGCCGATTACTTTATCTCACCTTATGCAGATCTGCAGTAGTCCGAATGGGTGCGACACGAATCCAATCTCGTGACCCGCACTTTCCCCAGGCAGTCTATCGCAACTGACCGTAGACGCGACACTAGCACTTGTCGAAGTGACACGAAGATTTCCAGGGGAAGGAAGTCTGGGCTCATCTTGAAGAAAAATGTCACACCCATGAAAATTTGATAATCACCTCACGCTCTTCTGCAGCGATGGCGTGCTTGCCAGGCACAATGAGTGAATGGGTTGGGTCCGCTGGTAGTTTCATCTGAGTCGCTGAACGGTGCGGCGATGACATGAGAAAAATTCAGTTGGCTCCACTTTGCCTCATAATTGTCAGCAATTATGAATTAGTAGATCTGCTTTCCGTACAGGAAAGCCGACTACTCTCGAAAGTCAAGCAAGTAGTTAATTGTCAGCTTGTGATGAACTAGTGGTTGCCTTCAGCGTTTGTCATGTGGGAGTGGAATAGGATGACTTCGAGAGATGGAAAAGCTTCCATGATAAACTATCTCGATTATTCGGCAGGTGACACGGCACATGTACCCGGGTCTACCTCTTTACAAGAGAAGTAGCGTCTCAAATAAGCCTAAACGCACACTCCATCGGCACATAACTAACTACTAGATTAGTAGATACTACATTAGTACATTACAATATATTTATGTCGTAGCCATTCACTACAATTTGTGATGTTGTATGGAGGCTCTCCGATTGACTTTTGAGCTTAAATATCCACCTGCGCCATGTGTTCCTTAGCGCGCTGCTTGTTTGCAGTTGTGGATCAACCCAGTTTCGTGCACACCGTAATTCTAATCGAAACAGCTGTGACCACTAATGGTTTGAAAATGGGAAAATGCTTTTGAGAAGTTCGCTAGCGTATGACAAAATATAAACACTAGAGTGTGGTAGTACTGAAAAAAAAGAATGAAAAGCAGAACGCCAACCCAGGGAGATGATCCCACAATGCGATGGACATTTAGCCCAACAAGCCACTGGCCAATGCCTCGAGATCGCCAAGGGTCTCGATTTGAGGAGCAGCTTTCTTGCCCTTTGCAGACTTCTGATGAGATTCGTTCTCGCTGTCCGAGTTGGAGTGTGCGAAGGAGACCCGTGGCTTTTTGCTGGGTCGGGACGACTCGACTCGTTCTTCAGCTTCAGAGGCGGAGTCAGATCCGGGAATCTCGAAGGGAACATAGGGCAACCCATGAGAAACTCCAGCCTCTTCGTCCGCATCGTCTGTCGCACCCTCGGCGGCAAGTGCACGCTCACGAGCCTTGCGTTTCTCTTTCTTCTCACGTCGTTTCTCGCGCGCAACCTCTTTATCTTCGAGATCGGCAAGACGCGTACGTTCGGCTTCCTCCGCCAAGAAGCGCTCACGTTGGGTATCCGCGTCACCACGAGATTTGAATGTTTCTTCGTCCTCCATCTCGTAGACTTCATGAGCGTTGCCCTCATCATCATATACGAGTCGAGTACCCTTGCCCTTGAACTTAAGCAACTTCTTCTTCGACTTGAGAAGCTTCTCCCGGCGCTTGGAGTCAATGATCAACTGATTCTTTTCATCCAGTTGAATCACCTTGGCACCATTGGCGCTCTTCTCCTCTTTCTTCTCATCATCCTCGTCGCTCGACGAGTCAGAATCAGAAGAATCAGATTTTCCAAGGTTAGCATCGCCAGCACTGAACACGCGCTTGACCGAAAGGAAATCGGCATCCTCGTCAGCGTCTTCACCCGCGGCATTGGCAACGCCCGGATCAATCATTGTACCGTCGTCATTGATAAGCTTAGAGTAATGTCCAGCCAGCACATCCTGGTTCCTCCGCTCAAACATACGGTCGTAGCGAGTCCGGACTTCCTTGTCACCCTTCTTGTCCTTTTGAGAACGCCCTTCGGCATCAGATTCGTTCTCCGAGTCGCTGAGGTGGGCCATCCGCCATGAAGCATTCTTTCGCTCCTTTGTGTCGTCTCCCTTGATGAACTTGATGCGGGGCGCACCAGGAAGTCCCAGACTCGCAGCGTAGTCATCCAGCTTCAGCTCCTTCAGGTTAAAAATTTCCTTGTCCTTCTGGACGTAAATTGATTTCACGTAGGAAATGAAGGCTTTCTGGCCCAGATATTTCAGCTCTGGATCCTTGAAACACATATTTTGCAACTGATTCTTGATGCTCTGCTGTTTGTTGGCCTTGATGTTGATCTTTTCAATGGGTACCTTCTTCTGCTCAAGTCGCTTGAGCATGCCCTTTTCCTCACTCGGATCCAAGAAGAGCACCGCACGACCGGCGCGCTCATATCGGGCGGTTCGGCCAACTCGGTGAATGTATGTATCGCAATCTTCGGGGCAATCGACCTGAATAACCCAGTCCACAGCGGGGAAATCAAGACCACGAGCCGCCACATCTGTGGCGAAGAGAACAGCGTGTTGAGACTGAGAGAACTTGGTTGTAATATCTAGTCGGCCTCCCTGCTTTTGCTTCCCGTGTAGATGCATCAGAGGGATACCGGGCTGTAAGTGGCGGAAGGACTCGTAGACGAATCGGACTTGTTTTCCCGACGATAGAAAAACAATGGTTTTGGACTTGAGGTTGCTGCGAATGAAGCTCCACAGAATATCCAGCTTGGACGCCAAGGGGGTAATGGTGTAGTGTTGTTGAAGGGTGGCCGGTGTGGCGGCAGTGGCAGTCTCATGGACTGCGACATACTCTGGATCCTGAAGGCTCAGTCGAGCCAGATCCCCCACTTTCTTCGTCTGTGTGGCACTGAACAGCATCGTTTGGCGCTCTTTCGGGATATGATCGATGATGGCATCCACCGTTTTCTGGAAACCCATATCAAGAATTCGGTCGGCCTCATCCATGACTAGCAATTGCAGGTTGTGGGTCTCCAGCATGGCCGTCTGGTCCAAATGTTGAAGCATACGTCCCGGTGTGCAGACCAATATGTTCATGCGGCCCAACCGTTCCTGTTCCTCGCGCAAGCTTTTTCCACCGATGACCAGACCCGCAGAGAAAGTGTGATACCGGCCGACCTTGCGAAGCACCTCGAAAATCTGAATGGCGAGCTCGCGAGTCGGCGCCAGAATCAAGGCACCCAATCCATCGTATTCCGTCCATCGTTTGCGGTAAAGGTTCTCCAGTACCGGGACCAAGAACGCAAGAGTTTTGCCGCTACCTGTCTTTGCGGCACCGAGAATATCACGACCCTTGAGTGCGTGACCGATTGCGCGCGACTGGATATCGGTCAGGATTTTGTAATGCGACGCGGCAAGACCGCGCGCCGTAGGATCGGAGAGAGGCAAGTCGGAGAAGTTTTTGACAGCGGCCTTGAGATCGAGATCCTCCACTTTCTGAGTGAGAGAGACAAGCTCATCCTCCCCACGTTTGCGCTTCAACGTTCTCTCAGAATTATGTTTTTGCTTGGGACCTTTCCCATGAGAGGTCTTTGGCGGCGCCATAACGCAAAGATCGAGCAAGATGACTTCCAGCGATGGTGACTTAGGATGCGCTTATCGCAAAGCGATCCGGCGGTGATCGAACCATCACCCGTAACTTTTTTTTCTAGAGTATGACTAAGCGCTGCGATAAGCGCCCGAGGCCTTATCTTTTCAATCTCCAATTCCGCGGCGCTCGCGTGGTACGCTTGAGCTATTCGCCTCTAGCATTCGTTCACAGTATGGCAGAGGACGAGCTTGATCAAGACGTATTCGATTCGCTTGAGCGAGAAGCCACAGAATTCACAAAGGTATCTCAAGCATTCACACCACCTCTGAGTTGCTGTTGGCCACCAGACTAACTCGTCACCTCTAGGATGCGGAGATTGATCGTATCCGCTCGGCCTTCTCCCTCGATGCGTAAGTGGAGCTAGTCAAACCGTCCTTCTTCTCCCACCCGGATGATGCCCCTTCTTTGACTCTAGCTCTGACAGGTGTACTTGACATAGTTATGCTGTCCTTGATCTCCAGCCCGGTGTGACCGAGAAAGACATCAAAGTCCAATACCGGAAGAAATCCTTGCTGATCCACCCGGATAAGACTAAGAATCCCGCCGCCCCCGATGCCTTCGACCGACTGAAAAAGGCCCAGACGGCCCTCCTGGATGAGAAGCAGCGCACATATCTGGATGAGTGCATTGCTGATGCACGAAGACTCTTGATCCGCGAACACAAGTACACTCTCGATTCCCCCGAATTGCATACGGAAGAATTCAAGGTTGAGTGGCGTAAAAAAGCCGTTCATGTGCTACTGGAAGAGGAGGCTCGGCGGCGCCGTCAAGCGAAAGCTCGTATGCAAGAAGAAGGCCGCGAGAAACGCAAGGAAGAAGAAGAGCTAGAAGCGCGCAAGCGGAAACGAGACCAAGACAAGGCATGGGAGGATACTCGGGACGAGCGCATTGGCACCTGGCGGGACTGGCAAAAGGGACGTAAAACAGGCGATGATAAGAAAAAGAAGAAAAAGATGAAAGTCCTCGGCTGATTGCTCATCATCTTCACCGCGGAAGCTGGGTTGGGTGTAGGGTGTTGAATCTATCATTGTTACCCATGCATAGCTCCGACATTCGTAGACAAGATCTTGACTTCGGAGAGACGAATGCTCTCATCTACTCTGAGCTCCCTACTATCAATTCACTCAGTCACACTGCACATAGTCTAGTAAAAGCACGAAGTTGTACTTGCATGGACGCACAGTGAGGAACCCCGACCGTACAAGGCGCGGAATGGCTTGTATCAAGCTCGAGTTTCTGGAGCTTGTCTAGCTTGTTTCAGGACTGACTATCCTAACCCGGCACTTGTTCATAAACAACCCGGCCGAGCGATAAGCTCCGAACGTCTGGCGCGGGCCGACGTGCGAGAAGCTTCGATGTACGTTCCATGCGGGAGGAAAAAGTACGCCCGCACTCGTTCAAGATGATGCTCAACTCAAACGAGTTGAAATAAGTGCTAGAGGAATGATAGGTAACCTGGGCTTGACTCTCAATTCTCTGACAACCTTCATATAACCCATCTCGAGAGGTGACCAGACTCTATTCCCCACCAGGCTTGCTGCGCAGAAGTTCCACGCTCATCACGTTGTAAGGTACACAAAGCGCTCGGATGCATTTGTACCTTCCCACATCTGCACGAGTACCGCAGTAACCTTCCGTTAGTGGCCAACCCGGATTATGTACTGCAGTTGGTACCTCGAGTCAGCTCCCGCTTTCCCCGAGAGCCGAGCAACATCATAACCCACTTCGCCCCCCGCGCTTCGATCTCCGGGACTCTCAGACATTCTCCTGGACACTCCTCGTCTTTTCCTTCACAATGGCACAGTCTGTGGGCACTCAATCAGGGTCGGCTGCATCGCCTCTGTCTACCCACGCATCTACGAGCGCATCAGATCACCTACGACCATTCCGACCGGTCACAACAACCCCCCGCGAACAATTACCCCGCGGAGTTGACTCGGCCGCCGCAGCGAGTCCGGATCAAGGATCTGGGCTTTCAGCCACTTCCATTGCCCAGGATAGAGATTCCTCGGTGCCAGAATCAACCTCTGCAGAGAAAGATGGCAATGATGTTCCCCCGCTGCCAGTTGTGGTCGCCCAAATCCATGCTCGCGTGCAATCATTCCTCGACGAGTCACACCCACCCAGCTCCTTACTTGCCTCGGTGCAGCGACAGACTCGAATGTCCCTCGACGTGGTGGCCAAGGCCCTGACAAAGTACAAGTTCTCTGAACTATCAATCTCCTACAATGGCGGCAAAGACTGCCTTGTCATGCTCATCCTATTTCTGGCGGGTCTTCATCCCCACTTGAGTGCAACACAGTCTGGCCCAGACAGCACAACACCGCAGAGTATCCCGGCCACCACTCCTTCTACATCGACACCTTCCACAAGTGACCAATCTGAGGGTTCTTCCGAGACAATTTCAGAGATACCTGCCATCTATGCGCTTCCCCCCGATCCGTTCGATGCCGTGGAGGACTTCGTCATTACCTCGGCGCAGGCCTACCACCTCCAGGTTACCAAATACACCACCGCACCCCCTGCCACCACCATGCGCTCCTGCTTCGAGGACTACCTGGCAGGACACCCAGGTATTCGCGCCATCTTTGTTGGCACACGGCGGACAGATCCCCACGGTGGGAAACTCACCCACTTCGATCAAACTGACCATGGCTGGCCGGACTTCATGCGCATCCACCCGGTGATTGATTGGCATTACGCAGAGATTTGGGCGTTCATTCGCCACTTGGGCTTGACGTACTGCTCACTCTATGACATGGGTTACACCAGCCTGGGGGGCACGTCAGATACGCACCCAAATCCTCGGCTGCGAAAAGTCAGTGAAACAGGTAGTTTAAGCGGTGGCCACACTGATGCTCAAACCGAATATCTGCCGGCTTACGAGCTCACCCAGGACCTGGAGGAGCGACTAGGCCGAAACTGATCCCTCGAATCCTGAGTCGAGCGAGACTGGAGGTGAGAGGTGAGAGGTAAGGTGATACGACTGAGTTATCTCTGACTTGGATGACAAGAAACGAGCTGGCGGGCATCGAGATTTGATCCATTCTTCATGTTTCTCTCACTTTGAACTAGCGTATTCCTTAAGCTTTTGCTTGATTTCGACTTCGCATAGCGGGTTCCCACGGTCATCTTGCCCCTCACCTGCCCCTCCAGTATCTCAGGAGGCCTCCTGCCTTGGCCATCGTGATCCTTCAACCCACAACGATCTCTTCATTACATAGCTACCATAGATACCATCTGTCTTGTCACTTAGCAGATTCGATTTCGATTACCATTCCGCCCCCCGTCTGGCACTGTTGAACTGGCGAACGTTCAACCGGTTCTTTCTACAAGCTGTGGACTGACGAGTCCCCCCTGATGGGACATGCTTATGTCTAGTCAGAGGTTGATTTTTTAATAATAAATTGGGGCTTCGTTTCACTCATAACAATCATGAAATCATACATCTTAATCCTGCATAAACATGGGTATCACTAACAACTCGTTTCAGATAACATGAGGTGGAACGACCCCAACGTCCACGCTCGTCAACGCAACATAAGGGATAAGCGAAATAGAAATAAACATACACGTAACACGAAAACAAACAGGAAGCGAACATCAACCGACATAAAATGAACATCAACTGACATGAAACAAACATGAAACGCAAGAGATGAAATGAAAAGTAAGAATGCAACAATGGGGTATCAATAGTGAATAAGCGATGAAGGGAAACATGCATACGGAACGGAAAGATAGAAAGTGAACGAAGAAAGCATATAAAATGAAGCGATAGGAATGGAACTTGAGAAATGGCAAAGACAAACGTAGGGAAAACGCAATGCACGTGACCAAGTCAGACAAGCTCGGGATGAGAGTTACTCGGTTCAATGCACGCACGTTGAACCTACCCTCATTCTCGGCCCCGAAGCAACCGAACCTTTGAGGTCCTATTTCTAGGAAATGACATGTCAAAGGCTGGGCGACCCCACACGCACGGTCTTCGATGAGACGGTGGTCTCAGTGGCGGACCGGCGATGCACGCTTGGGGGCGAAAAGAGCATGCTGGCCTCCTGTGGAACGTCTGACTGTGTCAGACGGTGGAAGCTTGGAGGAAGCTTCCGGGGAGTCGCGTAGCTTTTCAAGTCCGTCAGCGCAGTTCTTGATCGTTTGTCACCATCGACTAGTCTCTCGATAACTTACATGACGCGCGACGAGTCCGAGGTCGCGGGACTCCAGTGGCCTGGTGCCGAGTCACCAGTGTAAATGATCACGCTCTCTTGTGACTCGGGCGTGATATCGGCGCTCTTCTCGGTCTCGGGAGAGACGCGAGTGTCGTGGCGTGTGGTCGCCCGGGTTTCAGGCGAAGGGGTCCATGGGAGCTGTCCAAGGCGCACAGCCACGTTGTACTGGCCGGTGCGAGCGACCCGACGCTGCAAGCTCGACTGTTTCAGCATCTTCTGCGCCTTGGTGTCTGCAAAGCGCAACAGAAGTCTCACGTCGTCACTTGGCACCGTGACGTTGTGGAATTCCTCCAGAACTTGTTCGGCAATCTCGCGCGATTCAAAGCTGGAGCGATGTTAGTTCAGATCGCGCACGTAGGATTGGAGATGAAATGAAGCGATCAACTTACCGCGCGAAGCCGACCTCCTTGCTCACCCCAGTCAATTCATCGCGGCTAATCTTCTCAGACACCACTCGGTAAGGCGCGAAGTGGCGACGGAGATCCTGTGCAGTCACATTGACGTTAGCATGCGTAGTCTAATCAATCGAATGCGGAGAAGAATCGTACAGCTTCAGTCCAATCTACAGGAATGTTCGTGCAGTAAATATTGGTGGATGACTTGTCTTCCAAGTCCTTCAAGCGAGCATTGCGAGAGCGCTGAGCAAAGCTTGCCTGGTACCCAAGGTAGTGGAATGCTCTGATCGCATTCTCACACGCGATCTGGGTCTCGAATTCCACGAAGCCGAATCTGTTACAATGAGTGAACATCAGCATCAGGGGAGTGTCACCTGGGGTGGGATATGGCAACATACCCTTTGCAAGTACCTGTCTCAAGGTCAACAATTGCTTTGCAGCGCTCAATCACCCCGAACCGCTTGGCGTAGTCGTAGATCATTTGATCAGTGGTATCGGGGTGGAAACCGCGAATGTAGACGTTCTTGATGCCTTCACGATTTTCCAGGCACTTGGGCAAGGTTGGCTCCGTTTGGGTGTGCCAAACCGTGGGCACCGCACGTGGAATGGCCGGCGCTTCCGAAGTCAAGACCTCCAGATTCCGGGGGGTGTACCCGTTTGGTGTGAGCATCAATTGGACAGGACCAGGAGTGAGCGAAGCCGACTGAGTCAATCTGTTTTGGAACCCTGTATCATTTCCAGAAGATCCCATGCGGTTGGGTGTGTTATTGTAGCCATTGTTAGCCAGGTCCCAGTTGTGGCTGTTCCAAGCAGTTGATCCATTTGCTGGGCCGCTGGCTCCACGTGGTGGTGGCCCATTTGGACCTTGGGGATTGACATTACCCCATCCACCTCGATGATACGGACATGCGGGTAGATGAGGGCAAGGGCATCCAGACAGTGGGCGGTTGGGGGGCGCAACAGAAGCATGGTTGACACCTGACAAATGGTTGTGAGGAAGGTATTGCGGAACCGGGCCAGTGCTAGTAGGTGCCTGGTAGAAAGGGTCCGTAAATGCGGTTGCATGTCCTGGAGCGGGGCGTCTGCCATTGAATACAGCGCCAGGGTTGTTGCCAATTGGAATTGGCTGATAGAAATGGTTGGGGCCATAACCGAAGTTGCCAGGAGTCTGAGGAACTCCAGCGGGGGAGGCTGAAGCCTGTGCGGCTGAAGGACCTGCAGCTGGAAGGCCCGGACCCTGAGTGGGGGTCGATCCGGACGGGGCTTGTGGGGCAGCCCAGGGGAATGGCGGAGCCATGGGGTTGGTGCCTCGGTTTGCACCAGGCGAATTGAACATCTCGTTGTTCTGCGCGCGCATTCTTCGGGTAGCCCTAAAGAGGCAGAGGACTGAAAGGAGCAGGATCATCAGTGAGCACAGGTAATTAATTGACATATCTCAAGGAGGATAAAAGAGAAAAGCATCTCATCAATGCCTAGTAGTCAAGACGAGGCAAGACGTTTGAACAACTTGGTGATGAGAAGACTTTCCAAAGAGGCTACAGCGCAGGCTCACCGCGACTTACCTACTGGGAAGCTTGAACACGACAGAAGCGAAAGACAGCGAACGATTGATTCTGGAGGCCTGCTGAAAAATTAGTTGATTCATCACAAGAATGAGAAATGTGATGTTGTTTGATAACAAAACACATCACTGAATGGGGGAGTAGGTTAGGGTTAATGAGAAAGAAACATGGGAGCGTACCTAAGCCTTGAAAGAAGCGAATTTGCCTGCGTGTGGACAGGCGAAAAAAGACTGGTAGAAAAAAAACATCCAATGGTCAGCAATAAAGGTAGGCTCCAACAGCAAAAGTTTCACTCATGCCTTCGTATAATCCGGAGGCATAGTATCAGAAAGAATGGAAAGGGCGTTTGGGGGTGTGTGGGGGTGTTTGGGGGGTGTTGGGGGGGTGTCATTTGGGGAGGGGGGGAGGGGGGGTGTGCAACGGGGTACAGTAGAAGATAGGGCACGTGATGGGAAGGTACACGACGACACATCCCAACACATAAATGATGACAATGTCGTGTGCATAATGAAACATGAGCGATGAGAGATGAGGATGCATGATGACAGTTGAGGATGACCTGTGATGGATAGATTGCGTTGCGAGATGAAAGCGATGATGAGAAAGGACGAGAAGAGATGTATCCTGATGGAAGGCAGTTGCTACAGATGATGAGAGGGAGTGATGAGCTCAACTACTGATGGAACATACCTTGTCAAAGAAATGCAGCTTTGGATAAGCTGAGGCTGAGTTGGAAACAGAGATAGGAAGAGAAGGTTGGAAAGCGAAAGTGAGTGTAAAGGTTTTGGGGAGGAGAAGAAGAAGAAGAAGAAGAGGAGGAAGAGGAGGAGGAAAAAAGAGCGTGGGAAGAAATGGCGCATCTTTTAAACTACCTACAGGCCTCGTGACCCTCGCTCGGGAAATTCAAGTGCTCCGGCACAAACAACAGGTGAGCCAAGGGGCATTACTTGCGTAGGCCAGTGTGCGCGATAGACGATAGACGTGCCTTCCGTTTCGGGAAAAACCAGAGATTAGCAAGCTGAAGGCCCCTTCTCTCCCATGAGGAGACTCAAACAGAAAACAGCTTCAGTGACGCGAGTTGGAATTCAGTTGGTGAACATAGCATGCTGACTGGCAATGATCGACCGTCTTTGCACGATTTTACAGTCTGCAAAGTCTAATGAAGTTGAAAGCGATACAGCTGATGAGATAGTTGAACTGCAATTGCATTATACTTTCGAGAGTGCGCTACTTCCATCACGCAGCTTTGGACTTATTCTTCAGCCACTGATAAACTACAGAGAAGTCCTTGCCACGGTAAGCTTCTTCCACGGCATTGTATACCTCTCGAGCGGACTCTCCCAGTGCCAAGGGAGTATCCGAGCTCTGAGCCGCCGCAAGAGCCAGACGCAAATCCTTGTTCATCAAGCCTATTCCAAATCCACCTTCATATCCACGAGACGCAGGAGCCGTCTCGACAACCCCCGGCACGGGGTTATTAACCTCAGAAGGCCAGCATCGGCCAGTGGAAGAGTTGATCATGTCGGCAAGATTCTTAGGGTCGAGGCCCCATCGGATACCCAGGTTCATGGCCTCTGCAGTAGCGATGTTGTTGATGGCAAGCATGTAGTTGTTGGCCAATTTGCCAGACACTCCAGCTCCCGGCTCACCCAAATGCCAGGCCTTCTTACCCATGAGGGCAAGAATACCTTGAATTTGCTCTAGCAAATGCTCGGCCTGCGCCGAAGCACCGAACATGAACGACAGTGTTCCTGCACGGGCGCCAACAACGCCGCCGGAAACAGGAGCATCCACGAAGTGGCCAGTCTGAGAAGTATGGATGGCCTTGGCGACATCTTTCGAGGTGACCGGGTCAATGGTGGACGTGTCGATGAATAGCCGCTCTTCACCGAGTTCGGGTAGCTTTCCACCGTGCAGAATGGAGTGGTAGACATCGATAACGTGCTGCGGCTGGGGAAGGCTGGTGATCACGACAGTCTACGACCCATACGTATCAGTATGCGGCTCTCTGAAAGACGAGTCTTCTACTGCGCAATGGCGGAGACGACTCGAAAGAATGCAGAACATGGCGGCTCAAAGACATACCGACTTCTCAGCGACTTCTCGTGCGTTGCGGGCAACCTCCACTTGTCCACCCATCTCACGCGCCTCGCCGACGAATCTCTCCACCGCAGCCTCATTGACGTCGCGAATCATTAATGTGTCGGAGACTGGGATCTTGGTTCGGAGGTTTCTCGCCATATTGTATCCTGTGGGAAGATCTGGTCAGTCAAAGCAGCTTTTGAGTATGAATCTGCGGAGGAGTTATCCGGGTACACACCCATCTGCCCGAGTCCGATGAAACCCCATGTTTTGCTTCGGAGTGCGGTTTTTGAGAAGGACCGGACGGGATTGAGTGCTGTAGGGCCAGTCGGCCACCGACGGACAGCCGTCGCGAGATGGAGGCGAGCTGATCTCTGGAGCGATGCGGTGCTGCGAAGAGGCATGGTGCCGAGTAGGAAGCAAGCAGGGTTGAGGATATTTTGAGATTGGAAGTTACTTGAATTGAAGCTCTTAGTCGTTCAAACTACACATCACCATCAGAGGGCACTACGAGTCTTAAATAATGGCTAGCACTGGCCCCACCGATCGCATTCTCTATAGCCGTCGCTTTCCGAGGTCCCCCCAGCTCGATGGAGGTCGGGAAGTGCGGGGGTGCTGCCGAGGTCACATGATATCCCGAATGCGGGAACGGCCCGAAGTCACGTGTACCACGTGGTAGTGGGGCGCCGTCAACGAGTATATTCGCACGTCAATGCGGCTCAGCCCATCCACGCTAGCTCTACTGGGGATAGCGGCTGTGATCACGTGGCCCTTTGCGAGCAGCACTTCCCTCTTCAGAATCCGAGGCATGGCCAGTAAGAAGGATAGACTATCAGAAGTATCAGACAGCTGAGGCAGTATCCCATGAAATGCGAATTCCCTAATTTCCAGCCCTCTTCAGTCTTGATACAATGGTAATACCTGATGGTCGGCTAGGTTGATGAGTGTGGACCGTGGAGGTAGCGCCATTCACGTCCAGCCGTGATCCCGCTCCCGGCCTGTCCAACCCCCCACTGCCGATTGTTCCGACACCCCACCCCCCCCCCCCCCTCAAACACCCTCCTCCAGCCACCCTTACACCCTTCCACAACTTCCATTCCCCTCCCTCAACATTGAGTACTGGAGCGCGCTCATCATTCTTTTTGCCTGATAACACCCAGTATTCCAACACCAGAGTTTCTATCTCTCCAGTACCGTGGTTTGAGATTCCTGTAGTACATTTGTGCTCCAAGGTCCCTCTAAATCTTGAGATGGTCGTCTTCCTAGGTGGAGAATGTTCTCATACGGACAATGCATGATTACCATGCTATGAAAGTAGTTATCGGTAGATAGGTCTTTCAACTTTTCAGATCTTATTTTCACTTTTGAAATTATCTAACATGACTAAGAAAGAACGGAGTCCCTGTCATCTCGACTGGAAGTTCAGCTATATGCCCGAAATTCAATGCGAACCTGAGGTGCTGAGTAGGGTGAGGTATGTTCAACTTGATACTAGGTAGATGACGTACAACTATGGCAGCAAGTATACTTTTAAATTTGTGTTCCATGCACGGAAACATGCATTCGCTTGCCTGCTTGAGGCAGAATCTCGGTCAGGTTGCTCATTGTGTTGGTGCCCAGGTACCTTGTGGAAGTCAGCATTCCAACACCCCCCAGCTACCTATTCACGTGGCTACGTGAAAATATATTTGCAGCCTGACGGCTACACATTGACGTTCTCAATGCTCTTGGTTCCCAATCCTGCAGGGTTCATGACGTGGTAGACTTCATTGGCTTTGAATGCACTCTCTCATTGTCTCATTGAAACCAAAGGCTCGATGCAGACCAAAGAACAAACCTTCAGTGGTTGTGGCAAATGCTGCACGCACGGTTGGTCAGGTAGGTAGTGATGCATAGATAGATGTTTTGCTAAGGTAGCCAACCATCTATTCAATTTTTCTACCCTGATGGAAACGCATACTTTCGCTCTGGTACAACATACAGCATCAATCACCCCAAGTACTCCCGCAAGCGTGAGATGGAACGATGACGGTGTTTTTTAAATCTCATCGCAAGCTATTGAGGTAACCCATGGTCATAAACAGTGGGATGAAGCGGGCATGAGCTAATGAGTGATCCCTCTTATCTCAGATCTTTTGTCCACACGGAGTCAAAGAAACGACATAATGGCGGATTCTTTCCGCCACTCGGCCTCACACGCATTACCACCTTCGGGAGATGATCAGCACTCGGAGCAGTGAGCTACACGAAACAAGCGATGAGCTTGAATCCAACTTACAATCTATCTGAGTTGCACTTTGCATCCAGGCCTCGGGCTCAATAACGACTTCGATCGACCGGGTCTCCGCGTCTACGTCGAGGGTGCCAGTGAGGGCTTCACGTGTCACGTGGGTGGACGATTTGGAGTGAGAACGATTGATCAGCACCCACGGCACATGAAGCCCCAGAGTCTCTCGAACGGCCTCGGATCGAACCATGGTGTTTTCTCTTCCTTGGGTGAAATTGCATCATGCCAAGTCCTTTCTTCAGAGTTGTGAATGTTTTCTACGCAGAGCACAATATTTGACTGGCTTCATGCTCTCCAGGTGCAACGTGAAGGCGAGTGGTCTTCAGGTAGAGAGGAGTCTCGTGACACTCTTGTCTCACGTGAGTTACTATCAGCTCTCATCATCCAAACGCCCATCGCCCGCATTCAGGTCGAGATTCGTTCCATCTTGGTAATTACTGACTATTCAAAATAATGAACTGAAGCCTGCGATCGGCTTGCCGCCATGCTAAAAGAAGCCATGACAAGGCTTCACACGGTGGTTTCGTATATCATCTTCGGATCTTTTTTGTGATCAGTAGGGTGTTGTGGTCTCCACGTGCTTTACTTTCTCCTCGTCAGTGTCTTATTCCTTGTCCGCTCTTCCCACACGGATTTTCTTTCTAACGTTGACCACTTGGTAAAGTTGGACTCGAGCAACATCCCATTCTCCTCCATACGGCAAGCGGTATAGCAGCCACTCAAATCTCCAATTAAGGAATTTGCTGCCACGGAGCTCGGTCGTACTGCTCTATGCGACAACAGAGCTCTTGTCGATGCAGTCTGGGTGGCAATGTCCACGAAACGGGCACGTACAAACACATGAAGGATTGGAGAATGGGGTTTCAAATAGAGCTTGACATCTGAAGCTCTGCCGCCGGAATCTCGTCAAGCCTACTAATGTGCGTACAATATCGGGGCTCATGCATCACACCTCCGATCTGTGGCCGAGAACGGCCCACCAAGGCCTGTCCTTCATGTCCTACGTGACTTGCCACCAAACGAATCCAAAGTTCGCATGTCCACTGACAGATTTCGAACAGGCCAAGTACATTAGACTTGGATCTGGAGGGAGTACAGCACATGCGGCATGGCCTCGGTAGTCGGTAGCAGACAAGGGCCGAGACATTCATTTCATCTCTGACTAGGCGAACAGTCAGCAGGGCGACGTCAAGATCGCCTGAAGGGAATTTCTCCACGAATTTGCTCTTGCGCACGGAAATTAACTCCTCCGCCACATCTTCATCGGATAAGATTGCCGCATTCGCAAGCCCTCCAGTGTCTCGATGTAAAGTCTTCCTTCCCCTCAGCCCACACTGCACCTTCTCACGACTTGTGCACTCTGACAGGATATTTAGTGCGCTCCCAGATGCCGCCACCAACAAGATGTCGATCGCCTTACAAATGAACCTTTGCATCTGGAGTCCGATTGGCAATGACTCGGGCTCGTGTGATGCACATCCCGCGTCTTAACATGAATGATTGTCCGTCAGGTGTGTTGACTGATTGGGGTTACATGTTCAGCCAAGAGCCCTGTCGTTTACTAAATAACGGGAAGTCTTTGGCTACCCGTGACGCAAACGGCAGAGCGGAATGTCAATCCAGTAAGTCAAAAATGAAGAGACTCCTTGTAAATTTAGATTCTACACAGATTCGGATGAGGGAAAGTCAACTGACAAATGGTATCGGGGGTATTTAGACATTTAACAAAGACAAATCGCGCTATGGAATGGCAGGCAGAAATGTGGCAGAGCAAGCAAAAGTATTGGGAAAGTGAAATTACGGACACGAAGCCTGACAAGATGGTCGTCGTCATCTTCGCTCGACCTCATGACTTTGGGGATGTGGGATGGCTAGTTGGTCCTGTGAGGTACTCCTCTGGAACCTTGGGGACTCGGGGCGAAGTCGCCATTTGAGCCATAGCGCGGTGTTGCGCACGGAGATGATCACGCTGTCGTTCTTTCTCTCTACCATTGCCTGCACCACCCGTGAGTCGACGCATACCGCTGCGAATCATGCTCTCGATCGAATGCGATCCGTCAGTGGCACTACGCACCATATGTGGCCCTGGTGGCTGAAGACCTTTTTGACGTTCTTCAAAATCCGAATATGCGTCCTCGATCTCGTCATCCGAAAAGAAGGCTGATTCATGCACGGCGATGGGAGGCGGTGCATGCGGACCTACTTGCGGATTGTGGGAATAGAGATTATTTGCAGGGGATGTGACCGAGCGAGTGTGAGACGGTGGGCGCAAAACTTGCAGTTTTTGAGACGGTTGATTGGCTGGAGAGCGCATGGTTGCCCCATCATAACGTGAATTGACCGGACGGGATTCCGCCAGACCGTTGTGAAAAGAGGATGTGGACCCTGTACGTGCGAGGGACTTACGCAAAATGGGTGCTGTCTGTTGATCGTAAAGATGGGCATTCGTATCCACATAGCTTCCTGCAAATCCGCGGTGGATCGTCTGCGGTACCGAATTGAGAGAGGAAACACCAGGCTCAGTTTCCTCGAAGAAGTCGTCCAGACTATCGAGCTTTTGAACAATGTCGCCCATATTCCCATCTGTCAGGGTATCGATCGACTTCATGGTGTCAGCCCTCATTGGGAAGAATGAATCTTTGAAATCGTCGGCCCGGAATTCGACATCAGGCGCCACCTTCTCCTCTGGCCCCATTGCACCAGCGTCATTGCATGTGTAGAAAACAGCATGAACGTTGTTGCGCGTCATCATCGACTGCGTCGCAGGCATGGGAATGGACCAGCCTGTCTCTTCGGGTATCCCATATAGACTCTGTATGCGTTCATACTCCTTGCGAATGGCCTGCGAGGAAACGGCCGAGGCCATGCTCATGCGGATGTGATGCCGCTCCATCGGATTACCAGAAACGGTCATGATGTGATCAAGAACACCTAGAGCCTGCGGGCACAGTTCTGTCTGGAGAAGCCGCAACAACGGGGAGATCAGATCGGGGCCATGGCATGTCACCTCAGTTCGCCGCATGTCGACCTCTGGTATCAAGACACAAAGAATTTTCATGGTCTTGATTCGGAACCAATCCGTGGTGTTGGTGAGAAGGCCCATGAGGAAGATCAAACATTGAAAGTCAAGCTGCGGGAAATAATAAGACTTGATCTCCGTCACAATATGATCCAAGAAGACGTCTTCCGTTTTGTACTGCTGGTTAGCGAAACCAAACAACGAGGCAGCAAGTCTGGGACACCGCTCGTCTTCAGCAGCGCGTGCAAGCAAGCTAGCGTGCATGATAGGCTTCTGTTCATTGAACTCCTGGTCGAAGCATCGAAGGAAGCACGGAAGGTTCGCCAGGATGCTGAACAGTTGACGAGTTCCGTCTCCGATGAGTTCGTTGTTAGGCAAGCCACTTAGGCTGTGTAGGATATCCAGTGCGCGACCGAATGTCTCCGAAGACTTGATTCCCTTGAATACGAGATCTTGAATCCCTTCGAACCCACCCTCCCATTTCGGAGGCTGCCCATCCAAAAGCTGCGCTATGACCACGGCGTCGCCGAGATCGAGTTTTTCAAGAATTTCCTCCAACATACCCAGGCTCTCGACGAACTCGCTCTCATGAATCGTGTTCAAGCAAGCACACGTGGTCCAAAACAATTGCGGATGCTGCAAAAGGTCGGATGCGGTCATCGAGCCAATTGTTCCTTTCAGCGTGGTCAAAATCTCCATCGAGAATGATTGGTAATGTTTGCCCTCATCAGCAATTGTGGTTGACAGTCGAACAAGCATGTCTGCTAACATGGCGGAGTCCAGTGACGTTGAAATACAGCGGAACACCTGAAACGAACGGCAAGCCAGGTGGGGAACTGGACAACACGTCGCCCATATGAGGGCCTCCTTCGCCCACAGGTTATCAACGCCGCTGTTCTCAAAACTGAAGAACTTGACCACTTCACGCGTCACAGTCGCCATGGCGGTGAGCACGCGTCGTCCATCAGATTCTTCGTCATTGACTTGATTATCCGCATAGTCCCAAACGACGGTACTGTCATTTTGCCTGATTAATTCGACAAAGTCTTCAACAGCCTGGCGCATCTCCGCAGGTGCGTCATCTGCCAACTTGGCAGCGACAAGCTCATGGATAAGGTGGACCAGCATCTCACGAGCCTGTTCCTGAACAGTGACCGTGTAATGATCCCAGAGAATGAGAACGACATGAAGCAATTTAATGACGTGTTCCATCGCCAGAGTCACTGGGGCTACCATGAGATCGACGAGAAAAATGAGAGCGACTTGACCCAAAAAGAGTCCAGCTTGTTTGTGTCCCTTGGGAAGCACGGTGCTCAGATCCGCCACGTACGGTAGATTGTGAGTCTCCGCGGGCTGGGGTGTAATTTCCTTGCGATCCTGTACCATGTTTCGGGGGACCACCAAAAGCAGGAAGAACTCAATGACCTTGGAACCAGCCGGAGTCGACGCAAGGAAGACCACGACCTGCTTCGCATATTCCACAAAGTTTTGCTCCTTTCTCTCCAAGCACAGATTGATGATGAAATCGAGGACAACCTGGACATTGCCGCCATGGGGACCCGTAGCCAACGCCTGCCACATCGCTTGTACCTGATTCGGTAACGCCGAACTACAGCGAATAGTTATCTCAAAGAGATTTGCGAGAAGCATATATGAAGAAGCTGTGGGCTCACCATTCGGATCGACTTGCAGCTCCATCGCCTGAACCCAGGGGAGAATTGCAGCAACCATGTTTCGCTGACTGTCGGGTCGCAGATCGCGGAAATGCAGGGAGAACTCGGAAAACAGTGTAAACGCCAGATCTGCGTGAAGAATAGCGAGACGTTTGGAAGTTTCAAATTGAGCCAACTGGTACACTGCTGTCGTCTTGTCTGAGATGCTAATATCAAAGTCTTGCAGACGGGAGCTTTTCTGCTGCCGTTCCTCCAGTCGGCGAAGAAGTTTGGCTGATTTCATTCGGATCTCGCGTTTGGGGCTTCCAAGAGTGACCAGAACGGCGCCCAAAATCCTCCAGAAAGGCAATTTGTATTCAGGGTACTCGATCAAAACTTGGGTTGACACTTCGAAATAGCTCTCAAGAGCCTTCGGGTGTTCAGCCACGTAGCACATCTCAATCGATCGCTCCATCAGATACGAATGCTCCATGTTGTGGACTATCAAGTTGTTCAACGCCCGACGTCCAATAGAGTGCCACTTATCACTGACAGTGTTGAAAATAATGTCAAGCCATGACAGCATGCGCACGACATCGAATTGGAGCACAGATCCGCTGTCGGTCGTGATGCTGATGGGGCCGGCCTGGAACACGACGTTAGCGACCGTGGGGGAGGTAGAATAAAGGGTTCAGCACTCACACATAGAGACGCCATGGCGCTCAAAGCTGCCGCCCGGAGATTCTTCTTTTCGATCTCAGTGGCGGCAGCTGCATTTTTGATCTCTCCGCCATCGAATTGCGGCGACGCGGCGAATTTGCGCATCTGCTCTTCTCTTTCTGAGATCTGAACTTGATTAGGGGAGTATCCGCACCAGTCCTCCATGAGAGAAAAGGCGGATTTTCTGGATTCGAAAGGCATCCAGCGGAACGGGTCCCTTGTGCGATTGACGCCCTCGAAGAGCTCCTCCATCAGGCCACAGTAATGGAATCGGAGGCGCTGGAACTCCCAGTCGTTTTGGATTTCAGCATCGCTGAGGAAGATGCGCAGGTCTTTTGCGTAGGTGATGATGTTGTTGACGATCCAGTCATCGTTGTAGACTTCGGGCTCGCGCAAGAATCGGGAAGTCAACTTGTAAACATGGGTAACCTCTGTCCTAAGACGGTCGGTGTTCCGGTTTCGATGAGCACTGCTGGGTGTCCGGTGGTGGGATCCAATCCGGACCTTTGCTTCCTCGTTACATGTGGTGACTGCGTACTGCAACGACTCCAACAAAGTACGGTACAGATTTTTGTGTATAGAGCCGAGTGCAACCACAATAGCATTACGGATAGAGTCCCTTTCAGCAGAAAGCAGGGGAATGACGGATGCAAACAGACTGCGCGCGGAACTGATCTTGTCAGAGAACTGAGAGCCCTTGGAAGCTTTACGCGCGTGCTGGGCGTTCGCCAATTGGCTCTGGGACTGCGCGCCGACGCTGGTGACGGTCGTGCAAGCCATGACCAGATAGAGCTTCCACTGCTCGACCAATATTTCGGCAGTCATGTTGCTTCGTGCCATGGGTCGGCTTGGATAGGGCTCAATTGGAGAGTACTGCGGATGCCGTGTGCGCTCTGCCAAGGATGTAATCATTTTGTGCATGCGAACCAGGCGTGCACAGACTATCTCGCGACCTAGTGTAACAGCGAACGGGCAAGTCTCGAAGCTCACCCGAATAATGTTCGGGAAGACCTTGGACCACAGCGTAGAATCATAGGAGACCTCGCTGCTGCAAAGCTCTATCAGTGTGTTGTTCGTGGCACTCCGTCTTTTGCCCTTTTGAATGCGGCTTCGCTCGGCAACGGTCAATTGCTCATCGTTCAGGTCCAGCAGTTGCTGAGAATCCGCCTCTAGAATTCGAATGATGCGTTCATTTTCTTTGCCGAGTGCCTTGTCGAACTCAGTGATGAGGCGAAGGACGTTGATCGCAAAGGCGCGAACGCGCCGAGACTGCGAGCAGAGGAAGAAGAGGCCGTGGGATTCGATCTCCTCGACATGTGCAAGCACAGTTGAGAGATCAAGATGTAGAGCTCGGCTCCCGGTTATGGATTTTTCGAGCTGATCGGAAGACGCCTCCTTGGTCTTCTGCTTGATTTCGTCTATCCATATGAGGAGAAGTTCAACGTACAGTTTCAGAGTTGACTCGATGTGACCGGGTCCGAGCATTCCTTCATCAGACATGGTGGAATACCGCGCGTCGAAATTGAAGATGAACCGGGCGAATCCAATGGTAACTTGCTGGGCATGGGACTGCCTAGCAATTGCCTTCAGAGAGTCCGCCGAAGATCTGGCGATATTAGTCTGAACGTGGGCAGTGCCAGTGCATAGCAGGTTAATCAAAGAATTGAAAGGGATGTGATCCGAAAGACACCGAGGTAAGGCTTGTACAGCTACGTGGAGCAAGTCGTAAAAACCTTGCTTCTGATCCACTGCACTCAAATGGTCATCTCTTCGACCGAATCCAAAAGCTTCGGTCAGTGGCGTTTTCGGCGTTGTGCCCCCGAATTTCTCGTCTAGGACAGCTTGCCCGCCGAAAGTGTTGTCGCACAGGATCGTGATCTTGCCAAGGACTTCACAGAAACGGAAATAATACTCTTTGACATTATCACTCAATCTGGAGATATTCACGGGGGAAGATGAGGTGTCGGCCCGGTCAACGGATGCTCTGGCTTTGGGCTCAGCGAGAAGTTGAGAGCGATGGAAGTATGAGGGAATGGAACTATCCAGGAATGGGTTTGGCAGTGAACCCGTAGGTATTGGTGGGCAAAGCTGATCGCTAGTCTCGAGATCGGACATTGTTGCTAGAAATGAACGAATTCCAATCACCACCTTCTCTGGCTCCATCTGTTCGATTCGCAGTTCACGGCCTGACACGAACAGATCTGAGCTGATTAGAGGGAAGATAATATTTCTGAAGCAAACATCGGGATACTTGAATCCAATCATGCGAATCAATTGAATCAAAGGATCCGCAAAGACCGGCTCCGCGCTGAGGTATGTCCGTTTGCCTGACGGGAGGGCAACTTTTGTAACTTCTTCCACCTTACGAAGAGTAGTAGTTGTAGAGTCCGAATATCGAAAGAAGTATGTCCAAACAAGACGGCAGATCGCGTGCAAAGCCGGCGCACGCGAAGGGCGGTCCTTCAAGCGGGGCGGCAAGCTCGCGATCATTGGCAACCACTGTGATGAGAAGGTATCTTTACTTGAGATACACAGCAACAGCGCGTTCAAGGAGAAAGCGGCAGCCCAATGTCGAGGCTTTGCCATCAGCTGTGTCAGCCGTGGGTGAATGATGTCCAGAAACTCCTTCCAGCGGGGTAAGGACAAGTCAACGACGGGATTGGCTGCAATTGGCAGCAGCAGTCTTTCAATGGTATGGCAATAAGCCTGCTTGATTCTCTGACCATGGGCGTTGACGAAAAGACGCGCTGCTGAGCGCATGAAGTCACAAGACTTGACCCAACCGTCAGACGATGTTGGTAGACGCAGATTTCTCATTCCAAGGACGAGCAATTCCACTTTGGCCTCGCCGTCGCGCGACGAGCCTCGGGCCAGTTCATCTTTTTGATATTTATCGAGCTCGGTGAGGAAGCGGTTGGCGACACTAGGAAAATTCAATTCACTCATAATACCGAGTAGCTGGCCGTAGATTCTCCAATTCGCCATACGCAGCGGGGATGCCACAGTCTGATCGGGATCCACTGCCCTGACCTGACCAAAAACGATATCTTCCAGTCGACCTGCCATGTCGTGAGTGATGGAGGCGAGACTACTTTGGTTGTAGATCTCGATTAGGACTCGACAAACTAGATAGACAGAGACCGTGGCACGGCGCTCTATGAGCGCGATGTCGTCTGGTCGACCGAGGAAAGCCGTCGATGACTGTGTTCGATCCACGGCGGAAGGATCGATAGCCGCCTGCGTGGGTTCGGTGTTTCGGCGTACGATTGCTCCATTCTCAGTCAGTGCGGGGGGCTTTGGCTGCAGTTGGCGTACATCGTCATGTTAGTGAGATTCCCATCCGCCGCGTGTGACTGAAGGCCGAGGGCTAAATGCCGCCGACAGCTGCATAGCGCGGAATTTCCAACTCACCAGATCATTTGTCATTTGTCTCGCCGTGATAGCTGCGTCGCCCTTGGCTTTCCGCCAGAGCATGATGGTATCAATGAGAGGTTTGGGCTTCTGCCTCGAGATGTGACCGAGGGCAGATATCAATTGATCGAAGCTAGCATCTGCGCCAGGCCCGCAGACTTCCTCGACGGGAGCCTCTGATTCTCCCAGCTTCATGATAGCTTGATTGATTTTGCTCTCTGCTTTACCGACAAACTATAAGAACATCCTGAATCAGCACTACTGTGGGAATCGGCCATTCGGCACGTGGAAGTCTTTTGAGAGCCAGCTCCTACCGAGTTGAATAAATGATGCAGCGCATACTCTCCCACTGTCTTGGATTCTAAGTGCTGCTTCGAATGGGACTGACTTTGGGATCGGTCACGCCTGCCCGTTTTCCCTTTTGAATTCCCTCGGGTATGTCCTGTGGCCACGGGGCTTCCACTGCCAGAGACACTGACATTATTGTCTTGTATGGTGGCCAACGAGTTCGGGATGCCGTGCGTCGCGGTCGGCGTGGGAGTTGGAAAGGGTGGTGGGGGGTCGAGATGATCAACCTTTGCTGGCGATGTGCCTTCCTCGAAGCTGCCGCGGCCGAAGGAGGCGATCAATTCCGGGCTCAGCGGACTAGCAGAAGCACTCGAGCCTGCCATGCTCGGATTGCGCGAATGGTGCATGCCATGAAAAATGGAGGTCTGACGGTGGTGGCCGTAAGAGTTGGACGGTCGCCTTTCCAATCCCGCGTCGTAAGCCGCAGGTTGGACGGTTGAAACATCGGGGCTTTTGGAACCAGAATGACCGCGACGAGCGTGGAAGGTCGGGGCTAACGTGGACGGGTCTGCAGGTCGTCCGCGTACCGCGGAGGGTTCACGGCTGTGCATTGGCGTTGACGAGGCCGTTCGCGTGCCTCGCCACTCAGAGGAGGACGGGAGATTATTTTGCGACGCTGACTTGCGGTCGTCAGCGAGGAGGGGTGGCGGTATCTGCTGGCCGAGGCCAGCAGCTTTACCTGGTTGAGCTGCCACTGAATCGACCGGACACGGTTAGCGAACTTTTTTCGGACAATCGCAAGAGAGTCGTAGATGGAGTGGGTCAAATATCATGCGTGCACTTTCACCAAGCAACATGACCACGACCGGCGGCCGACTAGGAGGGGGCTCCGATGATGAAAGTGTGTCTCCAAAGACAGTCACATACTGGCGAGGTTTCGAGCCGTCAAAGACTCATGGCCGAGTAATTCTCATTCAGGCTACCGTATGAAGGAATATGACGGGTCTCAGGCACAGGCACATGATGAATCAAGACATGATTTTACGCGAGCTGCTTGAGGGGAAGCTTCGAGGTTGGGTAGGGAGAGAAGGTGGTGAGGCTTGTACTGTAGTCAGTTTGTTCCCGCAAAATGACGGAGCCTCTGTCAAATCAAACATTTGGCGGGCTCGGCCGCTGGTTTGGTCAACACTCTTGTCTGATAGTCCATCACTCAGCTCGGGGCGACCGTAGGTTCTGCTAACTCTACGCAGTTGCCATTCGCCGCCAATTCCAGTCCCCAAGCCATTCAACATGCTGCAGTTGCAGCTATAAGCTTGAGATCAATTGATCTCTTTGTACGTACGATGGTCGTTTGACCGAGAAACGACCGCAGTAGGCGAAGGACCGGGAGGAGAAGAAAGGCGTCGACCATTTGCAGAGCAACAAACCCAGACGATGCCAATTACCTTGAGAGGGACTTCGACTACCGGCGATGACCTGCATTTGCCTTGTGCTTCAGACCTATCCCGTCTCATCATCATTTGGGGCATTGCTGTCTACGGACTAGTCATCGTCAGTACGGTACTCGCTAACCTTGTTAGTTACCCTGTGAGAGTGAGTCAGTACATGTTGTCACCTGCAGTCCTGCACTACTAGTCATGTCCTGAGACATGACGGCGAGTCAGCGCCTGCCTGCAGTATCCCTCGCAGTACCTTAGATAAGAACGTACCTATCTTGGATCATCATTGAGCTGGCCTCATTGTGGCTCGTACGAGATATCCACCGGATGAATTACTAACCTAACAGGCACGGTAGTCTGATGCCCGAAACTGAGTTTGAGTGATTGTTGTCTCCCAATATCTGCTCGCTTATAGATTGAAACGATACCTCGGTCAGCGCCCACGGATGCATGATTACATATTTATCGACTCATCGAATATGAAGACACAACGAAATGTGTAGACCTCGATTCTCTTAAGAGCCGCCCGATTCCAGTCTATCTCGATCGAGGAGGTATTTCCACCGTTCTGGGGGATATACATAGCTGGCGACATTGATCCACGCCCGCAGCGTTGGTGTACCACTAAGGTACGCCACTCATCTACATAAGTCATAAGGTACCTGACCTACCTCACCTAGCACCTATCAACCTGACTATTGTTCGTAGTTCGCACGCAGTCCACCACGTATGGATTGGTCCGCAGGTGAATGGGTTCAAATGGATGGAGGGATATATCTCGAGGTTCTCTCACGTCCATATCCATTCGACTCACCTCAATTCAACATGGAATGAGACCACCTGATGGACACCGAGTTACCTTGTGGATGTTAATGGGATTAACGGTTCACTCTCGTCCCTCTCGTGGGATGGTTGAGCTCTGGCAAACGAGTGGAAGTAGACCACCCGACTTGAAAGAAAACCTTAAGAGACAGTCCTTGACGTCGATTTACCTTTGTTCCAAACAAATAGCCTACATGAGGGCAGTCGAGCCTGTACAAAGATACATCTAGGAGGTGGAACCTCGGAAAAGCACACTGGGCTCATGGATGGACTGCGCGGCAAATTCGCCGCATCTATCCGCAGTTCCGCACCGAGAGCTGCCACCTCTCCGAGAACCCGCAGATACCCAAACCACCTCATATACCTGCTGAGACAGTATGTACTGGAATGTAGTGCTGACACGTGCGGAATCAGTCCGTTCTCACCGTCCACCACGTCCATATGGCTGGGCTCTGGAACAGGCGGGCACTCTGAATGAGATGATGAATGCATCCAGTAGTGAGAAAGACAGAGATGATACACTGCTCAGTGCTCAGTGCTCAGTGCTCTTACGAGTCTGCGACAGTCGGATCGAATGCAATTATTTCTGCCTGAATATTCTGGCAGATACGGGGGTTGACATATTGACGAGTAGGTACCTAGGTACAAGTATGCTGCCCCTCCCTTCTAATTCGTGGGGCAAGAAGTGCAAATTGTAGTATACTATGATATCTACCGATTATATCAATATTCTCAACTCTATATACGGGGGAGACCCCCGTAGACCCCCATTAACGTAAGTCAAATCGTATGTCTATAACGTAAGTTAATATTACAGGCACGAGTCACGTGATAAGTCATCCGAGAGACGAGGTAGTTGGACCACGTGACACGAGCGGAGTTCAGGGCTGATCACGTGATCGAGACAGGAGCAAACATCTGAAAGATATCACGTGATGTAACTTTGGGGGCGGTCAATTCTGCCACAGCCAGCCAATCAGAGCACAGGAATAAAATTCCAAGCACTTACATGAGAAGCAACTTCTCGTTCCACTCCAATTTGCAATGAGTAAGTCGCTTCATTAAGTAAATATTGTGCTATAACTACTAGGTAGTGGAATGGATATGGTACAGCAGCCTTAGGGCACTTCTGCAAGTTGGCGCAACTGCATAGTAGTACTGCGATGCAGTCTGCTGATACGAAGTCTCGTGACGGGGAAGTTCCTGGACCCTTGGAACCTGTGGCAGTCTGGGTGGCAGCCGCTTGATCTCCCGGGCAAGCGTGCCGATTCTCTAGTCTACCGAGGAAAACGACGAATCGGGCAATGGCCCCCATCGATCTGGGACTACGGCAGCTGCGACAACGACGCATGCCGACAGAGTCATCAGAGAACTCGCCCGGTACTATGACCTGTGGATGGGGGGCCCGGAAGAGGGCGTGGAGATCACGAAACCTAAGAAGGCCCGGTCAGCCTGGTGGTTGCACGAAGTTCACGAATCGTGGCCTTGCCGCATTCATAATCATAGGGAAGTAGCAGTAGAACGTTAAAAACATCGAGATGGACCTTATCAGCTGCTCGCTGGCGGGTACTTCTGCGTCACAGCCTGTTGTTTTAGTACTACGGTACTGGTAGTATAGGTCACTTATGGGAGTGAAATTATATAGGTACCGACCTAGGTAACCTACCTTGGTGATCAAAAGTATTATGGAGCAAGCATACTTACCTCTTAGCGTGTATTGGTGAGGCATTCGTCATCGTGGTAATGGGTCGCTACAGACATAGGGATAAGGTTGATCTGTATTCACATCTCGACTCTCCACATACTCGAGTCTACAGTGAACACGGTGTAAGAGAAGCACTGGAAACGAGAAGGCTTCAATGCCGATAGCATATGATCGCCCAGCAGTCAAGTTAGATTTGGGCAGTGATGAATAGCATACCTCAAAAGAACTTAAGACTAGTGCTGTACTTTAATCTTCACAAATCAGTATTGACTATTGAGTATGTACAGTTTAGTATTTACTATTTAGTATGTACTGTTTAGTATTTACAATGTAGCATTTGCTCTACTATGATTCTCCTACTACGATACGTTGAGCGCCATCCGCGAACGTATGCCGTGCATTGGAACCCCCGATTCCGCGACCCGCGCTCGAGTGCTCCAACCGAGGGCAATTGATGGAGTGTTCACATTCGCCAGGGAACCTGTAGCCAGCAGGTCGCCGCTGATAAATGGAACAGAGCCCCTGGCCGAGACTTGTCGTAATGAAGAAAGCATCTTTCACCCTCCCATCGACACTGTGACAGCCGGGTCTGAATCACGGCGAAACCGAAGTCTTGATCAATTACAGTACTACTACCGGTGCTTGATAAGTTGATCGGACTCAAGACTCAAGAGGAGGTCCTAATCCGTACGATCATAGTACTTCCGCCGAAAACCGAGATTGGAAGTACAGTGCCTCATACGAATCGGCTTCTGGCCTCCCGATTTGGACGGACGAGAGCGAGGACTTGACTGGATTTGACATTGATGATTGCTCTTGGCCTCTCTTCGTCTGTCTCTGTCTGAACTCTACGCCAGGTAGAGTGATCATTGCGGTCTGCCAAACTGGTGCCGTCCTTTGTGGTGCGAGTCACCCTAGTCCTACTAAGTAGTACGCCTAACTTCCAAGCACTACTCCTGTTAGTAAGTACCAAGTACTACTAAGTACTGTTGTGCTTTTCGGTACATGAGGCATCTTGTCCTACGCTGAGTACGTTTCACCCACTGCCGTCTACTTTTCCATTCGATCTTACTTTATCTTCCCGTCACTCTTAACGAGTCTGCTGACGGGGCCGAAAGAGCGCCTTCATTGTGGTATATCCGACTCATCCGCCCGTCAGACTATACTGTCTCGAGATCCCGCGAGATTCCCTCCCACGCCACGGCAGCGTCCGATCGTCTGCATCGCTGCACGACTTCACCGAGGATCATCGTGCATCGAGCGAAGAGAGAAAGGCTGTACTCGGCAGGTGAAAGCTCCACTTTGGACAAGCTGACCGGCCCTGCCCGCAGTCAGACCACTTTGTCCTGATCGACCGCCTTTAATTATTCCCTTCTCTTCTAACCTTGTTCCCGGTATTCACTTCGTCTCGAACGGCTGGTATCTGGCTCGTCAGAAAACGAAAGAAGAAAAAGAATAAGAAGTCAAAAAAACACAGTAAAGGGCATTCGCGGCTTCTCTCGCTGTTGGCACGAAACAAAAAAAAAAAGCGCGGGGCCTGGTTGCACCCTGGACCGAGTGGCCCTCCTTTCTGCTCCCCGTGAGATCCACGCCCCTCCGTCGCCGATTTCTCCGCTCCTCAGTGGAGCCGCGTGCCGACAAACTCTCTTCTCTTCGTCTCAAAAAGCACACGGCTCGCCCAGTCTCCTCACCCTCGCCGGCCGAGTTCAAGTTCGTGTGCGTGTTTTCGACACATTCGACCCCTCCCCCTGAACGCCTTCCCGCCAAAATGGCGCAACTCGACACTCTCGATCTGATTGTCCTGGTGGCGCTCCTGGTGGGCAGCGTGGCCTATTTCACCAAGGGCACCTACTGGGCCGTTCCCAAGGATCCCTATGCCAGCTCCGCCGTCGCCTTGAATGGCGCGGCCAAAAGTGGCAAGACGCGCAACATCGTCGAGAAGATGGACGAGACGGGCAAAAACTGCGTCATCTTCTACGGCTCGCAGACGGGTACCGCCGAGGACTACGCCTCGCGGTTGGCCAAGGAAGGCTCTCAACGCTTTGGTCTGAAGACCATGGTCGCCGACATTGAAGACTATGACTATGAGAATCTGGATCAGTTCCCCGAGGACAAGGTGGCCTTCTTCGTGTTGGCAACCTACGGTGAGGGTGAGCCAACGGACAACGCGGTCGAGTTCTACCAGTTCCTGACTGGAGACGACGTGGCCTTTGAGAGCGGCGCCACCGCGGATGACTCGCCTCTCTCTTCCCTCAAGTATGTCGCATTCGGTCTCGGAAATAACACCTATGAACACTACAACGCTATGGTCCGTCGCATCGACACGGCGTTGACCAAGATGGGCGCGCAGCGCATTGGCACTGCCGGTGAAGGCGACGACGGCGCGGGCACCATGGAGGAGGACTTCCTCGCCTGGAAGGAACCGATGTGGACTGCGCTCTCCGACGCTATGGGTCTCCAGGAACGCGAAACCACCTACGAGCCGGTCTTCTCCGTGGTCGAGAGCGAGGACAAGTCGCCCGAAGATGAAACGGTCTACCTCGGAGAGCCCACCGCGGCCCACCGCGCCGGTCAGCCCAAGGGACCTTACTCTGCTCACAATCCGTATATTGCCCCCATTGTCGAATCTCGCGAACTGTTCACCGTGAAGGACCGTAACTGCCTGCACATGGAAATCAGCATCGCTGGTAGCAATCTGAGCTACCAGACCGGTGATCACATTGCTATCTGGCCCACCAACGCCGGTGCGGAGGTGGACCGTTTCCTGCAGGTCTTCGGCTTGGAGAACAAACGCCATACGGTCATCGACATCAAGGGCATTGATGTCACCGCCAAGGTTCCGATCCCTACTCCCACTACCTACGATGCTGCAGTCCGCTACTACATGGAAATTTGTGCCCCGGTTTCTCGTCAATTTGTCTCGTCACTGGCGCCCTTTGCTCCGGACGAGCAAATTAAGGCCGAGATCACTCGCTTGGGTAATGACAAGGACTACTTCCACGAGAAGATCGCAAACCAGTGCTTCACTATCGCTCAAGCCCTGCAAGCCCTCAGCCCGAACCCGTTCTCCGCCGTCCCCTTCTCCCTTCTCATCGAGGGTCTCAACAAGCTTCAACCCCGGTACTACTCGATCTCATCCTCGTCCGCCGTTCAGAAAGACAAGATCAGCATCACCGCCGTCGTCGAGTCCGTTCGTTTGCCTGGTGCTTCGCACATCGTCAAGGGTGTCACCACCAACTATCTCCTGGCTCTCAAGCAGAAGCAGAACGGCGATCCGTTCCCGGATCCTCACGGCATGACCTACGCAATCACCGGCCCACGTAACAAGTACGACGGCATTCATGTGCCTGTTCACGTTCGTCACTCCAACTTCAAGTTGCCTTCGGATCCCTCCAAGCCCATCATCATGGTCGGTCCCGGCACTGGTGTCGCTCCCTTCCGCGGCTTCATCCAGGAGCGTGCGGCCTTGGCTGCCAAGGGCGAGAAAGTCGGCACTACAGTCCTGTTCTTTGGATGCCGCAAGCGTGATGAGGACTTTTTGTATCAGGACGAATTCAAGGTAAGCGATTTTCCGACTCGACAATAGTCATTCACAGTTGTTGCTACGGTGCTAATGCATTTCAACCCGCAGGCCTATCAAGAGCAGATGGGTGACTCGCTGAAGATCATCACCGCTTTCTCTCGCGAAGGCTCCAACAAGGTCTACGTTCAGCACCGTCTGAAGGAACATGCCGAATTGGTCAGCGACCTATTGAAGCAAAAGGCCAACTTCTACGTCTGCGGTGATGCCGCCAACATGGCACGCGAAGTGAACATCGTGCTCGGCCACATCCTCGCTGAACAACGTGGCATGCCATCCGATAAGGGCGAAGAGATGGTCAAACACATGCGGAGTAGCGGCAGTTACCAAGAGGATGTATGGTCATGATTCATGACACGGTGCAATTTCTTTGTCTAATTTGCTGCCGACCTTCCTTCCTCCTGATCAAGCCATCTGTTTCCCCATTTGCACGGCCAAGTTTGTAGTCATATGTCCCTCATCTCCTGCCCTGGCCCTTTCTCCTCTCTTGATGTCTAAATGACCCAGCACATGAACATATCGCGGAAGACTGCCACAAAAGAGCGAGTCGATTGTTCAGTGGCTTTGATTGATCCCGTTGGCAGTCTTGTATATGACTGTTGGCTCGGGACCCTCGACGGCGCTTCTACAGGTTTTGTTATTTTATCGTGGATTCTTGCCTCTCTTCCATTTGGTGGAGATTGACAAAATCTCTTTCTCTAGACAAGTAACTTCTTTTTTGCTCCAGAAGATGAAAACAATTCCAAGACAAGCTAGTTACATGCGTGGTGTAGATTGTAGACGCTAGGTAATCTTGAGCATCTTCCGATGGGCTTTCTGAACGTAGCCCTCCGCCTGAGGGGGCAGTTCGCGATCTGATGGGAATTCGATTGTTAGTTGCACACTACAGAGCTAGGTTTGGAAGATGTTTTGAAGATATAATTGAAGCAGCTTCATTTGTTGAAAAGATGGTCAACTCTGCTGAATTCTGTGAGCTCTCCGCCTGTTTGCGGCTGTAAGTACGGAGTTAACGTCGTCATCGGCACCCGACCCAACAAATCGGCGGCTTCTCGTTCCTCCATGTGGCTGCACCTTTCACGTTCGCCAATCCTTGAGATTATGCGCCCGCATTGTTGTCGCGCCCTCACCTTGTATCACTCGATCTAGCACTGACTCGGCTTCCGACCCAGCGGCTTTCCCGCACCCTCCTCCGAGACAAAGAGATTCTTCACGACCCCGCCGTAATCCGACGACGAGCTCTTCGCCCACACGAATCCTGTGGCTAGACGATCAACCGCAGCTCTACCGGAGCCATCACCATGGCTTATGTGGTGCCCATTCACCGAGCGAGTGGCATCCGCCATGCGGTGAAGTTGAATTTCATCAATGCCGAGGAAGACTGCTTGGTAGTTGCGTGAGTGGAATGAATGACCCAGTATTGGCAGGGCCAGAGCTACCGGTACCTCTGCGTCCCGGTTGTTGTTCCGGTTTGATGTTTAAAATGACGAAAGTTAACTTATGATATTCTCTTTCCATCAGTAAGGCCAATCGTCTTGAGATCTATACGTTGACTCCCGATGGACTCGTCTTGTCCCAGACACGCGCACTATACGCGCAGGTCACAATGCTTGCACGACTTCCGGCACCCGCTAACTCGCCGACCGATCATCTATTCGTTGGAACCGACCAGTACAATTACTTCACCTTGGCCTGGGATCCGACCAAGAAGAAAGTGCGCACAGCCCGTAGCTATGTCAATATTGCAGAGCCCTCGGCCCGCGAGTCTGAGACCGATCCACGATGTTTGGTGGACCCCAGTGGCCGCTTCATGACACTAGAGATCTATGAGGGCGTCATCGTCGTGATCCCCATCGTCGAGCCCACAAAACGGAAAGGGAGACCGTCACAAGCGGCGCAGCAAGCTGATCCACCGCAAGTCGGTGAGCTCGGTGAGCCGACGGCGTCCCGAATAGACGAGTTGTTCGTGCGTTCCTCAGCGTTCCTACATTCTGGATCCAACCAGCCATGGCTTGCACTCCTGTACGAAGACAACCAAAAGAAGGTCCGACTGCGGATTCGGGAGCTGGAGTACAGTCGGGCGACTTCAAGTGGACCGGCTGATGCGACATTCAAGGAAGTCCAGGAGAAAAAGCTGGACGGCGGTGTATTTGCGCATGAGCTAGATATGGGCTCATCGCATCTGATCCCCATTCCAGCGCCACTAGGTATGCTATTCCAGCGAGATTTCCGCTCCGGGCCGTCTGAGATTTGTACTGACTTCAACGCGGTTCTTTTCCGATGCAGGCGGTCTTATTGTTCTCGGAGAGACCTCAATCAAATACATTGATGACAACGCTAACGACATGATCTCCCGCGATCTCGAGGAGGCAACTGTCTTCGTGGCCTGGGAAAAGGTCGACAGCCAGCGGTGGCTACTTGCCGATGACTACGGGAGGCTCTTCTTCCTCATGTTTGTTCTGAATGATGAAGGTAATGTTGAAGACTGGAAGCTGGATTTTTTGGGAAGCACATCACGTGCAACGAAGCTTGTCTACCTGGGCGGAGGGATCCTGTTTGTGGGCTCCCAGCAAGGTGATTCACAAGTACTTCGCATCGGCGACGGCTCGTTCGAAGTTATTCAGACTCTGTCAAACATTGCTCCGATCCTAGACTTTACATTGATGGACCTTGGCAACCGTACCGATGACGTTCAGACACACGAGTTCTCTACGGGACAAGCTCGCATTGTCACAGGCTCCGGCGCATTCGACGACGGGTCCCTCAGAAGCGTACGCAGTGGTGTTGGCATGGAAGAATTGGGAGTGCTCGGTGAAATGGATCACATCACCGATCTATGGGCTTTAAAGGCCCACGGCTCCGGAGACTTCCTCGATACATTACTTGTAACCTTTGTTGATGAGACGCGCATCTTCCGGTTCAGCAGCGAGGGTGAAGTCGAAGAACTGGAAGACTTTCTCGGACTATCCTTAACAGAGAACACGCTGCTAGCGGCGAATCTTCCAGGCAGTCGAATCTTACAAGTGACTGAGAAACGAGTCGTCATTGCTGATATTGAGAGCGGCATGACCACCTTTGAATGGTCGTCCCCGTCGCAAAAAGCAATCACAGCCGCTTCGGCGAACGATGAGTATCTGGTACTGGTGGTCGGTGGTCAGGTACTGGCAACCTTCGCTTTGCAAGGCGACACTCATCTCATCATGGAGAAAGACATGGGTGCGGATCAACAGATCTCGGGGGTGACAGTCCCTTCCAGACCTGCCAGTGTTTGCATCGCAGGCTTCCCGCAATCCGCCAAGGTCGCCATTTTCAATATCAAAGATCTCTCCGAACATGGTAGTCAGTCGCTGGGTCAAACTGGCGACGCATTCCCCCGGTCCGTTCTAGTTGCAGATGTCCTTGCTGATTCGCCTCCTACACTATTTGTATCCATGGCCGACGGGAGCGTGATCACGTTCACCTTGAATCCCGAAACGTATGCACTGAGTGACAAGACAAAGTTGATACTCGGATCGGAGCAGCCAACATTCAAGAAGCTTCCGCGAGGAGACGGTCTGTGGAATGTCTTCGCTACCTGTGAGAATCCCAGTTTGATTTACGGCTCCGAGGGACGCATCATCTACTCTGCCGTCAACTCAGAAGGGGCATCGCGAATCTGCCATCTCAACGCCGAGGCCTTCCCCGGGTCTATTGCGGTGGCTACAGCGCGGGAACTCAAGATTGCCATGGTCGACAAGGAGCGAACTACTCAAATACAAACTCTACCAATGGGTTCGACTGTCCGCCGCGTTGCCTACTCACCATCCGAGAAGGCATTTGGACTTGGCACCATTGACCGCAAACTGGAAGATGGTCTGGAAATCGTGAAGAGTCACTTTGTTCTCGCGGACGAAATTCTCTTCCGTCGTCTGGACGCTGTTGAGCTTCAAGCTGACGAGCTTGTTGAGAGTGTGATTCGCGCCGAACTACCGGCCGGTAAAGACGAGTCTGGAAAAGCGCAGAAGAAGGATCGTTGGATCGTTGGCACAGCATATTTGAGTGAAGAGCGAGAGGACTCGATCCGCGGGCGGATTCTAGTCTTCGAGGTTGATCATGGTCGAAAACTGACTCAGGTGGCCGAATTGGGGGTTCGCGGAGCGTGTCGTGCGCTGGCGATGATGGGCGACCGTATCGTTGCAGCATTGGTCAAGACCGTAAGTTCACTTTATCGACCGTCCATTTCACTGCTCATGAAGACTCTACTTATTTCTTTCGGCTTCAACAGGTGGTTGTCTACAATGTACTCAATGACAACTTTAGCAAGATGAAACTTGAAAAAGTGGCGAGTTATCGCACATCGACTGCGCCCGTGGACCTCACCGTTGTCGGTGACCTGATCGTGGTGGCGGATCTGATGAAGAGCGTCTGTGTTGTTCAATTCGTCGAGGGACAAGAAGGGGTCAATGATAAGTTGGAGGAAGTTGCACGCCACTACCAGACCGTCTGGAGCACGGCGGTTGCATCCATCGACAATGACATGCTTCTTGTTAGTGAGGCAGAAGGGAATTTGATCGTGCTCTCTCGAAATCGGGGCGGCGTCACTGATCAAGACAAACGTCGTTTGGTACCCACGAGTGAAATCCGCCTAGGTGAAATGGTGAATCGCATTCGACCGATAACCATTCAACAGCTCGCTAGCCTCACGGTGACGCCTCGAGCTTTCCTCGCTACGGTTCGTCTCTCTTCCCCGCGCAAGTGATGGTTTTCGCTTTCTGAAGTTTTTGATGCGGACAAAATGACACAATCACTGATGCTTTTGCGTACCACACACAGGTCGAAGGCTCCATCTATCTCTTCGCTCTCATCAATCCAGAGCACAACGACTTCTTCATCACGCTGCAGAACGTCATCGCTAACAAAGTCGATTCCCTTGGAGGGCTACCGTTCGACAAGTTCCGTGCTTTCCGGACGTTGTCTCGTTTCGCAGATTCACCGTACCGCTTCGTGGATGGTGAGCTGATTGAGCGATTCCTGGACTGTGACCCTGCGCTACAGGAAGAGATTGTTAATGAAGTGGGCTCTGGGAATGTGACTGATGTCAGGGAGATGATTGAGGCTTTGAGACGCTTGCACTGAGTTTACGAAAGTCAGTGTCACATACTCTTTACGACGGCGCGTGCCTGTCTTTCGCAATAGGGAGATACATTGGAGAGGCTCTTTTGTGAGGAAGCCAGCTAAATGAAGCACCAGCTAGATCAAATCCAATACTCTCTGCCTGTCCACTTTCCATGACGTACCTTTTCACCAGTAAAGACACCCAGCGCTTACACTCAATCTCCGAGGAAATCTGTCCATCAGTCAAAGTTTGGAGGTAGGATATGATTCCCAAAAACACTAGAAAGAAAAAAAAAGAAAACCGAGTAGCAACTTTACAAGGTTGATGGCGAACTGAAATAAAAACCATGCCTAAGAACAGATCTGATCCAAAGCCTTGAAATCGGCAAACATGGGATGGATCCCCATTCCTGATTGCCAACACCGTCATATTCGCTCCCATAGTGTGATTCTCTTCCCTCTGCCGTTCCTCCTTGATCTTCGAGCAACCGCCCGATCCCCATACATCGCAAGAGTTACCGTCTTCGGATGTAGTCAGTCCAAAGAACCGCTGATCAATCACGTTCCAATATATCGCGTTGAAGGCGAAGTTATTCCTCGCGGCATACATGATCCAAACATCTCCGCTTTGCCAACCATCCCGCATCCGACTAGAAAGATCTGAGGAGACTTGAAAGTTTGGCTGGCGACACTTTTCGACAAAGTAGGCCCTTTGCGATGATCGAAAGAGCGTCAGGTGGTCCCGTGTGTACCTGGCAAGTTACTATGTAACTAGTACCAGTAGTAGTAATGAAGTCCAGTGTGAGACCATATGAGTGTTACGACATTCGCAGGTTACTTTTGCATGAAATGTTGCGGCCAACAGGTTGCCGCGTGTAAACAAATGTCCAAATCCAGGCCTGCAAAAGCACGGATAGTCTTGAATCAATCTTGCAGCCCTGATAAGGTTGTCGTGTTCGACAGAATCCTTCAAGAGGTACCTATGCCGAGTGCAAAATACTATGATAGAGGTAAAGCTGAACGGCCTCCCGGTTCAATTTTCGCTCCTGATAATGCAGAGTATCGTACAAAAAGATGGAAAGAGAGACACATTGGAAAAATGCAGAGTCGCAGCCGCACAACAGGCCCCCGGAACCTAACGCCATCCATGAACCCGTCTGACCGCACGTCCACATTATATAGCTTCTGACTCGCATCGGGTCGACATGACGAACAGTGCTCCCAGCTCCCAATTCCACATGGGCAACGCCGCTTCTGGGCCTGCGAACTTGCAATCGGAGACCTCGTCTAGACAGCTTTCTTGTCGACAGTCTCTTCTTCGCTCCAATCCAAGAGCTCCATGATCTGATCCTCACTCAGGTTCTCCGCGCGCTGACCCTTGGCCCGGTTCTTCAGATACTTCTTTTGTCTCTTGCGCGCCATCCCGTGCCACTCGGGTACACCGCTGGCCTGGGCGAGCTCATCTTCTCCGTCTTCCTCGAGCTCATCGTCGGTGTTTTCCACCTCGCCAAGAACCTTGCCCTTCTCGCCGCCGCGCAGGCTATTCGCCGAGACCTTGGCCTTCTTGCCACCGCGTTCGGCCTTTTCCTTTTCCTTCTTTTCCTTCTCCTTTTGGCGCTCGCGGTCGTGCAGCCACTTAAAGAATCGCTCAATGTACGGACGGATGACCAGATAGAAGACGACACTGCCCACGACCTTGGTCCAGCGATTGGCGTTGACGTTGGAGAAGGAGGCGATGGTGTTGGTCCAGAGACGACGAATGACCGTTTCAATCAGCGAGAAAATCTGGGTGAAGAAATCGCTGGCGGCTTCGGCGGCCTTGTCGCCCAGATCTGGGGCGTGTTCGTTGACCATGGTGAATTGTCTTTGACACGATGAATCAAGATCAAGGTAAGCAAGGTTGTCGTGTGAGCGTGGGGAGAAAGTGTCTTAGTTCTTGAAACCCGGCGCAAAGATCTTCTGGCTGAAAAGGGATGTGTTTGTTGTTTAAAGGAGGTTTGCGATCTGGCTCGGAGGGCGGCGGGTGAGGGGCCAATTCCGAACTCAGCAGGACGAGTCTTTGGAGAGGAGGCAATGGGAACGAGCAATTGACGACCCTTTTAATGCGTTGAGGCTCACAAGAGGCTTCGTCGTAATAAAGATGCAGCTGAGAAAGATGGCGCAAAAGTGACCAAAGAAGTCAATTGCGGATGCCAACCAGAGGGGAAAAAATAGTCGCGCGATTATTGTCCCACTCGGCACTTCTGAGCCGCGAGCTGTCCTCTTTGGGAAATCACCTCACAAAAGGGAAAAAAAAAGGTCCAAAGCGGAAGGAACAATTGACCCTCCCCCGACTGCGACAAGCCGGCCGAGCCCGTGATGTTCGATACTCTGCCGTTACCTCTACTGACCGCCTTTGGGTCTCGTGCCGGGCGTTTCAAGGCCAGTTTCCATGAGGCAGTCAATGAGGAAAGCGGTGGGCGCTCTTGTCCGGCAATTCGCTAACGTATCCAAGAGTCCAGACATCATCTGCCAGGGCGTCTTCCGGGATCAACGTTGATCCGTTCATTGACTCGGAGTAGAGAGCATCCATGGAAGCCTTGACCATGATTGGCTCGTCTGCCCCCAATCGCCTACCATGCGCGCCGGGGCACAACTACCACTACTGAATTACTTACTTCCAGCCGATGCAATAGGTGACCGGGGTTGACACCTGTCTTTTATATCACACTGTCCGTCCGACCACTATGGAGCAAGTTGAAGATGCCGGGCTGGAGGAGGTAATTGTCCTGGTCAACGCCTTTGCGCAGCGCGTCTCTTTGCTAACTTCTGACGCGTCTGATATAGCGCCTCAAATCTGCTCTTTGGTTGTCTATCGGCAAGATTGTCGACGAAGAGACGATGAAACTAGGCGTCAATGCCACTCCCCAGTTCATCGGTGCCTTGACTGAGATGGTTTGGTCACAAATAGGTATGTTGATGCCGAACTGTAGGAGTTCTGCGAATCATGTCCGATGGGGCCAACATGGACAGCTTGCATGTATGCCAGAAGGGAAAAAAAGAAAAGGGCAGGGCTAAGGCACAGTACAGAGACCGTTGGTCAAGACTTGGAGTCCTTTGCCAAGTAAGTCGAGAAACTTGTATTCGAGTGATTGCACTCGAGCTTGGGGAGGCCTGTTGCTAAAGGGCTACCAGACACGCAGGGCGATCCACGGTGAATGTTTCAGATGTGATGCTTCTTGCCCGCCGCAACGAGGGACTCGAATCAATCCTACGCACTTTTGTGGAGCAGGCACGCGAAGCAGAATCGTGAAGGGCGACTTGCTGCTCTCAAATTCCGAGAGCTGACAGATCGGGTCGGGGGCATCTCGTATTTGTCTCCTGTCAGAATCTCTCTCTCTCTCTCTCTCTCTCTCTCTCTCTCTACGGGATGACCACGAGTAACGAATTCATGACACAAAGACTTTTCATTTCGTGACAGATCTACGATTGTCACCACGTGACCACTGATTGTTTCAAGGCATCGCTCCGTCTGTAGATGGTTTAGAAAGTCTCCAGCCTTTGTCAGTGTGCACGTCATGATTTCACGGGCCAGGGAAAAAAGCACGTGTAGAGCGTCTTCCATGAGCGACATGCGATTACCGGCCAGCATAGACACCGAGAAGTCTGAGTCTCTAGATCATTTGTAGATTTGGGGTCGTAGTTGAAAACAGAACTTGCATAAACGGACCAGGGGCATCATGGGAGATTTAGTGGTTCCTGTACAAGGACTGTGGAGACTCGAGAGGCATATGTCGATTGGTTGCTCAGATTCTCGACTCTCCATGCCATTTTGTCGCAGTGAATTATCCAGCATAACGCCACTAGAACTACTATGTAATATGTACACTTGGGCCAAGTGGGATGTAAGCCAACTTGGAAACTGTATTCGCCGGGGGGTGGCAGGCTGTGGTCTTCTTGTTACCGTTTTGGGATCTGCCTGAGCTCTGACCGTCATCAGTGTGGCTGTGACTGAGGCCGTGGCTTTGGGCGGCGACCAGGCACCTGCCACGGGTAAGTTACTACCGGCAGGGTACTCTGGACTGGATAATGAGTCCTCAGTCCACACTTTGTGAGCGCGTCCAAGGCTTCCACTCTGGGAAGGTACTAGGGGACTACTAAAGTTAGCAGAGTTTTACCCATACGTCCCGCACAACCTTTCTGGCATTGTGGCTGAGGCATGATATTGCAAGCCGCAAGGCAACGGGATTTTACCCCATGCCGCTTAATCCTATTCACGATGACGAGTACATGCTACATACAGATGTATTGTCTATTCTATATTGCATTGCTTCCTTTCCCCCAGATTGAGGTCGAAGATTGTGCAGAATTCATCTCATCCAGTAGTTACGAATTTGTGTACGTGGTACCACCTTTTCTCCGTAAAGTCTTCCCCATTCAGGCATTCCATCCACCAGTCCGGCGAGTCTTCTACCTTATACTCCGATATAACAGGGATGTATATATCCTCAGACATATCAGACGTATTTAGTAGTGCTGTAATAGTAGGCACTAGGTAGGAGGCAGCGAGGCACTTTAGACTATAGCATCATCTGTAGTAAAAACATATTGTGTCTCGTGTTCTTGCCAAGATATGAGTTAATGTACTTTGTAAAGTGAAGTGGTAAACCCAGGGATACGGTGGTGGCGGGAGGGCGCCGCTGAGTGCATATGTGGCGAACTTAATTGACAAAACTCTGGGCGGTGGGACTAGGTGCTCACACCTTAGGGCCCAGTCACTAGGCCCTACTAAGTGTGGTGAGTGGTCCATGTCTAAATGTATGGTTACTCCAGTGTACCTTTGCTATCCCCAAGAACTTCAAACTACTGGGGCAAATTCAAGTGCATCACAGCACGACACTAACGAAAGAATACGTCGATGATGAGGGCCAGACCAGGCACGGTACCTCTCGCAGGACTACCGGTAAGTAGGACTGTAGCAGTGTAGGAATGCTGCGATATGACTACCTAACGCACCGTTTCGTACCGTTGAAGGTCTAAACGGGAAAAGCGACCCAGAAATGGAGCTACCTCGGGTGTACCTGATTGGACTTTTGTCCGATCATTGGGGGCTTAGCATGGCCCCTGTACGCTGAATGAAGAAGGCCCTGGTTCGTAACTTCATACTGACATCATCGGCCAGGTAGGAGGTACCGAGGTACTTCCACGCCTCATTCAATGGGTGCCGCTCAAAGTACTTCAAGCTGGTACGGTACTACTAGTAGCCTCATGCAAGGCAACACGATTTCTTCTTTCGTGATGATGATCCGCCGTGTGGCGCAGACACGTCCCCACGAAGGTGAGCAATGACCTACTGTACTTTGCAACTGCAAATTAACTTTTTCTATGGGCCCAGAACAAGGGAACAGTGCCACAACCATCATAACCATATTACTACTACTATCGTCCGCTGCGTACGCCAAGGTTCCACCACAGAGTCTGCCTCCACCGATCTGCACCCAATATTGCGTCGTCCACACTGTGAGGCAGCAAGGCTGGTTCAGAGCCGATCCTCATTTCTTATAACAAGTCAATACCCCGTGGAGTTTGACCTCAACGGCCTTTCTTCCCGTCGTGGTATTCCTCTTTCGCCATTTTCGCGTTCTTCCGTCACAATAGTACATTGTCCAACGCAGACCTCCGTCCCCATCGCTCACTACCGTTCCCAACATTCAAGATGGGTGCTGCTGGCGGAGCCGTGCTCCGCTTCTTCGGCCTCGCCATTCGAGTGCTGCAATTCTTGGCCTCGGCGGTGATTCTCGGCATCTTTTCCTACTACCTGGCCATGATGTCGCGCCATGGTCTCGCCATTCCCACCTGGACCAAGGCCGTCGAGGGTCTGTCCGGTGCCGCAGCCCTATACAGCCTGCTCGGTGCACTCTTTGTTTGCTGCCTCGGTGGCATCGCCTTCTTTGCCTTCACGGCGATCGTCCTGGATATCTGCTTCGTCGGCGCCATGATCGCGATCGCTGTGATGACCCGACACGGGACCCAGAGCTGCTCGGGCTATGTCCAGACACCGCTGGGTGATGGAGACGCCAGTAGTGGCGCTGATACTCGCGCGGGCACAAGCTTCAAGAACTCCTGTAACTTGGAGAAGGCGGCGTTTGCAGTTTCCATCATTGGAATGTAAGTGACATTGCCTACTCTTGCTTCTTGGTAGAGGATCGTCCGTTTACTTTGACATGGATATGCTGACATCTCCTGCCCTGTCCTAGCTTCTTCTTCCTCATCTCCATCATCTTCCAGGTGCTCTTGGCCCGGCACCACAAGCGCGAGAAGCGTTTCGGTCCCTCCCCCGCCAACAATTACACCTCTGGCACCAGCCGCAAATGGTGGAGCCGTAAGAAGACCTACCCCGAGGCTTCCGGAGGTGTCGATACCCTGCCCGCGCATCCCACTCCTGCCGACATCGAGCTGGGTGCAGAGAAGCAGGCACCGCAGAAGAAGCGTTTTGGCCTGTTCGGAAAGAAGAAGGAGCCCGCGCCTTTCGCTGACACCGCCCCGAACAATGCCCGCACCGGCTACGGTTATGGTGGCTCCGCTTACACTGGTAACATGTGAGCGTCATAGTCACATCAACACATGTTCTTTGAACGTCCCTCGCGACTCGAGAATGATCCACCTGATCAGTGCTTCGATGGCGCGAGATCGCCGTACAATTTCCCACCTAATAACGGAATGGCCATGGCTTAAGTGCCTGAGACATCCTTGACGACTTTTGCTTATTCGATACGCCATGATTGCTGCAGACATTGTGTTGTGAGCGTGCCTCCTTCCTGCTAATATATCGGGGTCCAAATTCGCCCCGCTAATTCCTATTGTTTTCTCTCAACGACCTCATGTTTTTTATGAAAATGGGCGGTGCAGCATATCTGTACTCGACTTGGGTTATAATAATTGTATTATTGGCTATAGAGCAACGAAAAAACCATCACAGTTGCTATTGTGCACATATGATAATTGAGCGTCCATAATGCGTTCAGAAGACATCCGTGTCAAAAACTAAAAAATCCATATTTCGCCAATTCCCATGAAAGAAGACATGACATGTCTCTCCTCCACCGTGCAATACTATCCACATTGAAGATAAGATTTTGTCATACGTAGGTGCTTGCACATATCCCGTCTCGCGAGACCGAGAAGCCGATGCACTATCGCAGTGAAAAAAGATCCAAAGAAATGAGCCAACGCCGAAGAGAAGTCAAATACATTCGAACAGGTGACTAGGCGACTTTGTGGTCGCCCTAGAAAAATTTGGTCCACGCGATGTGCCTGAGGGCTTGGTAGCGCGGGCTGCGAAGTACCGGGAGGCATTGATGTCGTGATCTGGGCGATAGCACGTGAACTTTGCTGGAAACGCCAGACGAGAGCGAACGGTCTAAGACCGAACCATGTGACCAAGGCGGCACGACATGCCCCGAGCCACAGTGCCCATGTAAACGGGATGCCCATTAGAGCACATGGCCCAGCTGCTTCCATCTGGAGAGCAGATCAAGTCACCGGGGCCACATGGCCACTGCGAAACATAGCTGGAGAATGCGGCGTTGGTGGAGGCGACTTGATAACGAAGATTGCCGCCAACACGACTATTGGCCGTAGGCCGAGCCGCCGCAGAAGAGAGTGATGACACCAGCTCAGCCAGTTGAGCGAGGCTGATCATGGTGTCATCGGCGCTGCTGTCGGAGCTGGTGCTTTGCGTCGTCGAGGGTGTAGCAGTAGGTGAGGCGGCAGCTTCGGATGAAGACGCAACAGATGTGCCCTTGGTCTCCGGGGCACTCTTTGATGTGGAGGATGCGGCCGACATCGCAGAGGTGACCATGGTAGAGGATGTGGCAGCGGCGGCTGATGAGGTTGCCATAGTAGACATGCTGGTTGAAGGGGAAGAAGAGCTCAAGGTGGATTGCGAAGCAGGTGTTGTGCTTCCACTGCTGCTACCACTGCCACTTCCGCTGCTCAGGAAGGGTGCATCTCCACTACACTTGTAGCCTTTGCCCGAAGTATCGATCTTGCCGACTACCTTCGAGCCCGGCTGTGGGAAGTCGACCTCCTCGCCCTCAATAGTCACACATCCGCCGACTTGATTCACATTGGCGATGAACATGGCAGGCAGACTGTCAAAGACCATTGCCATCTCATTTCCGGCCATGTCTCGCGGTGCGAGGGCGGGGACTTGAGGGCGATGACCAGCGTGACCATGGTGACCGAAAGGACCATGAAGAGTGTGGTTCAAGGGGCCATCCAGGAAGCCGTGGCCTTGCGGCCCCTCGTTGTCGACCCTGGAGGGCTTACTGTTGGGCCCTTGTGTGGTAGAGCCGCCGATGGTGACCATTGCGCAGTTCATATACATCTCACGATTCCCAACCTTGTTGAACCAACTCCATGCCAGCAACGCCTCGCCAGTAGGAGCATCTGACGGAATCTGAAAGGAGTATTTCTTGCTGATGGGACATTCGCCAAGCATCGACTCGATCACTTTGAACGTCTTGCCCTTGTCATAGGTCAAGGAAATTTGGCAGGAACCTCCGCCATGAACCGCACTACCGTCGAGCTCCATCTCGTATGTCCCGCCAGGAGAGTAGCTAGCTTGAGATTGGAACGGGTCGTTGGCATAGCCTTTGCAAGGATAGTTGGCACCAGACGGGTCCAGGGGATTGGTGTATGAGTAGTCCTTCTGCTCGGTGCTTTTGCTATTCAACGGACTGCGGATGGGATAGGGTTTGGACATTTGCATGTGGGCAGACGCTCCAACCGCCAAAAGGCCGGCGCAGAAGGCGGTGGTCTTCATCGTGGTTTCGAATTGCGCGCTCTCGTGATCAGCTTGCTATATTGCAAGAGGCTCTTGGAACTCTATCAGCTGGGCTTGAAGAAACAAGAAATCTCCAAGTGCGCTTACCCAAGATGAATCAGTACCTAGGTACTTGATGTAGTCACTAAAGCGGATATCACAACGTCTGTGGAAAGATTACTGGCAACAAGACCAATCTTCAGGATATGATTCAAGTGAGACTTCAGTTTAGACAGAGCAGCCAGATCGATGTGGACCGGCAGCTGCCCTAAATATTATAACGTTTTCATATCCAGTGCCAATCCCGCACTCTTATCGCCAGGAATGCGATGCCATTCCACTCCTAGGGCCTGAACCCGATGTAAACAACAAGGCGCCACCATGGCTCCCTCGCAACGCGAAGAATGCACCTGTCCGTGGCAAGACACATCTTTCGGAACCATTCTGTTCAGAGTTTGGGAAGTCTGTATGATGAGCCATTGAATCCATCATGACACTTAGAGTTTGAGTTGGAGGTAACATGGCCAGCGTCCCTGCTCGTTGTACTTTCACTCCCGTCGTCACCTCCAACCTATCTGGGTTCCCCAGCCTGACGACCTGCTGCAAAGCCACTTCACCCTCATTTTTGCGGATGGATAGTCATTGACCAGAATCGCCTGATGCAAGCTGGGAGGTTCGTTGGATCGGTGAGCGACTATACATTTCGTGAACATGTAGGACTTGTTCATGGTGGTGCTCCTTGAGCAAGCTTCTCCTTCTACGCTGTTGTGAACTTCATACGAATGTTCATGCACGTTCCCCCCTGGGTTGAATTCCTTGTATTCAGTGGTGGACAGACCAGGGCTGTCCGAAAAGTCGCAGATATTTGAGCATCTACAGTCTTACCCAAAATTGGTCCGGAGGAATCGATGCGAGGACCAGGGATCCATGGGTCCATGAACCCTTGATTGCTGAGGCAAGATTCGGGACTCGGCCTCGCAAACTCTCAAGGTGGTAGACTACTGGGTGCCTGACAGTGTGAAGATCCCCCGGAATGTCCCCTCAACGGGCGAGCTAAGCCTCAGTGCACGGGTTTTACTGACATCGGCAGATGGAATGCCACGCGTCTTAGGTGGGATTCTTTCTTTCCACAGATTCCTTGAAAACCTGTTCTGAGCCCGCGATCGCAGATGCTCCTCTAGTCGTCGGAGAATCATCCAAACATCAGATTCCTACAAGCTATCAAAGAGTGGCGGCCGTATCAGGGACGACGCCCAGTGGACTGCCACTTGCCACGGTCCCGTTAGATGGGTGTCAAACTGATGCCCCAATCATCCGAGTACTGCAGAAGGGATGAGATCTTTCCAGGGGTGATCAGTTCAGCCTCGCACCGTTGATTGATGTCCTGTCTCGAGTAAGGACAACCCATTTGTGAACATGCAGGGCAAAACGTAAGGCATCCCCTGTCTTGCTGCCTTGCATTGAAAGCCGTTCAATTCCAAGATTCCCGTTGCCAGCCTCGGATCTCAAACGTGTCCAAATCCAACGGAGCAGATAGATCAAGCCTGCGTGAAAGACCCGATAATTCTCCCTTGATGGGATCCGTGTCTGTGTTCCACGCCAAATGACAGGTGGATCCTTTCCAGACCACGCATAAATGGTGGCCTTGACCGTCAAACGTCAATCCCTGGGACAACCTTGGATGATGAGCAAAGCCAACACGACTAGCCAGACCTTCTGCTGGTGCCTCTCCGTCAAATGACCATGAGTTGCTCATTGCTCATTAAAACTCAAATGAAATAACAGCAGACATTCTCCTTCAACACCAATTCTGGTCAAGTGGTTCATTTGGCAGACCCAGCTACCAGCCACTACGAGGCCAGACTGTGATTGACATCAGCAACGTGCGGCCTTTGCGTGGTTGGCTGGGTGGGTTTATTGAGTGAAGTACGGGGTGCAGGACATTGAATGGAGAGTCTCACTTACATTGTCTGGCTTTCAGCCCGGTAGCTCCATTCAGGCGTGACTACAATCGAGTGTAATATCTCGAGCTACGTGGTTTGGCAAACCTCCATGTTTCATCACCGATGCTGAACGCTTGGTCGATATTGTTGATTCGATGTGAAGTAGTAGTGTCGCTCTAGTCGGTTAGAGGTACGTACGTAGTACGTACTGACGTACCTAGTAACTTAGTACTGCGAGTAGTGGTAGGTACCTCTGATTTTAAGCGATTCCGTGCTACTGTCCAAGTTCTCTGGTCCTCAGCGCAGACAGGCCTTGGTGAACTGGTGAATCTTTGGATGACTGAAGATTTCCATTTGCCGGCTGGGTAGACTCGCTTCAAATCCTTTCGCTCTGACATACAAGCTCCATCATTGCTCACACACTCCTCGAGCTTTGATTGAGAGTACCTGAGTTTTCAAGTCACGACAGTGAACGAGTAGTAGCTTCCGTCTTTCGCGTCGCGTCGTCACTTGAACCGGCGCGTGATCCTCGCGCCCGTCGGAACCGGTCAACCCACCTACTCTCTCTCTCCCTTACAATCCCAGTGTTTCCCGCCTTCCGGTGCCGAGATCTTCCCAGACACTACTCGGCAAGATTAAGTACTGGATGTTGAGGCCTTTTGCACGGCTGTCGCGTGCATCGCATATCCACCGGCATGGGAGCTCCCTTGAGCAGTCCTCAAGAGGGTTTCGCCACTTCAGGTCGCGGATCCGTTCCGATCGATCGATGACCGTGGCAAGCGTTAATCCACCCGCCCTGCTTCTGGCCCATGATTGTCGTCATGCAGCTCAGTCAACTCGGCAAAGATCATACCCATTCGGGGCTCTGGATGAGCTTGCTGGCCGAGCACATCTCATGACCTCTCCCCCGCAAAGGATTGGCGAATCGCTGTACAGGCCCTCTCAGCATATTAACCACCATCTTACCCATTCACTCGAGCAAGCGACCAGTGTAATGGCGGTGACTCCCAAGGTCACCAAAGCCAAGCCGCTCGATGTCTTGAATGGTGATGCGCCTGTGTCTGCTGAGCGGGCGGAGACCGCCCTCGACCCAGAATCGGAAGAAGACATCCCTGTTGATGACCAGGAGCTACAGGAGGCTTTGGGACGGCCGCCGCCGGTGAACAGCAGTTATCTTCCTTTACCGTGGAAGGGGCGCCTTGGATATGTACGTTTTGCGACACCTCAGTCGGAGAGACCAAGAGCATAGAGCCAGTGATGATCTTGATGAGATACATCAATCAAATTGTCGAAGCTGTGGGTGACTCGAAAAGTACGGGGCTGATTGTCTTGTCAACGCAGGCCTGTCTAAATACTTATCTACGATTCTCTAACCCTCCGGTGTTCTGCTCGCGCACGTGTCGCATTGCTTCCATTCTAGAGAATCGACACCCTTTACAGGATCCCGATCAGCCTCCACATGCCACCAAGAACCGTCCAGACCGCGATCAACCCGCGGAGGTTGCGCGTGGACAAGCATTTGTCGAAGCATTAGGCCTGGCCAATGCGCGCGATCTTGCCAAACTCTTTCGCTGGAATGACAAGTACGGCATCAAGTTCATGCGAATCAGCAGCGAGATGTTCCCATTTGCCAGTCACAAGGAATATGGGTACAAATTGGCTCCATTTGCCTCTGACGTTCTCGCCGAGGCGGGACGGGTGGTCGCAGAACTCGGCCATCGAGTCTCCGTCCACCCCGGTCAATTCACACAGCTCGGTTCGCCCAAGCGCGAAGTGGTGGAGAGCTCCTACCGAGACCTGGAGTATCACTCCGAGCTATTGCAGCTTCTGAAACTACCGCCGCAGCAGGATCGTGATGCAGTGATGATTCTCCACATGGGCGGTGTCTTTGGCGACAAAGCGGCGACGCTGGACCGCTTTCGCGAAAACTACGCCATATTATCGCAGGATATCAAAAATCGACTCGTGCTGGAGAATGACGATGTCAGCTGGACTGTTCACGACCTTCTCCCCATCTGCGAGGAATTGAACATTCCGCTCGTGTTGGATTACCATCACCACAACATCCTCTTCGACGCAAATGAGGTTCGTGAGGGCACCGAAGACATCATACCCCTATATGAACGAATCGCAGCGACGTGGTCACGTAAGAACATTACTCAAAAGATGCACTATTCCGAGCAGACCTCTCCCGCCATCACGCCTCGCCAACGTCGCAAACATAGTGACCGCGTGGCTACCCTGCCACCGTGCGATCCGACTATGGACCTCATGATTGAGGCCAAGGACAAGGAACAGGCCGTTTTTGAGTTGATGCGAAACTTTAAGCTTCCCGGTCATGAACTGTTCAATGACCTCATCCCTCACGTTCGAACCGACGAGAACAAGCCGTTCAAACCACCACGCAAGTCCAAGAAGAACGGAGGATTTGTCGATCTCGAAGGATCTCTCCCTCCACCGCCTACTATTCCCGAAGAAGAGGTTGGTATGGGTGGCCCAGAACGAAGGGTGTATTGGCCGCGAGGGATGGAAGAATGGTTGCGCCCGGCAAAGAGAGTAGTGAAACCCAAGGCCAACACTACTCCGGCCAAACGACCTGCGCCGAAGAAGGTGAAGAGCGAACCGGCCAGTCCTGCCGCCGAACTGGAGACTCCAGTGAAGAAAGCTGCCAAAACATTTGCGCGACGAACACCATCCAGCAAGTCTCGTGCAAAGCGCAAGACCGAACAAGCCGAAGCTACACCCGAGTCTGAGGATCTTAGTAGCCCTCCCACCGACTTGGACGAGCTTGAAACTCCTCCACAATCGACGACTCGCCGTAGTGGTCGAGCGAAAAAAGTCAACTATACCGAAGACAGTGCCTAGTTGGACTTTTTCCCCAAAAGTCTGTACTAACGCAACGATATGATTGTATGATAAAGCATCTGGAATGTGCGATGGACGCGATGTTTGCATAGCGATGTACCATATGAGCTCGAAAGTGAATCAACAAGCCTTTTGTCTGTCAGTACTTGATCGTTAGATTGTGGCTTATTGATGGCTGGAGACGATTGTTTAGATGTAGGCGGCGTTTCCCTCGGACCTCTTTGCGAAAGCTGGAGGGCGACACACCTAGCAGTGACATAGAAGCCAAATGCTTGTTCAAGCGATACTGACTTACCAGGGTAACACGATCATTTCGACTCTGGACGTTTCATCAGGAATATACTTTACAAAGTGCAAGTGCTACACCCAAACAAGGCCAAGACGGCCTGGCGTCATTGTGGCTCCACTCCCCGCGCTGGCCAGATTTCAAGTCGTTTTCCGATTCTGCAGTCGTGTGAGAACGCTTCTGCAGCCATCAATCGGTTTTGGTTAATCGTCATTTGCACTGCGTCTTTCCTGCATTCGTTTGACACGTTTCACTGCCATCCATCTCGCTATTTGGCGATACACTGAAGCAGTCCAGCCTACTTCGCGTTTTCCCCCTCGTTGTTACCGCATTCGATGCGAATCCGAGTCTAGTCGCTGAATACACTAGACACGATCCACCCCCCGTCAATTCGCTTGCTTCATAAACCAGAAACCCTGGCGCCTAAACAGTATTTCCGTTGGTCGGTCGCACGATCGAGGCTATTCTTTTTCAGACGACTCCCCGCCGCGAGCTCATTTTTCCCAAAGTGGAAGCCCCTCGCACGAACGCCCAGTCGCCCTAGCAGACTCTCCTCCCTCCTCGGTGTTCTCGTGGGACCACAGGCAAGTCGCCGTGCGAGACATCGACTTTGGAATCTCCGACACGAGGCCCTACCGGCCCTCCGACACCGAGCTCAATCACACATCTATCGTGCCATCGTTAAGCGGCAGGCGCGGCTTGTCGCACGTCGTCAAGGATCCGGCGGAGGGTTCGTTGCATCGCTTCTCGGCTCCCGATCTCGATTACCGAGAGGAGGGCGAGCTTCTGTATTATCGTCGTCGCCGGTCTCTTCGGCACTTCGTTCGCCGCCCGCTCGAGACAGAACCCCTAGCGGGGCAGAAGATGTGGTGACAGAGACTATGGCATCAGCGTTGGGATCGGGTGGTGCAGATGGCGCTGTACCGGGCGGTCGTCGCAAGAAGGCTTACGAATGGCTCAAAGCTGCCAATGAGGTTGGTCAAGCCTATGCATCACGCTGGTCAGGACAGCGGGGCGTATCCCAGGAAGACTACTACAACACTCCTGGCGCATTCCCCAATGTGGCCATCGCACGATCGGGCGACGAGGAGATGGTCCTGTTCCCTAGTTACGCTCGAAAGCTTGCCACAAAGAAAAAAAGCAGCAGTCATACAAGTTCACCATCCAGGCGCGATTCATGGAGCCGAACCATCGATGAATATCGGGGTGTACCCGACGAGAAAGTGGTCACCAAGGGGAGCTGGGATGAGTCCACCGTGGAAAATGCAGTGGTGGAGGTCGATGTGCGAGGCTGGATTCACGCACCCAGTCGAGGTCCCCTGAGTCGCAAGCATCGAATCATGATCAGGCTGGCACGATCTCTGAGCGGCATCCCAGCTCCATCGGGTTCAACCAACGACGATACTTCGGAGCAGCCTCCCAATAGCAGGGGCGAGGATGAGCTACTGGACAAGGAGATGCGCAACCTCGTCGACACCGCTGAGAAGGACGCGGACACGGCTTGGAAGAGTGCAGCAAGCAACCGTCGAGGGTCGAGTACTAGCACTAATACGGGCGTCGGTCCGACAATCAGTCAAGCTGCGGTCATGACGAAAGATGAGATTTCCATGGCCAATGCTCATCTGATGGAAAGACTACGTCCCTTTCTCACGAACCCGATGGCCGGTATGCCGGTGACCATTTTCTTCTTCAATGAAAATGAGAGCGAATCCCGGAATGTCATGACCGACGAGGCGGGCTACTTCACGATACGGGCTCCGATGCCGTTTGTCCCGACACATATTCGAGTATTGGCGTCTGAGGATCTTTCTGCTGCCAAGCCAATCGACGTCATTGAGCCTGCGGGCATCAGTCTGATCAGTGACATTGATGACACAGTCAAACATTCTGCCATCAGCAGCGGAGCTAAGGAAATATTCCGGAATACATTCGTTCGGGAGCTAGCTGAGCTGAACATTGATGGTGTCAGTGAATGGTATTCGCAGGTAGCGCAAAGGGGGGTGAAGATTCATTACGTTTCGAATGCGCCGTGGCAACTTTACCCTCTCCTAGAGCGGTATTTCAAGCAAGTTGGACTGCCTCCGGGATCATTTCATCTCAAGCAATACTCTGGCATGTTGCAGGGCATCTTTGAACCTACCGCAGAGCGAAAGCGAGGGCCTCTAGAACAAATACTGCGAGACTTCCCGGAGCGCAAGTTTATTCTAGTTGGTGACAGTGGCGAGGCTGATCTGGAGGTTTACACCGAAGTGGTACTTGCTAATCCTGGTCGCATTCTGGGCATTTTCATCCGCGATGTGACAACAGTGGAGAAGAAGGCATTCTTCGACAAATCCGTCGGTGATTTGGAGTCCACTGCTCAGGATCGTAGCTCCCCAAGCCTAGTTGACGCATCGGACTTGACTGTCAAACGACCAACGCTGCCTCCTCGTCGACCGATGACGGCACCTCTGAATGCTGGTCGAGATAGCCTTCCTAGTGAAGATCTCATCGATCTAGAAGATGATGGGTTTACGGGCAGCAAGCCGGCACCCATGATACCGCACGCGACTAAGCCTCGGCAACCCCCGGGAAAGCCTGCAAAACCCTCTTCTCTCCGGACTGTACAAGGGTCGAGCGATCAGGTTGCAGCGGGGGTCTCTTCTGGTCAAACCTCCTTTCAAGAGACTATACGCCGCAAGCCGAACCCCCCTTTGCCTTTTCGACGGGCTCAAGCCAAATCAGACTCCCTTATTGATCTGGAGACCTCCCGATCCACCTCTCGTTCGTCGAGTGCACAGCCATCGAACAAAGACAGCAGCGCTTACCGGTCCGGAAGACCGCCCCCTGTGCCACCGCCAAGAAGATCTAACACTGCGTCGCCTTCTACCGGTTCAGCGAACAGTGGGACAAACACCCCGCGTTCCTCAGCGCCGGCAGCTAAGCAGTCATATCCTGCTGCCGCGGGTGCTGCCGCACAGGCGGCGCTCAACTACGCAACTGAGCGCCTCAACCTGACCGCTTCGTCCGTGACCACGCTTCGCACCTCTGCTTCTAGTCAATCCCTTGCACGAGCATCGACAACTACTGCCGCGGATCCTCTTCCCAACAAACGACAGGAATTATGGCGTCGTCGCTGGGAACGAGCAAGCGAAGTGCTCGGGGAAAGGGGGGTCGTTTTGGGCAGTTGGCGTGTTGGCACCGATGCACAGTCGGTTTGTTTGTGGCTGATTGAGGAAGAACAGCGCAAACTTCAGGGTCATGAAGGTTCGACTGGCGCGGGACGCCGGTCCTAATACATCATTGTTTATTGAACAACTGGAGATCCCCTACGCATCTGGTACTCTGTTATAATCACCTGAGCGGTCAATTCTCGACTTTTCGTATACATCAGTCACTGTACTAGCCAGAAATACATTATGTCATGGACAAAGCGTTCGTTTGGCTTCGCCATGCTTGACCACCTGCAGCCAAGGGAAGTCAATGCGAAAAGGAGATCGAGTACCTATCCTCCGTAAAATGTGCAGTCATTGCAGTGTGGGTTTCCAGCCTGTATCGTTCCAACCCTGCTTGGTATGTTGTCGTCATTGTCCGATAGTCTATTGAGCGGGTAGATATTCCTATTGAGCATTCAAGCCATACTCAGTTTATACTCATTTCAGAGCCCTTGCGGAAGCTGCCTGCGCATGCACTCATACAGAACCCAAAGTCCATGCCATACAGGTGGCATTGTTAATTGATAGGCGTCATTCAGTTCAACGTACTGGGTTCATGCTAGACACTTAGGGCTGATAGAATGCTCAGTACGTATTCTCGTACCTACTACCGGTACCTAACTACCTATAATCCTATACACCTAAAGGAGAGACTGGCCCGACGTTCAGTACTGAGTCTTCACTCTCCAGTCTAGTAGTCTTAAGTCTACTGACATTTGTGTATTCAGTGTATCACCGCATTCCCATGTGCCTCGGAACTTTATCAGGTGACACCGAAGACGGGATTTCCCCACAGAAAGTGGGCCCCCGGGACTGGTCTAATCACTGCTATGATTGGCTTACAGCGAGCTTGTCCGGGCCCCACAGGACTGACTCAGCAGCTCGTCGGGCCTCGGCTGAAAAACATACCCGCTCTGATTGGCACGTCAGCTCATGTGCGAGTAGCAGAACAAGGACCAAGTTGAAGGAGTACCGCGTGGGAAGCTCGGCAGGTTGCAGGTTAACGTTGGTAGTTGACATTTGGTACTGCGTAGTTGGTAACTTACCGGCAGCGAATGTGCTCGGCCCACGTCCAGGCTTGGTTGGAGGCCCGCGATGAACGCTGCCAACCTGAACGGACCAGAGTGGGGTAGAAGAAGGACAAGCACCTGGTGATTTGTTTGTAAAAGACTGCCCCCCCCCCCCCGGACAGCCCCCGTATTTCATTGAATTTCTACTATTTCCTGGCCATCAGTCCAAGTTACCACTCCTTCCCTCTTTTAAGGCGCATCCCGTTCTCTCTCGCCTTACCTGTTGTTCTAGTGCCCCTTAGCTCCCTGCTTCCGGTACCCTCCCGCGTCGTACTCACCAACTGCTCTTCTTCCCTCGCCTCTTATCACACCTTCCCAAGTCATGCCTGCCAAAACCCTCTCTCGCGCCGAGGTCGCCAAGCACAACACCGAGGACTCGCTCTGGTGTATCATCGACCACCGCGTCTACGATCTGACCGATTTTGTCGACGCCCACCCTGGCGGTGCGGTCGTCTTGAACCAGGTCGCCGGCAAAGACGCAACCACAGATTTCTATAACCTTCACCGACAAGAAGTCCTGGAGAAGTACCGTGATCAGCTATGCATTGGTACCATTGAAGGCGAGAAGCCAGAGGTCATCGAGCCCCAAGTGGGCGCCTTGAGCCCGGTCCCGTACGCGGAGCCTCTCTGGCTGCGTCCCGAGTTCAAGAGCCCTTACTACAAGGACAGCCACCGCCGGTTGCAGAAGGCGATGCGCGAGTTCACGGATAAATATATTACTCCCGAGGCCCAGGAGAAAGAGCAGGACGGCACCTACATCAGCCAGGAGCTGATCAACCGGATGGCCGAGACCAACATTCTTGCCATGCGGCTGGGTCCCGGCAAGCACCTGCACGGACGGTCAATCCTTGGAGGGGTGATCGACGGCAAGGAATTCGATTACCTGCACGACATGATCGTCACGCAAGAGATGGTCCGGGCCAATGCCCGCGGTTTCCAGGATGGAAACATGGCTGGTATGGCCATCTCATTGACCGCTGTGCAGCAGTGGCTTCACAACCAGGAGCTTAAAGAGCGAGTCACCGCGGAGGTTCTGTCCGGCCAGAAGAAGATGTGCCTTGCCATCACCGAGGCCTTTGCTGGGTCTGACGTGGCGGGCCTCAAGACGACCGCCGAGAAGACTCCTGATGGCAAGTTTTACATTGTCAATGGTACCAAGTAAGTCATGCGGCTGATGGCAGATCACCGAAACCCTTGAGTCATTGATTCCTCTCCTCGCACTTCTGCTCCACGGTGACTGACATGACCGCACTAGGAAGTGGATCACCAACGGCATGTTTGCCGACTACTTCGTGACCGGATGTCGGACCGAGAAGGGATTCTCAGTCCTGCTGATCCCCCGCGGCGAGGGCGTGGAGACCAAGCAGATCAAGACCTCTTACTCGACTGCCGCAGCTACTGCCTTTGTCCAGTTCGAGAACGTCAGGGTCCCCGTCGGCAACCTTTTGGGGGAGGAGCACAAGGGTTTCATTGTGATCATGAGCAACTTCAACCACGAGCGGTTCATGATGGCCGGTGCTGTCGTTCGGATGTGCATGACCATCGTGGAAGAGTGCTTGAAGTGGTGCAACCAACGTATTGTCTTTGGCAAGAAGCTCATTGAGCAGCCCGCAATCCGCCAGAAGTGAGTGACCCCCTATTCCCCTGCAATCCGATTCGATCAATCCTGTGTCGGAGATTGTGTTTCTGACGCCCATACCTACAGGCTTGCCCGTATGATTTCTCTCACCGAGTCCAACCAGGCTTGGCTCGAGTCCATCGCGTATCAGATGTGCAACATGTCCTACGCTGAGCAGGCGGTTCACCTTGGTGGGCCCATCGGCCTGCTTAAGTCACACTCCACCCGTGCGGCGCAGGAAATCGCAGACTACTCGACCAATATCTTCGGGGGCCGTGGTCTCACTCAAAGTGGCATGGGTAAAGTGGTGGAGATGTTCCATCGCACATACAAATTCGATGCCATCCTGGGTGGTACTGAAGAGATCCTGGGAGATCTTGGTGTGAGACAAGCGATGAAGAAGTTCCCCAAGTCGATGCTTTGAGGTACATTGAAGGACGATGGGACGGTTTTGATGTCTTTGTAGATTATTTGCAGTCACCTTGTGGTACAATGAACTTATTTTAATTTTGAGCAAAACGATAGAATTTTCCGATCTGGGTCAGACCTTTGAACACTGAACAACCAGACCAAGCTATAAATTCTGCGCAGTTCAAGTGACGCAGGATTGATGCCCGAGGCGAATTGAGTGGGGGCTGTGAGTATATACTTCGGCCCCGGGGATCATCGTTGATCCGCACGGGGGTTCCGCATTGTAATTGCATCACCAGGAGCTGCCTGGCCCACCTTGAAGTACTTCAAACATACACCCTACGACTAATCCTCTAGCACACTTCACAAGATCGCAAGAAAGCACGACAAACGGCACTACATCCGACAGCTTGACTTGGGAGATTTGCGTGATGGCTACGAATAACCCACTCGGTGCGGAGCACGTGTTGGAGGCTGCAGCCAAAGCGCTTGGCAATGATCCGTCCAAGCTGCAAACTGCATACGAAGCCGTGGCTCTGATCGGCCATGCTTGTATGACAGCAATAGACTTTCGCCTTGTTGGGCTGGGAGAAGAGCATAATCTCGGTATGCTTGGGTGACGATAGTTTTTTTCCTGAGGGTCTGAGTCAATATCAATGTGCTAGCGCTGACCGACAGCATAGATTCATCTCTGACCGAGTCAAATGCGCTCCCCGCCGAATGGAATGCTGGCTCCACTTACGCCTTCCGATATGCCCATCCCCAATCTTCCATGCAATACCTTCTCAAAGTGAGCCGTCTGGGAAACAACGCAGTCGTCTTTGCCTTGGCGTTGGGTGATGACCGCACCAGCTCTTTCGATCTTCCTGTCAAAGACTACATTTCCCCGTCCGCACTTCCTCTTTCGCAATCGGGCAGTACATCTGACGCTCTACGAGATGTATTCATCTCTAGAGCTCGACTGAATGACCTGGTCGGACTTTTCAAGATCAATGTGATTCAAAGACTTGCGCCGGGGTTGTATAAAGAGGGCTATGAGGACCGGGGCCCAAGAGGCCAAGAGCAAGAGCCGCCCGAGGCATCACGGCAACGAGATCGACTTCGTGATGATTCCTTGCCTCAACCTGCTCGCCCTTACCCCTTTGATGATCCCCTTGCCGAGGCACCTCGTCGGCCCAATCCTCCTGGTGACTTTGCTCCCCCGGGGTTTGAGGACGAGTATGAGATCAATCGACCTCCACGGGGGTATCCTCCCGGCTTCCCAGGAGGCCGCAGTCCCTTTAATATTGGAGAGCGGGACCTTTATCCTGCGGGACTCGGTCCGAATGATCCACTTCGAGGAAGCATCGGCCCGGGGTTTGGCGGAGGTGGTATGCATCCTACCTTTGATGATCCTCTGTTTGGGGGCAGAGGTGGTCCAGGTGGTGGGTATGATCCTCGGGCACCACCTGGGGCTCGGTACGATCCTCCCGGACCAGGCTTTGGTCCACCATCAGGCCGTGGCCGCGGACCTGGCGGAGGTGGCTTTGGAGGCTTCGGTGGAGGGTTTGGGGGTGATATCATTTAGATGTGTCTCTGAGAGTAAGAGGACTGAAAGGTAGCGGTCCAAACTGATGACTTTCATGAACCGTGATGATCCACGTTGGGCAACGAAGTGCGGAGCCGATGAACTATCTCAAAACCTGCAACTATTATGTTATGACTATGAATGGAAGCGACCCGGCCGAGGCACGTTACCTCACCTTCGGCCAACTATCTACATTCGGACTTGTCAGCAATACGTTTCTAAAAGAAATGAATTCCATCGGGCTGTCAATTTTTGCGCCAAGAATGACAAAGTTGTAGTTATTCAGGATGCTCGTGTATGAGCGTTAGAGTCGTAGTTCAGGACGTTTCAAAGTGACTTTCAGTCTTCAACCAAGTCGCAAAGTCCTTGAGACCCGGATGTATCTTCTTCACCTCCTGGATGTCCGCCGCAAATCCCACATCATGGAACCATTGGAACATGTATCCAAAGTCTTTGACTAGCGTCATGATCGCAGAGACTACAAACCCAAAGGTGGTCGGGATGGTCTTTCCAGTCTGATCCTTGAAGATCTGCGCGAACTGATCAAATGTCAACTCGTCACCCGCCAAGGAGATCGCCTGGCCCTTGTATTCTTCCGCATTCATGAAGATCTCGGCGCCGATTGTACCGATATCACTGCATCCCACCATCTGGAGCGGTTTGCCCCGCAATGAGTTCTTAAACGCGGTCGCAAAGACCCTGCCCATGAAGTCCGGGGTGAGGTTATCATAGAACGCGGTCGGGCGCAAGATCGTCCAGTCCATCTGGCCGTTTTGGGTCTTCTCCATCAGATGCTTTTCGATGATATGTTTATGTTCGAAGTGGGGAATGTTGGTTGGATTTTCGATGGACTGAGCGCCGTGGCGATCAACGGAGGCGTAGACAAAGTGCTTGACACCGTGCTTGAGCGCTTCATCGACTAGGTTCTTGCCTTGAACATCTTCCGGGACCTTTTGTCCCATGACAACCTGCATTATTGGTGCTGAGTTTAGTGAAGGATCTCTGAGTACTACACTTTGACACCATAGATGGTAGCCCAAAGCTCGCAAGGTGTATACTACATACCTGAACACTAAAGACACCCCAAATCGGATCAGTAGCCTTGGCCTGCGCATTCTTGAAGAGTTCACTGGGACGATCCATGTCCCCTTGTACAAGTTTGATCTTGTCCGATTGTGCCAACAGTTTCTGTGCTCCCGCGGACTTAGGATTGCGTGTGACCGCGAGGATTTGGAAGGGAGCATTCTTCTGGATGAGCTTTTGAATTAAAGCACCACCTTGTTTACCGGTCGCACCCGTGACGAGAATGAAAGCCATTGTTGTTGTTGTGAGGAACTATGACTGTATGGTGTACACCAGAGTTACTCGAAGATAATTATCGAAGTAGATGACCGTTGTATGAGTATACGGTCGAAGAGTTCAAGTGAACTGGTAAGAGGACAGACTCAATAGAACCGAAGATCTTTTGGATAATGGTGATCTGAGTTGACATGGATGATGAGCTGGATAGTGGAAGTGAGCTCATACTTATACAATCTTTCTGGTCATGTCATCCTGAACCATCCTTCGCTAAAAAGAAGCTACATGCACGGACATTCTATACATGCTGCTCGATGATCAATCTAGTCGGGTTAGGTTTCAAACTATTGTATAGACCATAGAATCCAGTAGCACAGAGTGAAGCAGTGTTCTCTATTGATGACCATGAGAAGGAAGGGTGTCCACCGGCTCAGGGTAGACCCCGCTGGATTCCCATTAATCAATAATCGTCTCGGACGTCCGTCCGTCCACTTCGACCGTAAGCCGAGCCGCAAAAGGTCCGAAAGCCCGAAAGCTGACGTCGAGTCTTGGCTCGGTATTAGCATTGAATCATTGATGTTTTCTAGCCGGAGTTTGCGCACGGGCGGAACCCTGAACTCGGTCAATTCACAGGGCTGGAAGCTTCCTCGGGAGACAATAGGCTCCCGTCCTCGCAAGGGAACATCCAAGGTAAGCAGCTCGCTTACCTGCACCCAAGTTGATTCTTTGATAAGGTAGCTTGTTATATCTGACTGCAGCAGATACATTATTGAATCTCAGACTCAGGTGTTTGCATGGCATGTGATTCTGCCGACTCACCGCAGTCCATAGCCTACATCGATCATAGAGCCTTCCCTCCACAGAGAGTTTCACCCTCAGCTATCTCTCCCATTCTGCAGCTACACCTACCACTATAGCTGTATCTCATCATTGGTATCATGAGATTCTCTCATCATATAATTGCTCACATTTCTCTCTAAAGCTCTAAAAAGCCCAGTGTGAGTTCTGGACCTAGGTATAAGGGCAAAGGCAAGCTCTTCTAGGTGGATAAAGATTGGTACGTAAGGACCAAGGACCCATCTTCTTCTGGTTTATATGGGGACCAGCTCTGTATAATGGGAAAGGTAATCTCTTTAGCTCGAGCTACAGATAATCACTTGGCAGACAAGTGATGACCACACCTTTTTTCGCCTCCACATGCTCATCGTTAGATCTAGCTTGAAGAAACAATCAGATAAGAAGCGCAAGCGGAAAGTTTAAAATAAGCTGAAGCAGTATGGGCCATCCATTGTTCAGAGGGTCAACAGCTTAGCAAAGGGAGGAGGCCTCAACCAACATATTTCATACTAGGTAATATAGGGTGATAGTTATTGTCTAGAATTTGAGCCTTTTCTGCAGGATACGCAAGTGAGTTTATACCTGTCCCAGGGAGGACTCCTGTGAATTAAGGTACTTTCAATTGTTTAACACCGTATATCCCCTTACCTCGTCCCCGTCCATATGAGAATCTAACTCATCTCAACTGTCCAGTGAACGTCATCAAGTCGGCAGTCAATGACGAGCTACCTCCGGGGCTGGTGGGCACCTTACCACAACATATTCTATTTCCATGTCTGCTCGGCTCGACACGCGGGCATGTATCTTCGACATTGCTCAGGGAAGTGACCAGAAATTTAAATGTCAAATCTGAGCTGATGGATGTGACTATGGTCACGATCTGAATGTGTAGCATCGCCTAGCTCTGAGACCTGGGTACCTAGAGGAATCATCACACCATCTTTCAGAAGCGAGCATGTCGACCGACAGAACGAATGGAAACATCCGCTTCCTAAGTTCTGCATTGGGTGCAAAGCTAAGGTTGATTTCTAAAGTTGCAAACTTTGAACAAACATCCGAGAAATGACGCGGCTACTGTACCTGATTTGTAGTTCTGTATTGTATTCACCTGAACTTGAGCCTCGGAATTTCTGCCAGGCTGACAAGACACTGAACTTTCAAGCACTGAAAGGATGTCTGTCCATCTGAAGGAGGTGCAACAAAAATTGTATCTTTAGCATAGTCATCGACCATCCTAGCTTGACGCCGTTTCTGAAATGACTCAGTCATTAGACGGTGTCAACACACCGACTGAGACGATCAACAAGCCATAAACTGATGTGGACGTGACTGAAGCGTGTTGTTTAGATCTTCCCTAACGTGGCGGTGCAACTACACGTACCGCCACAATCTGCACTCTGTGGCGTAAACTCCAGAACCTCCAAATTGCCAAACCTGCCTGACCTTCCCGCAATCTCTCAACTCTTTCTCCCTTTCCTATCCCCGTCTTTCCCTCGCCCAATTTTTGCCTGATTCATCTCTAATTCTGGAGTTGGAAGTCAGAGTACCCTGCTTCTGTTCCAGTCTCTACGAATATCGAATTTCTCGAATCTCCACCCTTGTCGTCACCAACCCCTGGACACATACTTGGTGTCTACCTCTCACGAGACCGCCCCTCCTCCCCTCCTCAGCTGGCCCCTCCTTCATTGTCAACGCCAGCAGTGCCCACCATGGACAACAACATGGAGATTGATACCGCGCGCTCACCTGAGCCTCATCGTCTGTCGCCAACCAGTGACCCTGGTTCCATACCCACCCTGGATGGTTGGATTGAAAGCTTGATGACGTGCAAGCAACTTGCGGAGGAAGATGTGCGGCGGCTGTGCGATCGGGTGCGTTTACCCACCAACGACAGTCAAGCATCAGACAATTGATCTAATTGCCACCGTCATATAGGCCAGAGAAGTTTTGCAGGAAGAGTCAAACGTGCAGCCAGTGGTATGATCACCCTCGACAAGCCCTCGGCCGGGGGACGAATAAATGCATGCCAGACTTTGTCCAGGGCGCCGCTGACAATCCCAACCTTACAGAAATGCCCCGTCACGGTTTGCGGTGACATACACGGTCAGTTCCATGATCTCATGGAACTGTTTCGTATTGGCGGTCCTAATCCTGACACAAACTACCTCTTCATGGGTAAGTTCTCATTCAACCTCGCTCTAGTAGTGGGTGGATGGCCAAGCCGATTCTGCCCACGGCACTGGTTCATCTGCCACTTACCCCATCTCAAGAAAGATTCATTGAGCTCTGACATTCTATCTTTATTCAACTCGTGACAGGTGACTACGTTGATCGTGGATATTACTCCGTGGAGACTGTGACTCTCCTGGTCTGCCTCAAGATTCGCTATCCCCAACGCATTACGATCCTGCGTGGTAATCACGAGTCTCGCCAGATCACTCAAGTCTACGGATTCTATGACGAATGCCTGCGCAAGTACGGCAATGCTAATGTCTGGAAATATTTCACCGACCTCTTCGACTACCTTCCCCTTACCGCTCTCATAGAAAACCAGATCTTCTGTCTTCACGGTGGTCTGAGTCCGTCCATCGACACCTTGGACAACATTCGGTCCCTGGACCGTATTCAAGAGGTGCCTCATGAGGGTCCCATGTGTGATTTGCTGTGGAGTGACCCCGATGATCGATGTGGATGGGGGATCTCCCCTCGTGGTGCAGGATACACATTCGGACAGGATATCTCTGAAGCATTCAATCACAATAACGGCTTGACTCTGGTGGCGCGAGCTCATCAATTGGTAATGGAGGGATACAATTGGTCGCAGGATCGCAACGTGGTGACGATCTTCTCAGGTATGTTCAGAATGCCACGGGGAACTCCCTTTGGTCATCTCTGTTTATTGGATGCTAACTTGTGGAATTTCCCTCTAGCGCCCAACTACTGTTACCGCTGTGGTAACCAGGCTGCGATCATGGAGATTGATGAGCATCTGAAGTACACATTGTGAGTTTATCTGGACCTTCTCGTGTCATTTACGAGCGGGAATTTAAGCTAACACGGTACGCTTAGTCTACAGTTTGACCCCTGCCCTCGAGCCGGCGAACCAATGGTGTCGAGACGCACGCCCGATTATTTCCTGTGATAGATTCTATCCCCGTTCTTCTCAAGGCTACTGGGTTAGCAAAGGGAGAAAAATGCATTCCAACCAGGCTTCCTCTGCCAATCTAATCCGGCACGGTGTGCCTAGACGTCTGTTGATACCAATTATGAAAATAAAAAAGACCTCTCGTTGTGAACATAGCGCTGTAATGAAAGCAGCCTCAAGTCTTAGTCGTAATCTTACAAAGTCTCCATGGCAAGAGCCGTCAGGGGCAAGCAACGCTGAAAATGCATCGAAAGATGCACGGCAGAGGTCAATCAGGATGATGATCTATAGGCTAATAGTGGATCGGTCATGCATATGTGCTTGAACCAGGAGGTCGATCCAGCAAACTCAGATTCTGCATCAAGACGGGGAGATAGTATTGGGTCGCAAGTATGTATACACAGTTGGAAAGAGTTGAAGCCACCTATCCACTCGAAATCTTTCTATACCACCTGCCCTTCTTCCGAGTTGGCCTTTACAAGCCGTGTCTCACACGCTTGCTCATTTTCACTTTGCAACTGCGCCTTCTCGTTGGGGAGATCACTACGGTAGTGGCGCAGCTTCGAGCTACCATCAGGAACATAGAACCGTCGGTCGACCCGAGCGAAGAGAAAGATGATCACGACGACTAAATCAAGCACAAAGTCAAAGATGAAGAAGCAAGCCTTGTGCATGTAGGCCGGGGGCATATTGATGGGTTGTGGTTTCATCCAGGTCGTTCCAGCGCGATAGGACGCGCCGAGACACAGTAGGGTTCCGGCGATGAGAATCACCAACGCCTTGGCTCGCCAGGAGCCCTGCCCAAACGAGGCGACCTTTTTCTCATCTGCGAAGAGATACACCATCGTCACCATGGGTAGAGGTAAGAAGGAGACGATGGCGAAAAAGGTCACCCCGTAGAGTTGGATGTCGCGGTCGATCCGATGCGTGTTCGGATTGGGTGTGTACATGCTCTGCACGATGACGGTGATCAACATGACGATGCTAAGGAAGACCAGGATATAGAGCACCTTGTACCCCCAAGAGACCGGGCGGGACCAGCCCAGAGCAGGGAAAGCGGCTCGTAACATGCGTTGCGCAAAGAGCAAGTTCAAGATAAAGAGGATCAACACTCCAGCAGCGACGAAGATTTGAGAAGCGATCGCGACTCGGATATTCTGCGGATAGCAGGCCCAGACGATGCGCATGACATTGGCCACGATGCGAGACATGCAAAACCCGAATGTTGCACCGGATGGGATGAATTTGTGACCCCTGGCCAAATTACGACGAAGGATGACCATGTGGCATATCCCCAAGCTGAGGAATGCGACGACCAGAATGGCGCAAATAGGCACGTCGACGTCGACCGTTGGTAGGCCACCCAGCTGGGCGACAGTTGGGGCATAAGGTCCTCCCATTCTCTTCAAAGTATCCAGAGGATGGATGGATTTCGAGTGTTTCACGAAAACAGAGCGGAGGAATCTTTAAGCTGATGCTGTACGACCAGGTCGAATTGTGATTGTTGCGGACAGCTAGTGCCTTTTTTCGCTCCCCCTTCAAGAAATCTGATTATATTGTCGCAATTGTCGTCACCGTCACAAACTCGAACCGATCTGTTGTCGGCGTGTTGTTTAAAGTGTTTTTGATTGCAATAGAACGCGGTTGGGGGTACTCGGCCAAGGGTCCATGGCCCCTATTAAAATCTCGATACTTTTAATCTCCATTTGAGCGTTATCGAGGAAATCTGTCTCATATACTTTGCAGCGGCTCATTCATGGTCCAGGATGGTGCAGGGCTGTCGGAACTCGAATGTCGCGGAGGCCGAGGGTAAGCCACCGATTCTGAACAAAGTCCGTGGAGGGAGACAGCTCTTCTCCTTGAACCTGGCCCACCCATGATGCAGATCTTGAATGTCTAGACAAATCAGATCGCGAGATTGCTCGCTTCAAATCTTGGGAGCACGGTTGGTCGAAAGTCCAGAACAGACTAAGATCTTTGATTGTGAGACGACCTTACCTCCCTTGGGGTAATTTGCAGGCTCAGGTGAGGGAGCTTCCACCACAACTCTGAGAGCTTGACTGAGAGCTTGTTCCGCTGCTACGGTCGGGTTGCAGCTCCCAAGAATACGATAGATCTATCAGGAGCGAGGTAAGATGCTTCATATCTAGGTCACCATCACATTCGACCCTTAATCGTAAGAATTTTCCGTCGAGCCGTTCCCAAGGCCGATAACGACTGAGCAACCCTTTCATCAGGGTGGATTGATGAAGATCGTTTCGGGGCAACGGACGATCTCGTCTTTGAGTTGGTCGGTGCGGTCGGAGGCCGAGACGCCGATTCTCCGACACCGCTTTTCGGAGCCGCACTGCAGCACAGTTGAAGAGCTAAGATTCATCTGTCGGATTGTCTCTCGCTCTCACCAAGTTGCCGATTGTTTCAAGTTGTCAACATTCAGGTCAGCGAGAGGAAGGCTGTTGGATTCAAAATCAGCCCTATCACGCTTATGAGATTGAATTCGAACTCTGCATAGACTCTTTCTTGCTCCACACACTCGCATGGTCAATTTGCTCTTCTACCACAGACGGAATGCTAAGCGTCAGAGTTGAGATTGAGATTGTGAGTGCCATATACGGCGACTAACTAGGTATGTACTATGTATTTATTATGTAGTCTGTACAGGAACTGGTCAATGCAGATCCACCAGGAGAAGGGTGCTAGAAGATGGTGCCTGACACGGCCAGCTATGTCTGCTGTGACAAATCGATGAAAGCCATTTGCGAGTGTAAGTGTCAGCAGGCCATCATCGACAAGCTAGTGCTGCGAGGATCGTTCAGAATCGTCTTCAGATGGCGACACTCGCTTTTTGCCAATCCAACCGCCAATGAATAGTAAGAGTGGAACTGCCGAAACACCGGTAATGGTTCCCATGGCCCAACCCATGGCACCCCAGCCCGCACTTTGACGAATGAACCCGGCAAAGAATGGCCCGATGAGACTCCCTGCAGCGAAGCCCATATTAGAGATGCCAAAGGCTAGGGCTGTGGCACCTCCGCGGCCAAAGCTCTCAGGAGATTCATCTTCCTTCTCCTTCACCGCGAAGAAGACCTCTGTGACCAAGGGAGGCATCGCAATCGACAGGCACAAGCCAAGGAGAGCTAGTAAGGTGCAGAGAATGATTTTGTCATGCATTGAATTCTCAGCGACCAGTCGCAGCAGGACTGCAACGGGGGTAGAACAGAGGAACGCCCCGCTGGCGAGGTAACGAGCTGAGGCCGGGTATCGATCAATGATGTATCCGGTGATTGGATCGGTCACGTTGGGGATCATGAGAGGAAGAAAGATAAGTCCTTGGGCGGTCTGTTGCCAGCCAAATGTCTCTTCGACAAAGAGTGGCAGGACGCTGTCAAAGGAAGTCAGGACCAGGGAGACGATAAAGTAGCCCCAAAGAGCGCAAACGAGACGAGGGGAGCTCAAGAGCGTTTTAGTCTGGGAAAAAGGATTCTTGCTTCGAGTCGACTTGACTTCATCGTTGTCGGATGGAGTGGTATGCGCAGCCGAGGGAGAAACCGACGGGTCCTGCAGCGATTCCTTTTCAAAATCATTTGGCATGGGCACCGGTGGGCTTGACTCGGAGGTCAGCCATCGAGCAGCGAGCTTCTGCTCGATCAAAACCAGTCGTAGGAAAATGTCGATGCCGATCAACCCAAAAGCGAGCCCAAAGACGGAGTAGTATCCGCCATGTTGGTAGAGCACACCTCCGAGCAAGGGACCGGCAACTGTACCGATACTCAGGGACATGGACACGGTGCCGATCGCTTGACCCAGCCCGTCTTTTCCGACAGTGTCTACCAGGAGAGCAATCCCGACAGTCCAAACCACAGCGGCTGCGGCACCTTGGAGCAAACGACCTACAATCCACAGAGCGATATTGGTGCCGATACAGAGCAATGCTGTTGCACCCGCTAAGAGCACCAGCCCAAGAAGTAATGGCCAACGACGGGATCCAGCCCGGTCAGCCAGGTAGCCGATCACCGCTGAGGATAAAAATTTCAGCGAGCGTTCTGAGAGTGTCAGTAGAGACGCGGGGGTGGGAGAGCATACGAGAGAAGCCGAGCAGCGCCGCCGAGTATAGAGCGAGCAAAACAGACGTCCAGGTTTGAACTAACAAGAGATGATGGAGGTCAGCTCGAATTCTCTCAATTTCAGAGAATTTTGATCGAGTAATTGGGGAATTGATTGATCCACGAACCATTATTGGACGAGATCCCAGCCCTTTCCAGCAAGGCCGTGGGAGTCACGGGCACTATCTGAAGGATACATGCCTGAGTCAACCAATGTCCTGATCAAATATACTGGAGTCCAGGCGGGTGCATGTGCTTGTTGACATACCAGTCCATACATGAAAATATCCTGTGGCAGAAAGTCAGCCGGGATATGCTCCAGTCTGGTGTGGTTCAAATCTTGGTTATTGAGGTCACTCCTTTTTCTCTTGATACTTACCGTGCATACTGCAAAAGACACAGTGAATAGAATGAACCATCGGGCCGATCTAATTTCTAACAATCTAGGCCGCTTGGTCTCCTGTCCACCTTTGAGAAACCCCAACGTCTTGGACCATGATCCCATGCTAGCCGTGCGAGGGGGGCGGTTCAAGTTTGCGGAAATTGACAGAGCCGGGCTGCGGGCGACGTCACTTAAGAAGCAGGGCTGCTAGAGAGCAATTTGGTGCAACATAAACAATCAAATCTGAGACTCAGGCCAAGTGGATGAAGAAAAAGAAGTAGACCAATAACGGGGACTTGGATTCAACCATTTGGCTTAGACTATCCGTAAAGACAGGGGGATTGTCTATTATTTAACTGAGGCCTCATCAGATGAAGGAAGAATCGAGCCTCCTGTTCAGTATGTAAGTGGAGAGGGTTGGAACATTGTCAGTTCTGGCGTTCGGGTCCCGCGGGCTCCGCGCGCGGTGGGAGTGAGATGGGTAGTGGGTACCTAATACTACTATTGACACTGACTCGTGAGTCAAGTACGAGGTACTTGTGACTGTACAATGTACCGAGTCGGTCCTCTGAAGTATGAACGACCTGCCGAACGTCAGCCGTGATCGCCGATCCTCCCATAGTCGTATCTTTCAAGAATCATATACGCTTTATGCTCTATTTCTTTGCAGGTTCCTTCATGATTCAAGCCGGAGCAGGGAGAGTGGAACAATGTGAGGCCGTCAGGCCAGTCCTGGAGTCCTCATAATCGACCCACTTCCAGTACATCGATCTTGTATATACTCGCTCGTCGACGTCCAACGCTGAGCCTGCAGAAAGCTACCAATTTCATAAGATCGTGGCGTTCCTACCTTACGGCCTCAGTCGGGTGGATTGTCCCTAGCTCGGACCAAGGCGGGAAGCTTCATGGAACCCACAATTGTGTGCAGTTTGCGCAGCTTCTGTGCCTAGCTCTCTGCACAGATCTAGGTTTCTGCCTGGCTTTCTTGCGTCTGGACCATACCTCGAAGACATGGACCCCACCGCGCCCACCGCGAGGTCGCCTGTGGTAAGGTTGATATGGATCAGGGATGGAAGGGTTCGAGATCATCTATTTGGAGGTAGGAGACCAAATCAGCCGACTCGGTAAAGAGGTCAGGAAATGATGACCTTTGGTCTTTGGCAGACCTTTGCTGTGTATCACTCTAGATACTGCCCGAAGTTTCCAATGAGTGCAGAGCTCTACATCCCATGTGAAGGTTAGAAGTTGTAAAATAAACTACATCAGTGGGTGAACCATGAACAACGACGGCTGGGAGGATCGGCGAGAGGGATCGGCAGAGTATATACTAGGTGTGAAACCGGAAGACACAGAGAGAGATTTAGGTAGTGGTAGTCAAAAAACGGACGGGAAGAAGCTGGTTTGGTTCTTCGTGCACGCAAGTAACTTTAATTCCAGCAGTCTCTAGTGCTAAGTACATGTGGACCTTATGTAGTGATTCACCACCGTGACGTCCAGTCTGTCTGAATTGAAGTCTGAATGCTGGACAGTGGGAGCTTCCCCCACAAGAGCCTCAACTTGAGCTGAAGCGCGGAATCACGGGACCGGCGATAAGCAGCCCCCCGCGATCTTATCGCAAAGGAAACATCTGATGGGCCGCAGCGAAGGCCACCACCAAGTCTTCCAGGTCGATCGTTATTGTGTATATAGAGTTGTACATACTGCATAGTGTGGTTTCATCATGGCTGCCATAAGAGAGTAAGGAAAATTATCTGATGATGGACTCGGGCTTCAACGAAGCACTAACATCACCAACAGAGCCCCTCGCATTCGAGCCTGTCTGTTCGACATGGACGGTCTTTTGATTGACTCAGAGGACCGATACACGCAGATCACGAACGAGGTGCTCCAGAGATATGGCAAGCCCAACCTGCCTTGGTCGGTCAAGGCACAGTTGCAGGGACGACCGGGTCCGGAAGTATGTGCATCAATCTGACCCGACGATCTTGCATGATCAAAGTAAACGCTTACATCGTCTCTACAGGCAAGCAAGATCTTCCACGAATGGGCTCAACTCCCCATTACGCCGGAACAGACGGTGCATATGCAAGCAGGCTTACAGGAGAAATATTTCCCTCTGTGTCAGCCCTTACCAGGGGTTCCCGATCTCCTGTCCACCCTGGTGTCCACGCAGTCCACCGACCAGCCGGTCTACATTGCTCTGGCCACCTCGTCCAATGCCCGGAACTTCAAGCTCAAGTCAGATCATCTGTCTGACCTCTTCTCTGCGTTCCCCCAAAGGCACCGTGTACTTGGAGATGATCCTCGCATCGGTAAAGGTCGAGGCAAACCATTGCCTGATATCTACCTGCTGGCACTGGAGACCATCAACGCCGAGCTGCGTAGCAAAGGCGAAACCGAGATCACCCCAGCCGAATGTCTTGTCTTTGAGGACGCAGTTCCCGGCGTCGAGGCTGGTCGCCGTGCCGGCATGCAAGTTATTTGGTGTCCGCACCCGGGTCTCCTGGAGGCTTATCGGGGCCGCGAAGAAGAGGTCCTCGCTGGTCGCACTGGACAGCACAAGGAGGACGCAACCGCCAACCTTGAAACGGGGGCCGACAATCTGCAGACGGGAGGTGTCCCTAGCGCGGGCGTCCCTGGAGAGATTGGTGATGGCTGGGCTGAGCTTGTCGCCACCTTGGAAAACTTCCCCTACGAGAAATATGGCATTCGCATTCCCTAAGTAGACATGGCCCCCTGGGCCCGGGATAGAGGAAATACGTCATCGTACGTATCTGATCAATTGGCACTGCAATATTCCCCAATTGCACTTCAGTCGTCAATCGTTACGGCGCAGCTATTCGACATGCGTATGCTTGATTCATTGGAAAAGAACGGTTTTCAAGACAAGGACCCAAACTGGCAGGTCGGAGACTCCCCTGAGTAGCCTCGTAGATTGCGCTGTCAAGTGATGTAACAAATCCTTGGGTCAAAGAGGCTGCTTCACCACCCTTGTTGTTCAAGACCGACATGCATGCTTGGCTGGTGACTGACCAGGTGAAGATCTCAACATCGCCATTCGATGTCTTCCCATCTTCTCTGAAGATTTGAGCGAAGCCACATTTTTCAATTTCCTCATTCAGGAGACACGTCAACCTCATGAGCGTCTCGAGGAGATCCTGACATTGGCATTGACCACACCTTCACACTATTGTCCACACGCCGAACATCACCGACGGATATGTCCTCCTCGTCAAGCTCAGCCGACAAGCGATGTCTCTGGCCAGAGCACGTGGCGACTACATCCCCAAATGGATGGAACGTGGCACTCGGTACGGCATCTGTCTTGATTAGTTTTGTTGTTGCAAGTCCACGGCCCCGGTCGCCGATTTTACATACCGTCATGCACATGAACTTCCCCGTCAGGCATTTGCCCGCCTGCTGAATAGACCGGATTCCGCCACACCCTCATCATCCCATCTGTGCCTCCTGCCCAAACCTCATGTCCTCCATCAGGACCCGTCACGACAACATCGATGTCCATCCGCTGGTTGGTCAGGGCTTTGCGTCCACGAAGGTAACCCAGTAATTGACCGGTGACTCGAATATCATATACCAAGATGCCATCGCTCTTACGTTCTGCAATATACAGATATCGACCACAGGGACTCCAGCACAGTTGGGTAATGCCTCTTCCCCCAATGACCCGACTGGCGTCGGTCCGAGCCACATTGAACGTACCCAGGGACTCTCCTGCACCATTAGCGCTGTAAAGACCAACATGTCGGGTGAAGGTCCCTGCGGCCAGAATACCATCTCCGCTGGGATTGGAAGCCAATGCTGACACAATGCCCTTCATGCCAATGCCACCGCCCACGATCTGTTTGCGCTTGCTGGGGATGGTCGGCATCCAGGAGACCGGCCCACTCGTTCCCGGGCGAGATACATCAAAGAGGCAGATCATGCTGTCAGATCCTGCCAGAAAATGAGTGCCACCCATTGATGCTGGAAAGATCATTGAGTGCGGAGTGATGAAAGCCTCTGTGGTTGGATTGACCAGAGAATAGGTTGCCACACTGGTTGGGGCCAGTGTGGAGGCCAGCCGAATTGGATGATCGCGCACAGAGGAGAGAAACAAGGTGGTTGAGGGATCCTGAAGGTTGTAGAATGGGTAGAAGGTAGCGGCGTAAGTGGGTTCGGCAGAGGGTAAAGTTGAATAAGGCGATAGACGATGAGGCGATGTTCCCTCCAAAAGATCCGGTGGGCTGCACGAGGATTAGAAAAAGGTCAGGGATAAGTGACGTTCCATAGAGACGACTTATGCAAATCAACGAGACAATGCCCCCCAAAGGTTCTTTGCACTTGCATCATATTTGCAGGAGGAAAACCGAGTGCAAGCTGACATTTTCCTTATTCTTCAGTCTAGAAATCCGTGATGCAAAATCACCTCACCTACCCTAGACAGGTTGGGGGTGGAGAAACTCAACTGAACTTACAGTATATAAGACTGACTACGATGATCAGAGAGACAGGTCAAAAGGGTTGTCCCATCAGGACTCCATTGAACCGATTTGTAGTGAGCATCCTGACGGTCTTTCCGCGGCTCTAACGAGTGTGTCTCCGTTGAAGCGACGCATTTTGGACCAGAGTCCGGCTCCGACATCGTTGAAAGATAAGAACACTGCCTTGTCAGCTGTTGTAGAGCTCTCAAAGTATGTTTCCCTCCGAGAGTTACAAATCCTTCAGTTCCCTACTAGTACAGGCGTTGGTTACGGTGGTTGCTCCCGGTTACTGGCTGTGGCTCTCTAGTCCCCAATTCACAGCACCAAGCACCGGACGAGACTGACGTCCATCCCAGAGTCTCCTCGACAACTCCACTGATTGGACAGGATCAATGTAAACCACGGTTTGCAAACTTTCCAATCATTCCACAATCATTCAAAATGAGGAGATCCCAGCAAAGAAAGCCGCCTAGACGTAAGAAGTATCAGGTAGGCCGCGGCTGGTCGGACCCGTCGTTGCCTAAGCCTGCCAGATGCGGGTTGGGTCAGCCGGCGGATCAACCTTCGTCCGGGTCCCAACTCTTATCGGCGACACACCCAGTTTGGCCTCGACCGCAAAACACCGGCTGTCGCAGCCCGCCTGACAATCATTGGAATCCTGTCGCAGCAGAACTTCTAGCAACGGCCATCATGTTTGCTCCCAAGACATCTGCACCCACCTCTAGTGGCTTAACCATCAGCACACCCTCCACGTCTCTTTTGTGAGTGTTCAAAATGCCAAATTTTCTTTACTTGAAGCTCTGTGTTGCCCGGGCACATTGATTCGGCCTTGTCGCGCACCGTTCCATCTGTGAGAGCTCTGCATCCGCCGCACAGCAACCAAAGACAGTAACCGCGCCATTCAGCTTGCTTCGGAGTACCTGTGACGTCCGGAATTGAGGAACGGGTACAACGAGCTGCCGCAGAGGTAACCCAGCAGCTCGCAGTGGTTACTGAGACCTTTCACGCAACTTCCTATCGCATCGCGCACAGTTGCGCAACTGTACGCCTGAGGTCTACAAACCTTTGCTAATAATCCCTCTTCAACTCCGCTAGTGGCAACACCAATACGCAATCCAATACAAACTCCACCTCCAGCTTGTTTGGCAACACTCCCGCTACAACACAATCTAAGCCTGCCACAGGTGGTCTCTTCGGCAACACTCAGCAAACCCCTACCACAAGCTCAGGCATGTTCGGCACACAGCAGCAGCAGCCGCAGGCAGCGGCGACTTCAAGTATATTCGGCAACCAACAAAAGCCAGCTGGCTCAACTCCTAGCCTCTTTGGAAACCAACAAGCCCAGACAAGCTCAGGGTCGAGTTTGTTCGGTAACAACACAAGCACAGTGGCGGCGCCAACAACACAAAATACGCAGTCATCGGGGTTGTTTGGACCGGCCGCCACCACTCAGAACCAGGCGAAGCCGGCGTTTAGCCTTGGAGGGTCGACAACAGGAGGCGGAGGCTTGTTGTAAGCTATGACAAGGTCACCACGCTACTCGCGATCGATATACTCACCTTTCTCTCCATAGTCCCAGTCAACAACCGCAGCAGCAGCAACAGCAACAGCAGCAACAACAAGCCAACAAGCCTACGCTCAACGTTTTTGGGAACGCAACCACCAACCAAGCTACCCAGCCATCCTTGCTTCAACAAAGCACTGCACCTGGCAATGTCGTCCAGGGAGTCAAGGTGGACATCAGCAACCTCCTTCCTACCACCAAGTTTGAGAGCTGCTCCGATGAGCTGCGTCGCGAGATTGAAACCATTGACAACGCCATTCTCGGTCAAATGAAGCTTTCCCACGAGGTCTCGGATATTCTGCCCACGATTCAATCTCAAGGCGCCTCCATCCCCAACGATGTGGACTTTGTGCAAGGCAAATTGGAAACAATGCAGCATGCATTGGAGAACGACGCCCAGGATATCGATCAGCTTCGCAGCTTGGTCGCCCGCAACGCCGCGGAAGCGGAAGTTGCTTTCCGGGCCATCGATACGCTGAAACTACCTCTGCAATACCAGACGACGGGTGGAAGCTGGTGGTCAGTGCAAGACCAGAAGGTGGCGGATCGGTCTTCTTTGCCCTCCGGTCGCAAGAACACTCTTGCGCTGCCCGACGATGTCGAGGGTGACCCTACAACCGCCAAGAGTGTCAACGGCGTCCCTGTCAACCTCGTGGATTACTTCTCTCAGCGCTCTGATGAGATGACTACGGTCCTCAATCGCTACAAGGGCAACCTGAAGGAAATCGAGGACCACTTGCATGGGGTGGAGCTTTCGCTCAATCGTCAAATCACTGACTTTATGAGCAAGTCTCGAGACGGCCCCGGAGCAGGAACTCCGAAAACGGTGATCGGCGACCTTGCGGCTGTCTTCGAAGATGTCCAGGTGGGGATTTTGGGCGTGGCGTCTCGTCTGGGGACTGCGTCCGAACAAGTTCAGGAACTGACACTTGGGCCCTTGACTACGGAGAGCCGCTACGCTCACTAAAGGACAGGCACATCTGGTCGATGAGTGCCTTCTCACTTGTACTTCTAATATCAAAGGATCAAAAGTCGATTGATGAAGACGATCCCGTATTTCCCTGATAGGATACGAAGGATTGGTATTCCGCTTGTTTTATCAACAGACTAGCATTCATTTTCCCACTTCACTGTCCTGCATGGCTGCAGGATGTGATGTGGAGCATATGAGCTGGTGTCGGGTGGAAAAATTCGCAAGGTTCCATTCGACATATATCTGCTCCCGTGTAGCCTTATTGTTATTGTTTCGTACTTGGTAGCTCCAGTTCCGTCGTACAATCGATCGCTGTAGCCGACTTGCCGACAAGATCCAGCTACCGGCATTCATCCAACCGGACGGCATCGGAGATGTACCAATGAATCCGAGTCCTACAAAGTGACATCCAGCACGTAATGATGTTGATGGCGAGTTGCGATTTCGTTTTAATAATACAAGAGAGATGTAAAACATGCAAGACCCCAAGAGGTTAACCAAGCGCTTCAAAACTTCAGTATGCAGAGAAAAGGGCCTCCAGTACGCTGCTCGCGTGCAGTCCGAGAAAAGATTCTCATAGAGCAGCTGGCCGGTCCGTTTAAAAAGAAAATAGATCTTTGAACGTATTATCGTAGTTGGGATCATTCGAAAGAGAAATCGGGACTCAACTCTCGCTCCGGTATTATACAGACTGAGAGTCCTCCAAAGTGAGTCTGGTCGGTGCTTTCACAACCGACGATCAAGTGGGGGACATTCAGGAGAAAGCTGGAATTGAAGGCGAGAGATGGGGACGGAGGATATTGTGGGTGACTGATCTACTCGTTGATCTTGGCGAGAATCCTGTAGAAAGTCAGGTCAGTCTGTTCGGCAAGCTTGCCGTGAACGAGTGGGGACACATACTCAGAGTCACGGAAGAGGTGGTACTCCTCCTCGCCGACCTTGATGGGGCTGCCACCGAACTGTATTGCGCAAATTGATTAGCATGAATGTGTTTCGTTACAGCCACGGAAGTCATTTGACAAAAAGCCATGACCGTGTGCCGTTATGCACCTCCGATAGAATCGTAGACGCGGAGATTGGCGGAAACAACAGCCTGGGATCGAGGAGTTGCTTACCTGAGGAATCAAGACCTTGTCGCCAGCGTTGACACCCATGGGGATGCGCTGACCATCCTTGGTGAGCAGGCCGGGACCGACAGCGAGGACCTTGGCCTCATTCTGCTCCTTGACGCTGCTCTCGGGGAGGAAAATACCAGAGGCGGTCTTGGCCTCGGGCTTGATGCGCTGAACCAGCACACGGTCGAGGAGGGGAGCGAGGCTCTTGATGTTACGGAGGACAGACTGTGAAGAGCCAATGTCAGCACTTTGCGCCGGATTGATTGAAGTTGAGGATCGAGAAGAAACGACCCGTGCGCGGCAGGGAGCCACAAGTTGTCCAGGTAGCGCACAGGAAGTCATTCCAAGGCAATAGGGAGCTGGCTACGTAGACCCAGTCGTCATCCACGAGCGAAAGAAGAATGTGTACTCACCATGATGAAGCAGTTTGAGTGGTGTTGGGGGGTGGGGGATCGTGACAGGCCAACAGTCGGAAGATGCACGAGAGATGGGGAAAGGAAGGGAAGAGGTGTCCGGGGGATTGAAGTTCTGGGGCTTCTGCGGCGAGAAATTTCCAGAATGCCAAGACCTCAAAGCTTCGACTCCCGAGGAACAACACCCGCGCCGACTTTCGGTTTCTAAACCCTTCTATGCCGTGAACAGTTCCATTGGCTTGCCAAAATCATTGTTTTTGACTTTATTTACACTTTGGACTGTATTGGTCTTATACCGAACATACATTGGCTTTCCCTCGTTTTATTGAGTCTGCTCAACACGCGGTCTGCCTACTCGGCCATCATAACACTGGTTTCCTCGGTCTGGAGCTTCGCCGGCCTTGACAGACGAGCTCGGAATACGCGGGAGCAAAAGCCCCCAAAAAAATATCGGTCTTATTGTATTCCATTGTTCCTTTCTTGCTGACAATTTCCGCACCTTGAAACACAGAGAACCTTCAGATGCAATATTTGGGAGCTATCAAAGTCCTCAGCTCACCATCTCCGGCCACGGCCACGGCCTCCACCGTAATTGCCTCTTTGATCGTAGCCTCCATAACCCATTTGACCTTGCACCCCCTGCCCGTAGTTTTGTCCTTGCCCTTGATTGCCGAAGCCACCTTGACCTTGTTGACTGGGGCCGGACTGGCCGCCCATCATCGATTGTGCATGCTGCATGAATGCCATCGGATCCATGCTAGAGGGGTCAAGGCCTTGAGACATCATAGAGGCCAGCATACCCTGCATCATCTCCGGGTTCATGTCCGGCATGCCCGGCATCCCTGCCATGGGCGGCGCGGCAGGGCCTGGAACGACTGGGACCGGGGGCGCGCCGGGCATTGGAGGCATCCCCATGCCCAAAAAGGATGTCATGTCCTCCATCTGCTTCTTTTGGTCCCCCACTTCCTTGCGGACCTCTTGTTGCTTGAGACAGTAGCTGACCCATGTGAACTCGTCAAATCCGTAATTGAAAAAGTCGGTCATATCCGTGCCGGGGCGTCGCCAGGGCTTGTCGTCAGCCGGAAAGTCTGCGTCCATGTCGGTGGCCATGATCGTCTTCCCGGTTGACGGATGCACTGGGTTGCCATTCACGTCGATCGTCGATGTGTGGACGGCCGGATAAGAAGAACCTGGCCTCAAAGGCATGCTCTGTTTGGTGGAGGGAGCTGTTGTCCCTGCCGTAGCAGGCACAGGAGTCGCAACTTCGAGGTGCGGAGTGCCAGACGGCGTGGCGGATTTGGGAACTATGGAGGGATCTGCTGAGGGAGCCCGCTGAGGTTCCTGTCGAAGACTCGTATGACGCGGATGGGAGCTGGAAAGAGTCAGCCAGGGACGATTGATGATGCTGCCCGTGCCATTATTTCTTCTTACATCTCTGGTGGTGGCGCATCGGCAGGGGCCTCTGTAATGATATTGAAGTCATCCTGGGCAATCAAGACAATTAGCCGGCTGCAATCTCTCTCGTCTCTCTCGACGCACTTTTACAACCTACATCATCATCCTCGACTTCCACCTCTTCCTCATCGTCTTCGAAGCCGTCTGTTTGCTGCTGTCCAGCTTCGTTGTAAGCACTTGAGGCTGCCTGGCCGGCAGGTACAGAGTCTGCGGGGTCGTAGAAATCATCTTCCTCGTCATCCATCATCCTGGCGATGTGATCGGAATTTATGTTGACGGGAGGATCAGTATCGCGAACGCGGTCCGCATACGGTGTAAGGTGATTGGACTAGAGTTTGTTACGTTTGCTCCGTGCGGAGAGAGCTGGCCGCTTATCTTGCCTTATCGCAACTTCTCGCGTTCTCTCGTCTCTCGGCGCATCCATTGGGAGCAAGTAGGTTGACTCTGCTCTGCTAATTTGTACATTCGACCGCCCGACGAGTCTCATGCTGGACTTAGAATGAGAATTTGTCTTTATTCGATTTTCTCCATTCTTTGAGCAGTTCAATTGCGCTGTGTTCCTGGTGGATAGAAAAGCCAAAGACACCAGGCCCATCTATTTTTCAACTGTAGATGGCGATGGGACAAGTCACGTGTCAACAGCCTCCGGACGTCAGAAGCTGTCGCATCTGAACCATCGCAGGCTTCACCTTTGTAACTGCTGCCCTTGACTCGATCCTTCACTCTAGCCGCACAATGGACTCGTCCGAGCAAGAAAGCCGGGTGTCGACGCCGCGGTCCTTTACGGGCCAGAGTGTATCCGCCGAGGACATGCTTAAGTCGCAAACAGTCGGTCTGGTGCATCTGTCGGATTTTCGCAAACGACGCGCCGAGGTTCTGGAACAAAAGGAAAAGGAGGCTCATGACAAATCACTGGGGCGACTTGCATCTGGTAACTCACGAAGTGCAACTCCCTCTGCAAGTGACGCGACTGACGGGTACGTTTTTCCAAGGACCGGCTGCTCCGTCTCACCCACGTAAGTCGAAGCTAATCGCGTCGCATTAGACCCTCGGCACCGAGAAGTGACGTGCCCCCCAAGAAAAAGAAGAAGAAAGCGTTAGCCAAAAGCAAATTGTCTTTCGGTGACGAGAACGATGAAGCCGGCGAGACCTCCCCTCCCACGACTCGTGACCCGAGTTTATCGCGATCTGTCTCGCGAACTCCGGCGGAGGAAGCGCTCCCACCTGCGTCCGCTGCGAATGCGCCCCGGATGAAAGCAAATCCAAATGCGCCACCTCCACCCAAGGCCCTCACAAAAGCCGCCTTGGAAGCAGAGGCCAAGGCTCGAGACGCTCTGCGCAAGGAATTCCTGGCAATGCAAGAGGCCGTCAAGAATACAGAAATCGCGGTCCCTTTTGTGTTTTTCGATGGAACAAGTACCCGCGGTGGGTCAGTAAAAATGAAGAAAGGAGATCATATCTGGCTGTTTTTGGATCGATGTCGGAAAGTCGGTGCAGAGATGGGAGTCGGCGGTAATAGTGGCGCGTCCAAGGCGCGCAAAGAGTGGGCTCGGATCAGCGTCGACGATTTGATGCTTGTGAAAGGTGATGTGATCGTGCCACATGTGAGTGATGTTTCTTACTCGCAATCAACTTGAATTTCTCTCGGGCTAACGTTGAGGCAGCATTATGACTTTTATTACTTTATCGCCAACCGGGTTCCCAGCTATACTCGCGCTGGAGGCTTACTTTTCAACTATTCCGACAAACCCATACCGGCACAAAGAAAGGATGAGGATCCCATGTATCGCCCCATCGAGCAAGAGCTCGAAGGGGTGGACAACGACGCCAATGACACCAAGGTTGTAGATCGACGGTGGTACGAAAGAAACAAGCACATTTTCCCGGCCAGCCTCTGGAACGAATTCGAGCCTGGAAAGGAATTTGAAGAGAAGATGACATCGACGCGGCGGGATGCGCTGGGGAACACATTTTTCTTCTAGTGAAACACCATTGAAGCCCGGCGCATTTCTGTTGAGATCCTCGTGTGTTCCGGCAGTACATGTTCCTCATAAGACCACTAGTACTAAATGATCAGCTCATCCACGTATCTCAGGTCTGTTCTTGGGCAAATGGAGCGGCTGCGCGGCTGGGATCTCAGGTGACCTCGGGCCTCAACCTCGCTTCTCTCCATCTCCTCGTCCCTCCCTTTCCACGCATCACTCACCATAATGGATTTCCGTCTGCGATGCAACTCGCTCAAATGTAGAGCACAATTACAGGAAAAGGCGGTGGTGACCACATGCTCGTAAGTGTCAATCTCTGACAAGACCGGAGCATGGGCCGCTGAATACACAAGACATATTTTCTGTCTCGACTGTGCAGGTCGTCTGGGCCTCTCCCGTCCCACCACAAATGATCGTCGATGCCCTGCATGTCAAACAGTGCTATGCAACCCGGACGATGCCGTCTCGACCGTCCTGAACCCCACAGAAGATTACAAGACAAGCGTCTTGAGTGGACTGGACCCCACCACGATTATGGAGTGCGCTGGCCGAGCACTGGGCTTTTGGGCGTACCAGAGCACGCAAGAAATGTGAGCTATTACTCTGTAGAAAGACGAAGCGCAAGGTACACGCTAAACCTTTGCATGTAGATTCTACCAAGAGTACCTCGGGAAGAGTCTCACCGACAAATATACTACTCTGAGCACGCAAATGGACAAGGTCATCCACAATGCCAACTCGGAGATTTCCACGCTGCATGAGAAGGTGTCCGGTAAGTGCTGCCACATGTTGTTCTAGCTTTCATGTGCATTGTTCTGATCTTCGGATGTGTTTGTTCCCGGACAGAGATGCAAGCTCAACATGAGCAAGTGCAAAAGCGGAATCAGGAACTCGTTGATCTCTATCGTGAGAAATCCAAGAAACTCGATCAGATGACGAATCTTTACAACCTGCTCAAGGCCCGAACCATGAAGTCACGCATGGAGACAGCTGCGTTAGAGAATGTCTCTGAAACGCTGAACTCCATGTCCCATTGGAACGCCCATGTCATGCCTCCGCCCCCATCAGCACGATCCGTACCGAACGCTTCAAAATCACACACTTCTAAGACCCCCTCTTACCCATTTAGTCCGGAGGGAGTGGAGCAATTACATCGGAACCAACGCAGTGGCACTGGAAGCTCGAGATTTTCAAGACCCCAGAAAACTGCCAAGTCAGGAGTACCGACCCCGGTGGGCCACTCAGTCTTCAATGTCCGGACCGGTGAGTTTTGCCTTTGGAAGATATTGCTCCTGGAAGAAAAAGAACCATGCTCATTATTACCAGCTCCGGTGAACAAGTCAACCCAACCACACCGAACCCGTCTGCCGCATTCAAATCGCCCCTCCGCCGCGGCGTCACACTTGCCTTCCGAGGAGGAAATTCTGGCACGATTTGGTCAGAGGTTATAGTTGGAGGACGAAGCCTTTTCTTTCACCCAGTGGGAGCTGTTACGGCTTGAAAGGTCACCTTTGTAGCTCGACCGCATCATGCTACGCGAGCTGATGGATTCTTCCCCTTGCTTTATTGATGTAGCAGGACTTACGGATAAGATCGTGTATTGACCAGATCAGCTTAACCAGCTTATTATTGACGAGGGGGTTGGCTTGATCCTGTAAGAAATACTCTCTCATAATCATCATCATCTTCTTCAGCAAGATTAGTATCAGCATCAGCGTCATGTTCTACTGACGCTCGTTTCTTTCATTTTGATCACAAATACTTAGCGATACCTCGGTAACCCGGGTGATATTTCATTTAATCTCACCACCATTTCAAATGCGGTCGGTCTCCGATGACTGAAGGGCAAACGTATGTGATCAGATGGTACACATAGGGGATATAGAACAAGTCTCCCGTATAGGAGTCACCACTGTAAAGCATGACAAGATCTTCAAGTTGGACGTCTCAGGGGATTTAATATGAAAACCTTCCCGGCGCTTATCAAATGTTGCTCTCCCTTTCCCCCACAGCGAACCCGACGTAACTTGGCCATCTTCACGCTGTCACATCGGAGCCCCTGACCTCATTGTCTTATTATCTCATTGAGATTTTCCATATTCTTCCTCCTCATATGCTTCCCCTGCATCACAGTTGAACATAGCAATCATATGTTTAGGGACGCTGTGCGTACAGGGAACGGGCTCCTGCAGGTCTCGCCGTGAAAGCTCACTGACTTGATCAAAGACGTATTGGATATACACCTAGTCATAGCCGGTGTCTCCAGAAGGATGCTCCTAATCAGCACGATAAGGGTCAGAAGTTCACAATTCATCCGAGGGCCGAAAAGACCAGGTCTAACATGGGCAGCATTGGCGAGTCCACACTGGCGCAGGTGGTCATTGGAAGTGATCCGTAAGGTACACATCGATTGATAAAGTCACTCATATGTAAACCACCGCATCATCATTATCTTTCCTCCGGACTGCAGCCAGAACTACTGTATCTATCCATCTAAGCTGACTCGCCAAAGGCCGCCAAAATCACCCCACTAAGTCTTTGATCCCTCAAAGCCTCATATATGATCGATATCCAGCCACCGACCGTCTTCTTCTCCCTCCCGTCAATTTTACCTCCTGTTGGATCCTCTGCGACAGGATGCTCAATGAACCCCAGATGGAAAGGCACTTTCAGCTCATGACGTATGGCAGCGTATATCTTTTGCGACCCGTTGCCAAGGAACATGAGTGTGTTGTTATTCTTCAGGAAATCATCGAAAACGCTCATATAGACCTCTTGAACTTCGGAAACTGCCGCCTTCTTCCACTTGTTCAGTACATGAAGGGAAATATCACTGCCCTGTTCATCAAAGTGCGATATGATGATGGGGAGAATGGCATTGACTAGCTCCTTGCATCGGTCTTGGATATCCTGGCGAGCGGTCACTTGCCAGGCGCCCTCACATGCGGATTGGACATTGAAGCACAAGTCTTCTACTTGCACTTTTGTCAGGTAGGCGTTGAATGTGTCCTTGAGCGAGCAAGCGAGGGACAGGCGCAGGGCCTGGAAGAAGTTGAGCTGCAGGGCGCGGAGGTCGAGCGCCTGGCAAGCGACATAAAGAGAGGCTGCGGTCATCATGGAAACAATGTCCACTGCTTGCATGGTGTAGCGTGCTGAGACAAAAGCCATCGAATTGAGTGCTTGATTGTGCATTTCTGCTGTTTGTACGTGGCTGCTAACTGGGTTTGCGAGGTATGCTAGCTCAGACATATAAGCCGCCATGTTGATGTCTACCCCTTTCATGGTAAAGGAGAGGCTAGGGTTATCTGCGACCAGATTTGTGGGCAGACCGTTGTTGAGGGATGGATCGATGAGCTCGGTGCATTGAGCAAAGATCATTTTGCCAATCATCTGCAAGGCGAGACGGGTCTTTTCCATCGCGGAGGTGACAGATGTTGCTTGGAAGTTTCCTCCCGAGTAGGAAGTTTCGTTCAAGGTGTCGACGAGAGGATTATCGGAGGTTGAATTCAGCTCGACTCCAATCTGGTAATCGGCTAGAAGCAAGTCCTCAAGATAAGGTCCCAACCATTGACTGGCTGTTCTCAATGAGTATCGATCTTGGACTAGGCCTTCCTTCGAAGCCCTTTTCGCCGACGACATTTCGATGCTGCTTCGACTGCTGCTATGTGCTAGAAGGGACCCGGAGAGCAGAGAGGCGATATTGGCTGCAGCTTCACCTTGACCGTAATGGGGTCGCGCTTCCGCGATAAATGGATGGAAGCTTTCACAGCTGCCACGAACTGCTTCAACAGCAAGAGCGGTATTGATCTGGGCAAGAAGAGCCAGCTGATGGGCCTCGTACAGGGCAAGACTAGCCAAGGCCGCCGACGCCGCAGTTCCATTGACTAGCCCAAGACCCTCCTTTGGCCCTAAAGTGATAGCCTTTGCCCCGATTGCTTTCAGGGCCTCCTCCGCATTCAGAGTCCTATACCCAGAGCGCACTGTAATCCCAGGGCTTCCTTCGATGGCCCCAACCACATAGGCTAGCGGCATCAGATCGCCCGATGCAGATATCGTCCCTCGCAAAGGAACCACTGGAGTAAGGTCTTCCCGCAAAAGCATCAGAAGACTTTCGATTGCAGCGACGGTGACGGCCGAATGACCCCTCGAGACGGAATTTGCGCGTACGAGTATGGTACCCTTGACCCATTCTGATGGCATTGACTGAGACTCGTGGTCGGTGGAGTTCTTTGAAGGATTGCTAGTCCCAGTGTCTTTGCTTGTGAGAATGCCGCTCTGAAGAAGCTGGAGCAGGGATTTTTGAAGAGTGATGACATGGTTTGTTCTTGAGTCTGCACTGCCTCCAAACCCCGTGTTGACACCTGCGAGAACTCGTCAGGACAGAAAGAACAACGAGGGGCGATTGATCTGAGAATACAACTCAGGCATACCGTATATTGCGTGGCCGTTGGCAAGCAGCTTCTCCAAAGTCGAGACGCTGTTGTTGATGCTCTCAAGCGTGTCTTGATCATCGGTGAGATAAGGTTTGCACGAATGCCTGCAGGCGAGGAGTCATGAAGTCAGTTCCAGTTAGCCAGACTGGCAGATCTTCAACAGACATACTTTGATATAGCCACCACACTGGCTATGGTGAGACTGTCCCCGTCAACAATGAGTTTCCCATCTTGGAGAATCCTCTCCAGCATCCGCAAATGGGTGCTGGCCAGATCCAGATGGCTTCGGGTGTCGGATTTACTAAGCATGGTGAATTGATGTTGACTAGTTCTGCCACCACTTGAAGATATAAAATGTCTCTTCGTCAAGAGCTTCCTTCGAGGTAGATATAAAGAGGTCAAAAACTCTAAAAAAGCGGTGAATATGTGATATTGGATTGACGCGAGCTAATCTGCTGCAGAACTCTACCATGTTGCGGACACGACCGAAGGGAAACAATGTGCCCATGATCTATGGAGATCAGATTGCAGATAGGCTCGCACAGAGGTGGATCGTGCAAGATCCTTCAAAGGCATGACAATATTGAGATCAACGATCAATGGTGGTCTAGAATCCGATGGGCTTCCAGGTCGTTGTCGTTGATCAGTGGCGGAAAGTGGTAGCGAAACTCGCCACAATTTGAGACCTACGACCTATATCCTGTTGAGATCATCTACATCGAACATGCAGTACTCAGGATAAACCGGGTGGTGTATGCCGCAAGGGACAGCGACCCGGTTTCGGGAGATGCATGACCGGCATGCTGTGTAACTGGACAAATACCCCTTACCTGCTGCGTATTCGCAGGCCGTGACACTGCATCACTAGCCTGTGATTATTTATCCTAGCAAGTGCATAACTGCATGTACATATAGTAGCGCGGAAATGCTATTGATTCGTGGGCTCATACAGCTTAATTCCTCTTACTTGGCGAATGAGCAGCGTGCAAGACGCATCTTCCATGGTCATTCAAAGCCTTTCTTCTCGTTATTCTGCAATCTGTACGAATCAGGCTATTCCCGTTCCGAGTCAGTGAAAGATCGCAAACATGGCGAAGAGCGCGTCTGAGGTTGGAGGCTTGCGCACTGAGGTTGCCATTCATGACCAAGAGCCGAAGATGGAGTTCCACCGTCCAATGGAAGGGTCATGCACAGTACAGACGAGCGAGTCCTATGACGGGTCTGATGAAGCCCAAGTCCTGGCTGACTGCAGCAAGACCAGAAGGGAGACTATGGAAGTTAGCGATGGTGATGAACATCATGAAGAAAGAGACGAATTGGAAACGTACCCTGCTGGATGGAAGCTGGCAGCGATTGTGGTCGGTTTGTGTCTCGCGTGTATTCTGGTCGCATTGGTATGTCTGCATCGCTCTGGCACAGTTTTTAGCATGTTCGCGTGACTAATTACTTTTCACGTTGTTTCCAGGACAATACAATCATGGCCACTGCAATCCCCAAGATCACTGAGCAGTTCAACTCCCTGGATGATGTTGGGTGGTATGGCAGTGCCTTCCTGCTCACGACCTGCAGTGTGAGCCTACTCTATGGCAAGCTATACACATTCTTTTCCATCAAATGGGTATATCTCGCGGCGCTTAGCTTGTTTGAGCTGGGTTCATTGCTCTGTGGCATCACTCCCAACTCCGTGGGGTTGATCATCGGGCGCGCCATCGCGGGTGTTGGGGCCGGCGGAATCTTCTCAGGGTCAATGCTGATTATCGCGCAGTCAGCACCGATCCGCCAAAGACCTATATTCACTGGGGTTCTGACCGCAATATATGGCATTGCTGGTATTGCCGGGCCGCTGATTGGGGGCGCACTCACCGACCGTGTGAGCTGGAGGTGGTGCTTCTATATCAATCTACCCCTTGGAGGTCTCACATGTCTCTTCCTTCTGTTCCTTTACGAGGCTAAGAAGCCCGTGAAAGCTGCGACTGGCCTACAAGACATTATCATGCAGCTAGACCCGCTGGGGCTCTTGTTCTTCCTGCCGGCTATGATCTGCCTCTTGCTTGCCTTGCAATATGGCGGCACCAAGTTTCCCTGGGATAGCAGAGAGGTGATAGCGCTCTTCGTCATCTTTGGTGTGCTACTCACTGTCTTCATCATTTCGCAATGGTGGCGGCAGGATCGCGCCACTATCCCGCCTCGTCTCATCATGAACCGGAATGTTTGGGGGGTTCCGTCTTTGTCTTCTGTCTGAGCGCGTCATTCATGGTGTACACTTACTACGTGAGTCACCTTCCTCCTCCTGTCTAGCCGCCAGCTACTAACAACGGACGCAGCTGCCCATATGGTTTCAAAACGTCAAAGGCGTTTCGGCGACAAAATCCGGCATTCTCAACTTGCCTATGCTGCTGGGAACAACAATCTGTTCAGTTCTGGCCGGAGGCATTGTGAGCGCTTTAGGCTACTACCTGCCGTTTGTCTACTTTGCAACCATCGTCACCACCGTTGCCGGTGGACTACTCACCACCTTGCAGGTCGACTCGGGTCACTCCAAATATCTAGGATATCAAGCCCTCTACGGTATTGGGCTGGGAGCAGGGATGTCACAGCCCTTGATGGCCGTTCAGGCCGCTGTGGCTCGAGCCGACATGCCCAGTGCCACTGTGATTGTCATGTTCATGCAGTCCCTCGGAGGAGCTGTGTTTGTGTCGGCCGCACAGAATCTGTTTCATAACAGACTGTTAGAAAATTTGACCGAAATCCCTGGGGTTGATGCAAACAAGGTGATGGAGGCTGGTGCCACAATGATCCGGAGTGTTGTTTCAAAAGAGGCCTTGCCCAAAGTGCTGGAAGCATACAGCTCTGCAATCACGTATGCGTTCTATATTGCTGTTGCCTTTTCAGGTCTCTCTCTCTTTGGCGCTTTACCTATGCAGTGGCTGAGTTTGAACAAAAAGAAAACCTGAGTGGACTGTAAAAAGATACACTTGAACCAAGACATAGTTCTGAGCTCTTTATTTTTTTTTCTGTTTTCTTTTCTCATCTTCCCTGGTTGAATGTATTCTTGATTTCCGAAGTGAAGGAAGTCGCGCTGCAAGGTGCTCGTGCTTTGATGTTGAAGGCATCCCCTTTAGGAGATCATCATGGAAGGTCCCTTCCCCGGCTTTGTATAGCGCTCATGGTCTCATTTTGGTGGGAAATCAAGATTTCTTCTTCTTCTTCTTCTTCTTCTTCTTCTTCCGGTTTTTTCCCTTCTTCTTCAGCTATTCCCTAGCTTGTCGAGACTTGAACGATATAGACATTCGGCCAACGCGCACAATGACATCCATATGATCCTGAGGCGCTCTTTGAATGATTTCTCGGCTGGAAGAAGGGTCGGGCTCGTAAAGAATTTTGGCTAATGCCATGATCCACCAGCGAAGAATATTGTGGCAATGTGGCGATTGTAACCTTGGAATGTTTTGATGATGTGAGTCTTTCGAAGAGCCTTAGGGGTGGTGCTGTCATTCAAACATGAACATCAGCCCAAATTGAGAGAATGCCAGGACTCCCTATTTGAGCTATGTTCTTTTGTCTACCCCACAGAGGTGGTTCTTTCTAGGTACGAAGGCCCAAGTCCCGAGATTCAAACATAATGTCTGTCAAAATTGAATATCCCGAAATGCGTGGACAATAACTCTCCACAGCTGTGATAGTACTCAGACCCCGTCTACCCGACCTGCGGCTCCACGGTCGTCTCGGTGCTGCCGCTGACCAACCCCTCCGGATCTCCCAGGAACCTCACCAAGGTCTCATTAAACTTCCTAACCAACCCTTCGGCATACGTCTTGTCCAGTGCTCCTTCCCGGATCATCAAGAAAGTCATCAGCTTATCCGCCCCCGGCCAAGTGACCAACGCGTGCCGCTTCCACCCAGGCGTGGTAAAGATCGGGTTGTCCATGCGGCCCAGTGCCTTTCCCAGTGTCACGTCACCAGCGCTGGCAAAATTTTCATGCAGCACCACTGAATCGAGATCAGTGTCTGCAGGCCAGGGAGTGCTGTTTGCAACCATGTCGAACCAGTCGATCGTTTCGTAGGGGAGCATGCGCACGTGCTGGCGTTGGACAGCGAGGAGGAGTTCTTTGACGCGCGTGGTGGAGGACAACCGGACCCGAACGGGGGTGGTGTTGAGGCACATGCCTATGATCTCCTGTCCGGACCCGGATCTTCCAACTGCTCTTTCTTCCGGGTCAATATCAATGTTTCCACGGCAGTTGGTGATCTGTCCGAAGACCACATCCGTCTTGTTGGTCTCTTGCGCGATCACGAATGCCCATGCTGCTTTGATCGCTGTGGCCATGGTGATCCCTGTTGGTGGAGAAAGTGGCTCACATTCGCCCGAGTAGATGACGCTGGTTTCTGATCCAAGTGATAAGCGCGGCAGTCGGGTGACCTCACTCCCGGACAAAAGTTCTCTCCAGAAATCGAGAGCCACTGGAGTGCGAAGGCGAGCACAGGCTCGTCGATAGCTTGTGAAGTCAGCAAAGGGGCTCTGCGTCGCATCAAAGAGATCTGGATTGTTGTAGAGCGCTCCAAGCTGTTGGACGATTTGCCGGAGGCAGACTCCGTCGTACTGGGCGTGAGGCAGCCGGAGGACGAATGCGGATTGCTGGCTATCGTTGTTGCCTTTGATGAGGGTAAAGCCCGCGGCGGAAGGGCGACTGAGCGGTGGTGGTTGTGTGCGGTCTTGCAAAGCCCATGAGCGCGTCCATGTCATTAGATCAGCTCCGGACGGTAGGGCCAATTCGGTCCAGTTGATCGCGAGCTGGCGAAGGACTATCTGCATTGTCTGTTCTCGAAATTGAATGAAAAAGGACCGCAGAGACGGTTGAAGATCTACAAATCTCTGACAGGCGAGCTTTAAACGCATAGAGTCAACGATTCCGTCGATCTCAATGGGAAAATAGTCAAGCACAGCGAGGTCGACCAGGAGTGATTGCATCTCCAATGTGGGATACACATGTTCGACATCTTCTGGCTCGAGACCTTGACCTAATACCCCATTTCGGAGTACATCCGTCTTGAGGGTCTCAAACAGATCTTCGTCAAAGGCATGACCGGGTTTGCTCGGATTCACAGCAGAATTCGGGAAGCTGCAAGGTATTCCTGTCGCTGCCAGCGCCCCCAGAGTGGGCTTCTCGAACACATCAGTCATGCCGATGCGCAGCCCACTGGATCGGCTGGCAGTGACCAGCTGCTGTGCCGTCAGAGAATTGCCTCCAAGCCCCAAGAAGTTATCTTCTAAGCCCACGCTTCCTGGCGCGAGATGCAAGACTTTTTCACAGCATTCTTGGAGGGTTCTCTCGGCGTCTGTTTCGGGGGCTCGGAAAGGCATGCGTTCTTCGTGGAAGTTGAGCATCTCGTCAACTGTTCGCCGGCCTGACCACTCACGTAGGGCCCTCCGATCAATCTTGCCGGTTACTGTTCTTGGAAGAAAAGAGAGGGAAAGGATAGCACTGGGGACCATGTATGAAGGCAAGACTTGCCGGAGCGCGGAGAGCGCCACTCGGGCAGTAGACCGGCTTTCGGCAGTGGGAGTCTCTGCTACCAGCTCTTGACGTGGCGACGGTGTGTTCACTTGGTTATAATTACAGGTAAAGGCGACCAGCATCGGGGGAGGATGTGGTTGCTCCTCACCTGGTCCCGGCGCAGGCACTATAAGCTCGGCAACAACTTGCTGGCTGCCAGGCAAAGATTTTTGCAGCTGGCTCTCGATCTCGCCGAGCTCGACTCGCTGACCACGAATCTTGGTTCTTGTTCCCTTGCGGCCGACGAAGTCGAGCGAACCGTCCATCCGGCAAAAGCGAACAAGGTCGCCGGTTAGAAGCCATCGTCGCGGCAAAGCTTTGGAGCTTGTTGATTGGCTTCCACTGATGCTAGAATACCAATTAGGATCATTTAAAAAAGTGCGCTCTGTCTGGGTCGAATTCCCGAAATATCCACGTGCGAGAGCAGAGCTTTCGAGCAGCAACTCGCCTTCTAAACCCATGGGAAGAAGCCGATGAGGATTTTCGGGGTCAACCACCCAGTACCTGCCTGTAGTTGGCAGCCCAAGACTGCCTACTGGCGAGTCGACATGCAGTTGGCGCACAAGAAGAGTGCTGGCGCTCTCGGACTGGCCCCAGACCGAATACAGGCAGGCAGAAGAACTGGACCATCGCGTCACGTCGGCAGTTACCACAGACTCACCAGCTAGCAGGAGGCTTTGCATTGATGGGACATTTGCTGGTCTCAGAAGACGAGCAACGGATGGCGTGAGGATGCCCCAGGTAGCGTTGAATTGGGATATGGCTGTTTCCAAGTCGACCTGGATTTGCTCTTCCGATGGGACGCACAAGCAGGCTCCGGTTGCTAGTGCGGCGAATTGCTCAATGATGTTAACCACAAAGGCATGAGAGACGGCGTGTAAGACTCGAGATTGGGCATGTAGGCGCGTCAGAGCACAGAAATCTCGAAGACCTGGCCCATAAGACGCGCGATCCACGACGATCCCCTTGGGCTGACCGCTTGACCCGGAGGTAAAAACAGCATACAAAGGGTCGCTACCGATGGCGCTATTTATCAGGCTGGTAGACTCTGCGGTCACTGGCGTCTCGGGAACCTCGAAAACAGGAAGGCCGAAATGAGTGGCAGCAGCAGAGCCCTTTCCCTTTGCCGTTACGACGCATTGGACGTTTGCTATCGAACACATTGTCCGCAATCTCTCGATAGGAACCGATAGTGGGAGAAAGAGAAACGCTGCGCCGGCACGCATGATTCCCAGCATGGCAACCACCGTTTTTACGGACTTGGCCATGAAGATGCCGACAAAGCTTCCCGGACCGATTCCGCCATTGTCAACCAGTCCACGCGCAACCGACCACGCCCATTGACCCAGTTCCCCGTACGTAACTGAGCCATCCCAGGCGCAAACTGCGAGCGCAGACGGACAGCTTGCGCACCGTTCGTCGATTAGCTGCTGAACTTGTGCAGTGTCATCACTTTCCGGCTCGGTCAAAGAAGTCAACTGTCGCATCTGAGTTATGCCTCGACGCCCAGCAGTGCGGATGTCGTGGATAGTCCTGTCAGGCATATCGACCATCGCTTGGACGACGTCCAGAACGTGGATGAGCATCATACGAAGCCTGTCGGGCTCCACCAACGAGGGATCAAAATTGGCTAAGATGCGAGAGTCTCCCACATATAATGCAAGGGGATACTGACACTCCTGCTTCTGGGCCTCAGATACATCGTCGGAGTCGCATCCAAGCACTATCAGATTGCCAAACTGGCAGAGCCGGATGTTCTCGGGACACAACATGCTGAATTTCTGTATGCCCATGTGCTCAAACCCGCGCATTTCATGATGATATCGAGCTGTGGCTGCAAGAGCATCTGCCACCGTATCGCCGGAGTCGATCCGTAAGCGCCACGGCAAGATGGCCTGATCGCCTGTCTCGGTTTGTCTACCGTGCCAGGCAACGCCAAAGAGCACTTCATCACTGTGGGTATGACAAGCGAGAACAATGGCCCAGGCGACGCAGAATATGTATTCGTTCTTGATGGGTGAAGATAGACTTTCACACACGACTTGTCGGTCCATAGTCTTGTGCTTGGATCTGCCATTCTGTGATGCTGGAGGAAACTGGCCCCAGGAGGTGCCTGAATGAGCCGAAGCAGTCATAGTGCGAAAGAAGACCTAAGCAATGACTGTAAAATCATGGGAGAATCGATTGTCTTGAGGGGGCAGTGTCAAGCAATTAAATTGCAGCCTTCAATAGCGGTAGTAACGTGCAGCAGCCTTGGTACCACCTACCCTCGATCAGGTACTACCGTCACTTGGGTACAATCTTCATTCAGCTGCGTGGCAACCACCAGCAAGCTCAGTGTGGCAGATCTGGCAGATTCGGATGCAAGGGGCTTGCTGTAGCTGACGGAAGTTTCTTACTGCATGGATGAGCCTTCAGCTGTTGTAGGTTTTTGACATGGGTTGACAGGATTTCGGGGAATCGATCCCAGCCAGCCCGGTGAGTCCTGTTACTGTCCCCACCTGTAGCCAGTGTCTACTGTCTAGTAGGTCTACAAGCAATACATCATACGGAAATGAGGGAAGGAGTCGATATTTCAAGAAATCAGATTTATAACACGCTTTCAGTACTCCTAAAAGAGCATTACACTAGCAGTTGACACAGTACCACAACCCTATTCACTGAATGACATTCCCTCCCTGAACCGCGCTCGAAGGTAAATAGGCCTCGTCGGTTCTGCAACAAAGTGATCTTTCCATTCCAGACTCGGAGGAATAGGCTCACATAATTCCATATCAAGACGGTAGAAAAGGTCAGCTAATGCCAACTGGAGCTGAATTTGAGCCAAGCTGTTTTTTTTTTTCAAAGATTCTGTTAGCCGACTGCAACATTGCTTGGAGAAACAGACTTACTTAATTCCGATGCAGGCGCGACTCCCACGGCTATAAGGGTTGAGGTATCGGTCAAGATCGGTCTTAGCTTCTCGGAGCCAGCGCTCGGGTTTGAACTTGGTGGGTTCGTGGAATATTTTCTCGTCGAAGTGCATCGAGTGGTGGGTGGCAGATACGATCGTCTAAATATGAATAAGCACGGGGGACCAGAACAATCAGAATAAACAACGGCAGCTTCCGAAAACCTTACATCAGCGGGAATAAAGTAAGAGCCAACCTGTAGTCCCTCGGGGGGCACCACTCGAGGTAATGGCCCTGGAAGTGCCGGCCAAGTCCGGTGTGCCTCTTTGATAATAGCATTCTGCATCAAAGATCGTCAGAGAAGTGTGTAGACGCTGAGGAAGAACTCTTGGACTGACTAGGTAGGGAAGTTTCGCCAGCTTTCGAAGATCAGCTTGATTAATGTCATCACACCAGAGATCTGCTTCGCTGAGCTCATTCCTGAGATGTTCCTCAATCTCCTTATCGCGAAGAACATGGTAAACTGCGGCTGCCAGCGTCCTCCCTGCTGTGTCAACTCCCGCGTCAATGAATGTGAAGGCTTCCGCTGCCAACAAGTCGAGATTCGGTGGCTTCTTGGTAACATCATGGCTATGTGCTACTAGGAGTTCTATCACAGACGCCCGGCTTCGCTCAAAGTCCGTATCGATGGGCTTGTTCATTCGTGGCCTCGTGTAGTCTTCGCAGGTCTTTGATGAATCAGTCTCCGTATCTTTTTCTGACGTGAAGCGTAAAATGAGGATCATACCTTTTTGAAATTGGCCACCCCAGAAGGCATTAATTTATCCGCAATAACGGATGGAATAATCTGGTTGACGGCAGCCATGTAAGGGAAGAATCGTACTGCGAAAAACGTTAACTCGACTGTTTGGTATTATTTGCCAGCTTAACATGAAATCACTGACGCAGAGGGATCATCACAGATAAGCCGTCGACGGTCTCGAGGAGCTCGGGCTTGGCCTCTTGATATTCGACCAAATTTTCACAATTCCCCAGCAGCGTTCTGCCTACCACGTTGATCTTTCCCGCAGTGTCAGTATACACCACAGTGGCTTTGCGTAGGCAAACTCACTGAAAGCGCCCGGAAGAGATCGTTTGCATTGAAGGGCTTCTCCATCTCCGATTGTTTAACCATGAAGTTTTCCATCTGCCGAAGCTGTCGCAAAATCCAAGGCGCATCGGCTTCTGCGGCCTGTTTCGAAAATCGTGGGCTGAGAGCTTTACGACGGGCCCGGTGTTCCTCACGATCACATATTGAGAAAATCGAGCCGCTATTGTCGGCACAGGTATAGAAGACTTCGTCTTTTGAGAAATTTGTGCCGTTGCGGAAGATTCTGCTCATCACATGTGAGATGACACTTCTAGCCAGCTGCAAAAACAGGAGATTCTGACCTTTCGTATGCATCGATGTCCTTGACGTGAACGTGGTCCGGACCAACTCTGACGACGGGGGAATCTTGTGAGATAGTTAATACGCTTCCACTATCACAGAGGCAGTAGACATACAACATACTGTATTTTTTATGCAGATCAGGGTATGTTTTGCACCACTGACCGTCCTGCCAGACATTGGTATACAACTCGTACCACCCGCACAACGTGGCACGCCGTGGTCCTGGTATCAGTCGAAGTGGATGGAAGAATAAGCGATAGATCAGACGATGGGCAATGAAGACGGCCAAGGGCCAGAGGATCTGCCACCCTATACTGAGGGACGACCAGAATTCGCCGAACCGGGAAGTCGCCTTTGACATTGCTACCGTGGGACTCAACCAGTAGTGACCTGAACGGACTCAAGTTGTAGTACGATATCCAGATCAAAGCTTTCAAGACTTGCCTTTGCTAGACTTGAATCTTCACATGATCTCGGCTAGTGTTGCTCAGTCCCTCGTGTCAGATCAGTCGGTGAAAGTGTGCCAAAGAGCTCCATGTTCTATCGCGGTTACACAAGCCCACCCCTCGCTTGCGACAACGCAATGCGAGGCGCAATGCGATAGCTATGCGGAAGAGATGCAGGTTATGCCTGGCAGAATCTTGCAGCGAGGCATGCATTGAGTTATCGGCACTAGGCTGGGGCCGCATCGACCTGCAGAGACACCTGCGGCAGCTGCAAGGGGGGGGGGGGGGGGGGGCTGTCCCGAGAACCACGTATTCCTTACACCGCCGATGCTTGGGAGATGTGCCCACGCCATTTGCTTTTACATATCGCGAAGTATATCCAGAGCGTGCTCTCGCAGCATCCTACAAAGTGTTCCGCTCTGATATCCCCAGTTCTTGGTGGACACAGCTTTGCTCCAAACGTAACACCGCCATCATGAGAGATTCTTGTATGCTCCCCTTCACCAAGGAGCAGATCGCCACGACGGGTGAATACTGTGAAAAACGCAGTTCTCCGTTGCCAGCATCAATCCTGGAACAGATCAAGTTCACGGACCAACTGCACAAAGACGAGGTTGTTATGGCGCCTTCGGAGTCACAGTGTGCCTGGTTGATGCGCTTTACTCAAGCCCTTCGGCCCAAACGAAGTAAGTAATTGCCACGACCAGGTTCCCAAAAAAACTCGATCGAGGACAATGGACGGTGACTAAAGGGAGATGGTAACCTACAGTTCTTGAACTGGGCACCTTTACCGGTGTAAGTGCGCTTGTGTTCTACGAGGCGACGAAGGAGGCGCAGGCAGAGATAGTGAGCATGGATATGTCGGAGACATACCTTCAATACGCCCAGGATGCGTTCCGTCGATATGGGGCCGAGCACCAAATCAAGACTGTTAAGGGTCCTTGTCTGGAAATGTGAGTGACACTCACCGAATCTGTATGATCGGAATTATGGATCGGAGGTGAACTGACGGGACTGACCAGGCTGCCAACGCTGACCGGACAATTCGACCTCATCTACATCGATGCGGCGGAGGAAGAGTACGAATCATACACCCGCTATATTTTGGACCATAAACTCCTCTCGCCCCACGGAGTCATCTTAGTCGATGACGGTAAGTCTTGACCGGCTCTCTCTTTTTCGTTCTTCTCCCAGATGATGTGGCTGATGTAACCTCTCGTGTAGTACTCCTCGAGGGTTTGGTCGTCGACCCATCGATCGCCAAAAACTTCCCAGAAGAGATTCGAGAGCCATACCTCGCCATTGCAGACAAGATGGATGCATTCAATCGCTATGCGGCCAAGGAACCGCGGGTCACCACCACCATGATCCCTCTCTTCAACGGAATCACCCAAATCATGTGGAAGTAGGGACCTAGTTGTCACCTGTAGGGTTCCTGTAGCTAGTCCCAAGATGTGTTTGTGACTCAGTAATGAGATCAATCTTTTCTTCGGAAAGGTATCCTGCGATGTGCATGTTTAATTGGAAGAACGGCTCACAGCTAAGTCATTGTAGAAGCTGGTGCTTAGGCATGACGAGGATCAATGGGTTCTTATCTTTTATCCAAGTAGATTATGCCGATCAATTTCTTTAGCGTTGAACGCGCCGTACGCTCAAGTGTGTGACTCTTCCACTTTGGCTGCAGGGTTGTGAACAATCGCGGGATGGATCCCGTAGGACTCCAGAGGGCGACGGGAGGTCGGGTCCAGCCTCTTGATGAGCCGAGCAGATATCTATATGATCGATATGTCCTGATAATCTATGAGACCTTTTTGCAGATACAATCGACGGAAATTATTGTAGGAGGTGAGATGCACGGGAACCGGAGAGGAAAGAAAAGTGGCTATAACAGAAAGGGTTGGGTATATGGTCTTTGATTTGGTGCGAGAGGGAAAGAATAGATCTGATCATGAGCGCCGAATACCATCTAATCATATTGCAATTTGACACGCTCATCACTGTCTGCACTCTGCGAGCCGCTCTCTCTTTTGGACAAACCATTACTGGCTTCATTCGCCCGAGCACCCTGGACATCCCCTAGTAATGTCGCAATTCCCGTTCTGATCCACAGATGAACTATTATGTACATCAAACCCACCACGCCCGCAACAACCGCATAGGCAATCATTCCCTTTCTCAGTGCGCCTGTGTCGGACCCAACCCACCAAAATCCAAGACCGCCATTGATCGCACCAAGAGCGAGCATGGAACGGCCCAGCCATCGATGACCGAAGGCAAAGGGACTCTTCGTCCCGTTTCGCCGAAAATGACGGTGTTGAAACCAGCCGAAAGTGGGTTGAATCAGGGCTAGACTTGCCACAACAATGATACCGATGATAGGATGAGCGGCCGGTTCACTGTTTCCCTCCAGCCACATCTTCAAGCCCAGCCCAAACCCGGCAACTGCGGTTGCCAGTGCGAGCCCTTGTAGAGGTGCATGGACAGTTGTGACAGGCATGGAAATGAAGCTCGAGAGAGGAACAAGAAGAGCAAAGATAGGAAAAAGCACCACGAATGCAACTGCCATGAGGCATCCATGTGCAATCGCCATGGCGGATAGAATCTGCAATTGTGGGGTTGAAGAATCGTCCAGTGGACGGGCATTCGTGAAAGAGCCATCTTCACTGCGGAAATCAGACACGGACTGTGCGCGACTCAAGTCAACAAGAACCCTTCCAAAGGCGTCGTGGTATGCAATGCTTGCGGAAAGCTTGCCAGAGGCCAACGGCGGCCCGTTCTTGTAAGCCCAAATCCAGTTACTTGTCGAGTCGGTGGCATTGATTGTCCCACCATGAACATCAAGGCAGTTCTTGCATTCAAAGTTGGCGGTGATAGTGCCATTGGCAATGCCTGTCCCGAGAAGTATGCTGACAGGGTTGTTCGCGTCGTACTCTGGGGGTATATGACCTGTTGCCTCACGAGGGGAGACAATCACATCCACAGCGGAGGACGCGTAGGCAACAAACATGGCTGCACCAGCCATATGGCTGCCATGTCCAATACCGATCCATTGAACGGAGTTTGGAGCCTGGATTTGGAGGAGCAAGCTGTCTTGCTGGGCGCCGCTTGGGGCCTTTTGGATGGCTATGATGAAGGAGATGTCACTTCTCCCCGGCGGATTGAACCTTGCTGGCCGACTCTCCATTCCTATCACTGACCGACTAATTAGTGAACGAAAAGGCAAGAATCATAGTTGATGATCTCACACAGAGAGGCGGCGATGAGCAGCCTAATCCAGGTATAAGGATTCATCACGATGGCTGAAGCGTTACTCAGCGCTTTTGTGACGATGCACCATTCGAAGGCTGAGATTGGGGCATATGCGACACATAATTATACTACACAAAAACCGTTTCAACACTGATGATTGATGAACACTACGATTGCCCCAGTCCTCCAAACTCAGGGGGGTTTCTTTGCTGGAGAATGATTTATTGCGATCTGTTCGATCAGGAGAGAAGTTGACGACAGAACAGGATAGATGGCTGTAGAATACCATCATCCCGTGCAACATTGAATGCAAATCCCCACTCTTCGAGCAGAAAAGCCAGATCTGTTCTCGAAAGTGCAGAGAAACCTCCAGTCTCTCCAGCGGCGTCTCAGCCATTGTAGTCCCAGCACCAGTAAGGGATATGTCCGGGCGAGTCCATTTCTCAGGCATAACTTCATGATCGGTCAAAAAAGTCCAAGACATCTACTTTCTATTGATTATGGCACAGATAGAATATCCTACGTCGTTACACTACATTTGATTGCCTCGAAGATCCGCAGTGGGGACTCCCTGTTCACAAGCCAACGCCACTTGGCATTATTTCTCAGACGATCCATATCCTCACGCCTCAGTGTCACACCGACTTCCCAAGTATCATCGTCACCCCCGCGACGAGGCTTGATCGTACATACTCCTTCGGGATTCATGTACGGCAGCATCTCAAAGTCCACGACGTTCCCGAGGACCGGACCAAAGCCTTCTCCGTAAACTCCCAAGCGACGAATGCTGGTCACTGCGATGTCTGGCTCATGCACGGACGTGTTGGCCCAATCGTCGGCTGTAGATAACTGCGAGAGGTAGTCCCGTACGAGTCGATCATCAACGGTATCAAGCCGGCTTCGCAGTAATCGGGCGATAGGGGCAAGCTGCCGCGCAAAGGCTTGCTCATCAATCTCGCTTTCCAAGGGGCCTTTGTCTCCTAAATCTGCGACAGTCATTGTCTCATTTAACATAATGAAACAATTTCCCAGGTAGTGAGGTGCCACCCGAGGACAAAGCCTGCGACGAACATTCACGACCCGCTGGAGCATACATGCAGACGCGGATTGGCCCTCAGCGGATAACCGATGAGATCGAAATTGACCGAGGCAGGTCCAAAGAATGGCTGTTACAATGTCATCCTCGGATACAAATCCCGGGCTCAGACTCTGGATACACTGGCGCAATTGCTCGACTTTCGCGTTCGGGATGAAGAAATTGTAGTCGAGAAGGGATGAATCGTGCACTTCTTCATGGCCAGTCCCGGGAGCGCTCTGCAAGCTCGACGATGACAGAATCTCGCCACATCCAGGTGAGTCGCAAGCGTTGTCTCGGCCGACCGAGCCAAGGCAATTCCTCCGTGTGTTCACCTCGCATTCAATGCTGCAGGCGAGAGAATCGGCACCATTGCAGCAAGCGGCTAGGGACTCGAGCAATATTCCGATCCCAGTCCCGTCGATCACCATGTGATTGACGAACAGTGCAGCAACGATGCCATCCGCGAGGACGTTGATTTGGAAACGCATTACAGGGTGGTCGGTCGGGGATGCGGCGATATGCACAGGGGCCATGATGAGCTCTGCATTTCGGTCGTACTCTCCGAACTTGTCTCGGGCGGAAGAATCCATCTTGTGAGGCAATCGCAGATGCGAGAGGTACTGAATGATGCAGATGTCTGACTTGAGATCCCCTTGGACAGGAGGACGTACTTCCATCACGCCAACTTTGCGACCTGAAGGCTCAACACGACCATTCAGGAACGCTAGATGGCTGACTAGCCTGGCAATAGCGTTGCGTAGGATAACAAGCCCTTGTTCTGGATTACTCAGGCGGAACGAAATACTGCATCCTGCATAAAACATGGGAAATCCATAGTCGGCTGGGCATAGCTCGAAGCTCTCGAATTCGTGTGGGACTGTCATCTTTGCCTCCCGAAAGCATCAAGACGAGTACTGCCCATGACGAGCAGGGCGGAAGGTCTCCTGGCTTTATGGGACTTGAAAAAAAAAAAAAAAAAAAAACTGTCATCTATGTGGTTCTAAATCTATATCCCGAAATATTTATCGATCACACACGGTCTAAACCTCCCCGGCGAAGGGACATCTGCCTCAGCCTCGGAGGAGAGAGAGTGGCGGTCTAGCGCGTAGCGTCCTTGATTGGGTTTCACCACCGGCGCGTCAAGCTCATGCACGGCCTAGTCTGCATATTCATAGCAGAATTCATAGGCTTCAGTGCTCATCAGCTCCCGTAAGGTCCTGTTCTGTCCCAGCGCGCCCCATGTGACTTCAGTATCCAAAGTGACTTCGGGCGCATCGGGAGGATTTCCCATCACACTGGTCCCATTCAGCGCATACTGGCGGTTCTTCACATCCTGAGCCTGCCATAAGGTCCACACCCGATCCACCATCGCATGATGAAGCATAAAGGCAGGTTCCTGGGGCGCCGTCCAGAAGTCGTCCATTGCCCGCCCAAGCTGCATATGAGCTGCCGGGTGAGCACCCATAATCCCGGCTTCGCGTAGCTCCGGCCATACACTGACGTCCATGTACTGCTGTAGAGTCACAATGTCAGGAGATGACAAAAGTCGGTCAACATCGGTCTGGCTGGTAAAATCCTGAGCCATGAAGCTGTTGAGATTCCGGGTGAGACAGCGCGGCGTGTAGGCGAAAGCGTTTTTGGGGAAGACATCGCCCGAGGCCGAGTCTAAGTCGGGGAGGTTGAGAGTGATATTGGCAAAGGGTCCATTGGTGACGCATCCGCCCCCAGAGCCATTCGGGATCGTAACGTTCGTCGGTGCAAGAGTGATCGTTTCGTTGCGATTCTCAAGCGGTTCCCCATCCCCTGACAAGGATGTATCACTGCCATCGAAGAGTGGGCTCGCAGATAAGTTATTGGCGGATAGTGCCCAGTTCCAGTATCTGTGCGACAACCGGTTAAATACACTAGATTTTTCAACGGGAGAGAAAGGGGAGGACTGGCGCACTTACGGCTGATGGCCCTGGTAGCCACATTCCTCACGCAGGGCTTTCTCCCACAGCCAGACGAAACGTCGATGCCAGCCAAAGAAGATACCGCTGAGATGGATGTGGAGCGTATAGTTGATGTGGGTTCTGTTCATCGTAAGCCGTTGGCTCCCGGAGGCTCATCCCAAGAGCATTCCAGGACATCCACCTACGCTGCGAAGTCGTCCATACGGTGGCGGACACCGGGGTACTGTTCTGTGGGGAGAATCGGCGACTTCTCTCGCATGCAATGGACGCCATCAATATAGTCGAGACGTTCTTGTCGTGAAAATTTCCCCCTATTTCATCTCATTAGCGAACTCGATCGGGAAGTTTCAAATGACTGAACAGACCATTCTCGACGTATAGCTCGATTTTCAGGGGTGCATTCATGGCCCAACACGGGGAGGACGAAGAGGAACCAAAAGTACAACATGGCGAGTCGGTACACAGCACCTGTGCTGAGTGGGAAACCCTTTCTAGATAAATTGCGGAATGGCTGAGCTTCGTGATATATGAAGAATTCTTGCCAATTCAAGCAACAATCCGCTGCGTCGTACTCGGCTTGGAGCTTTCTTGTTCCTGCACCGTAGACATCGTCCATTGGATCTAGGTATTCATGTATCCCTTACCTGAAGATCGGCGTATATGTGGGAATCCTCTACTTTGCCTCTTGTCAATTCACGTAGGTAAGGGTCACGAAATCGAGAATGCCATCATTTATTTGTCATCATTTGACTGCCTGTCTTTGATGTATCGCTGTAGTTCAGCCCTGAGGTAGCACAGCATTCCTGGCCCGAAAAAGTCTTAAGGGGACCTTGCAAAAACCCACAATAGGTATGCCTCAAGTTCACCGAAATCTCCTAACCCTCCCGTCCACGCAATATACCGGTCTGGACGCACCAGGACAAGCCCACCATCCTTTGGGTCAACCCCGAATTCTTCGCATACAGACCGTTCGTCGATGAAGATTCGCGTATAGTCCCTCCCGGTAACCGGGTCACAAGGTTGGAATAGCGTTGGAAATTCTGTCAGCTCAACACTTTCCCACTTTGCACAGTGGACCAACAGAGTTTCAAGAACCCCGAACGTTGCATCTCGTAGACCTTCCAGTTGTTTGGCCAGTGCATGGACGCGACCCATCTGCGCGACCGAGGACGCTTCCCCGGCAAAGACGACCATGTGCCAAGCTCCACTCGACTTCATTACGTTGTGGAGATGGACGGATCTGCCCGTGGCATGGTTGGTGATGGCCAACTCGGGCAAGCATTCGCCAGGCCGGAAGCACCCGAAACCTTGCGCTGAAGAAGAGGTCAATAGTGGATCTGCATAGCGGATAGCGCGGCCCCCTAAGAAGACCCGCAGATCGTCGGCTCTCTGCAGCAAGGATGGAGTCTCCTGGCCAAACTTGGCGCTGAAGAGCTCCAGCGTGGTTCGGTCGGCCTGAAGCAGTTGCTTGGCAACTGCTCCTCTTTCAGTGGCGTAGGTTGTAAGAATGTTCGGATTCAGGTGTTTCTTGATGACACCGCCCAGCTTCCAGGCCAGGTTGTACGAGTCCCTGAAACACTTCAGCGGGGATGTTCTGCAGGCAGCTGGCCTCGTACTCACTGGATGCTTGTGTTCATTCCCATTCCAGTGACTGGCGAGTGTGTATGGACAGCATCGCCGACCAAAAAAACAAGATTGGACTTGGTCAATGCGGTACTCAGTTTTTGAGTGGCTGTGAATGCAGACCACCTGCTTCTAGTCAGCATTCGCCCTGGACTATCTCGTCCGGGCCACAGAACTTACCAGACTTGCCGGTGGACATCCAGCTGCGTCCGACGAGTATCAGCATAAGCATTCAAGCCAGGTGGATGAAGATCTGGTGACCCACCTTGTAGGGTCGAACCATATACTGGCACTTTTGGATAATCAAGTCCGGAGTGATATCCTCTCTGCAGATGTGCTTCCATTCAGGCCCCTTGTTGAGCTCAACGTACATTCGTATGAGCCCTTCTTCTCGCCGCACGAAGTCCACCGATCCATCAATATCGCTGCGTATAATTGATGTCGCGGCGAAACTAGCATCACATTGCAATTAGCATGTAGATCTTGTTTTGCTTTCCTCCGAGCCAGTATCCTGGGGTACCTACTCTGGAAAGTCCGAGCTCCCTGCAAAGTCCATGACTCCCCATATTGACGTGCCTTGCACCCCATCCATGCCAATGTCGAGTACTTTACGCGTCATTGATTTTCCACCATCGGCCCCAATCACGTACTTGGCCCTGATGATTTCTTTTTCAATGGTCCCATTCCGCAGCTGTTGAACCTGGGCTGTACAGGCAAATCCCTCAGGATAGCCAAGCTGAGCGGTGTCGATATTCAACTCGCAGAGGGTTGTGTGGTATCCAACGGTGATGCCAGCGATCTCTTCGATCCGCTGTTTCATGATCTCTTCCACTGTTCCCTGCTGAAGGGTTCCATGTGTCCACCTAGGATATTGTTAGGAGCTCTGTATTCCTTCCCTATGTCCCGGCACAGAGGCGAGGAGGGACGCACCGGACACCGATAGGCGGCAGATTCAGATATCGATCTGTTCTGACAAGCTTCCCATCCAGTCCCCTGTACCAAATGGTCTCGTGTGTTGCCGGTTCCCAAAGGTTAGTGATCCGATCATGGATACCCCAGCTTTCAAAGATTTCCATGGTCTTTGGGTTAAGGCTGCGGCGAAATACTGGATCAGTCTTCTGTCTCTCCCCGTAGGGTAAGGTCAATACTCAGGTTGACTCACCCATCAGCTTGACCTACTCTGGGCTCGTCTGACCGTCCATCGATGATACGAAAAGATATTCCTAACTGGGCCAGCCATAATGCGGCGGCCAATCTGAGCGGAACAGAGTCAGTGCAAGGCTAAAGGCATAAAGTTGATATATGAGAGGACATATATCAAAAAATCAGATAGGTTAGCCTCACCCGGATGGACCCTGTGAACGTCGCGGATTAGTTGACTTTGATAACCGGTACCGAAAAAAGATACACATACAGCGCCGACAATGAGCACCTCCGTGCTGCTGTTTGAAGCGGTCATTGTTCCTCCGAAACTCCGAGTTTGTGCCGGGGCAGTAATTTGAACAGAGTCGACGAAAAATGACAATGTTTTCTAACCTCTTGTTATCTGGCTGGAGTTGCCTTAAAAGAAGGTACGCACACCTTGTAAATGGTTCATCCAAAATGGCGGTGAACGACCTGATTATGCAGGTATGGAGTGGTCGAGATCTTGGGTACATGGTTGCATGAGGCCTTGAGCTTCAACCTGACATGGAATGGAATGACAGGTCAGAGGATGTTCCGTGGGGCGGTTGCACGGCTCTACACGGTTTTTTTGCGTTAACTCTCGTCCAATCTTCTAACTGACATCGCGACCTTATCACTAGCCAGGATCATCACTCACGAAGCAATGTGTGAGAGATATATCATTCGAAAGCCGAAGTCATGATACGGCTAATTGGAAACTATCCCTACTATGACTACTGCAAGTGAAAGTGCTTCCGGAACCAATCCTCGACCGACATCAACTTCTGCTCCTGCTTCCCCCGCCCCAAGGCGGTCGCTGTGAGCTGTTTCAGCTGACCAGCCGTCTCATTCTCGGAGGGGTCAGGCCCAAAGTAGCGTCCCTCGTTGCTCTGCGTGAATCCGAACATGGCTTTGGTATCATCTAACTCCCGGATCCCATGAGTATTGAAATCCTCCCAGGACGGCAAGGGTTGGAAGCGGGATTTCCGGCCGCTGAGCTTCTCGAAGGTGGATACGAGATCCTCAAAGCTGCAGATATCACTGCAGCCATGGATAACTTTGTGACTCCACCGGCCAGGGTCGAGGAAAATGCCGTGGACAATGTCCCCAAAGTCATCAGTCATGCTAATGAAGGGTACCTCTTCCTTCCCGCCCCACTGGGGAGCAATGAAAGTGAGATAACCTTCAGCATCTGGTATGTGAGGAAATCCACCAAAGATTGGTGCTATCTCCTTGGACAAAAAGTTTTCGAAGAACCAAGCTGCACAAATGAAGCTCACCGTTTCAAATTCTCCATTTGAGCGGGCGTACTGTTCGATTTTGTACTTCACTGTATATTGGGTTGGATTTAGAACAGTACACCGCAAGTGACGGAAAGGAGGTATCGACACGCACTGTCTGCGGCATTCATCTTAACCTTGCCCTTGGTAAGGGTAAGGCAATCAGGACCGGAGCTAAAGATGAAATGTCGAACTCCGGCCTTGGCTGCTGCGTCGACGATGGTCTTGCCCATATCAAATTCTGTGGGGCCATCCGGCTTGAATGACTGGATGGTGATGAGCTCTCGTTGATTTGGAACCAGCGAGGGATAGTCGAAAAAGCGCATACCTTGTCATCGGAATTAATATTCACAAACACACCCCACGTGCCCGAGAAGGCTTGTAGCATCGATTCGCTGCTGAAGCCATCGGCTTGCTGAACCTCAGCCCCTAGGGAAGCCAGCTCCTGGCTCGCTGCCGAGGAAGGGTTGCGAGTCAGGGCTCGCACCTTGAACGAGGGGTTCTGAAGAAGAGATTTGGCGACGGCACCACCTTGGTTCCCGGTAGCGCCGAAGACAGTAACAAGAGGAGTTGAAACCGTCATGATTCAAAGTCAACTTGAGGGCTGCAAAACAAATGTCAATGTTGAAATAAAAGGCTTGCGATGGCCGCCTTCATACCCTAGATATATTCTCATCTCTGCTCCAAGAGTACAAAGTAACGTGGCGAATGCTCTGGCGTAATTGTAGCGGTGAGGATTTACTTGAACATAGCGGTGAAGTATTTTCTAGATGTTCCAACATTTCGTATGATCAATTGTAGTACTTACTTTGAAATATAGTTCATAGGTAGGTTAAGATAGTGATACACTACATGCGCGGCAGTAGAGTAGATACCATTTGCCACAACTTAGTAGGTACTACCTACCTAGGGTACGGTAGAGGTGCTTGATCCAGGGGTGATGACACCCACGCAACTGATACATCCACAGGCGCCCAACCCTTGCTCTTCAGCCAAGAGATGTTAGGTCCACTTCCGACTTTCGATGTTACGCAGCTTTTGGTATCCTGATCGATTTCCCAATCCCTTCTTTCTTTAATGAAGACTGTTCACGTCTTCGATGCCTCTTGTGTTGACTCCTGTGCCTTGTCCTTTCCTTCGGTGTTTTCTCGTAAGGATTGAGATCTTCGAAGTCTAGATTCGTCTTCCCTTGCTACGTGCATAAGACACCGCTACTCTTCACTTCTGGATGCTGTTTCACGGAAGTTGCTTTTTCGGATTCGCTCGGCCCGGGCCTACGATGTACCAAACCGGGCATTCCGACAAGGTTGCTGATCGACGTATGGCATGGAATTCATTTGCGCGCGGAAATACTATACTACCTCGGGTCTTGGATCTGATGCAGATTTGCTAGATGGATGAGGGCCATTACGGGTCTCCTTCTAAGCCTAGACCAGGAATATTCAAGGCTTCTATCCCTGCATTGCTTATTCTTCAGATCAGCATTTCTCGGCATGTATAACACGAGTAGGGTATTACACGAACTCATGTAAGGGAGAGGCATTGTACGTGACACAACTTCAATAATTATGCCAGTTCTACAGCGTGACGGAGAAATCGGTGATGGAAAACGATGGTTCAAAGGACAAAGTACAAACATTTCCAAATACGAAAGCATTGATCAAAAGCCGGAGTCAAGGACTTATTAAGCTTTCACCGAGTCAGGGAACTCTCGACAAAAGAATTGAAACCATCTGAACACTGGATGATTATGGGGTCAATTGAACAGTCCTTCTCTGTCTACGATGAGGCCATTTCTCGAGACGATGGGCTGGGTCAGATCTTCTATCAGCGCCTGCTTGAGAACCCATATGCCCAAGCCATTATCAATGAGAAGGGCCAAGGCCTCACTTACGAGCAACTGCACCTCAAGGCGACGGAGCTAGCCGAGGCTCTTTCTCAGGGACCCTTCAATGCTCAAGAGCGTGTTGGCATCATTGTCCAGCACGGACTCTTAGACGCTGTCACGCAGGTGGCCATCATCTACGCGGGAGGCACATGTGTCCCTCTGGATCCTCTTCTGCCAGACCAGCAAATTATAGCCCGTCTGAAACGACTCGGCACTCGATATGTCTTGGTCGACGAGGCCAATCGCCATCGCAGTCTACCTTTTACAGTACTCCCTGTACCAGAGGTGCTTCATAAACCGTCACCTCCTACGACAGCAGCGGAGGCTCTCAAGTTCCCAGTTCCAACGACTCTCGCCCACTGCACGCACCTTATCCACACTTCTGGTACAACCAGCCAGCCAAAAGCCGTCCAGATCGCAGCCCGGTCGATACTCCATGTGGCGCATCACGCTCCTTCTGAGGCCGTTCGCAGGTCTGACGTGGTGGGTCATGGCAACAACACCAGCTTCGATGTCGCCTTGTTTGATATTTGGGGAGCCCTTCTGAACGGTGCCGCAATAGGCGTTCTCAGTAAGCCCACGTTGCTTGACCCTCCGGCTTTGGGCGCCAGTATCCGCCAACTTGGAATCACCATCATGGCAATCACTGCTCCACTTGTGAACCTGGCTGCAACGACACACCCGGAAACGTTCCGCCCTCTCAGGTGTGTCCTCATGGGCGGGGAGGCGGTTAATCTTCGTGCGATGAAGGCCATTCTCACCGCTGGCCCACCGAAACAGCTCATGAATGCTTACGGTCCCACGGAATGCTGCGTTTACTGTCTCACACACGAGATCACCATGGATGATGTCAATGCTGGACATGTCAGCATTGGCGTTCCGGTCGGGCGAAACGTCTGCTGCGTCTGCGATGAGCAGGGTCGTCTCGCTGTCGCGGGAGAGGAGGGAGAACTGCTCGTGGGCGGACCGGGCGTCTCCCCGGGGTATGTCAACCAAGCGCAGAAGAATGAGGAGGCCTTCGTGTTTGTTGCTGGCATGGTTGATCCTACTACGGGTGAGCCCTTTCGAATGTACCGTACTGGGGATATAGTACGACTCAGATCTGATGGAGAGCACGAGTTTCTCGGCCGGCGTGATCACCAAGTCAAAGTTCGCGGATACCGAGTCGAGCTGCCGGCTGTTGACTCGACGTTGATGAAGACGGGTCACTTTGCCGAGGGGTTCGCGATGCCCATACACTCGAAGGAAGATGGGGCCGGTGCAGCGCTGGTCGCATTTGTGGTGCTTCATGACAAGGCTCAACCCGATGCGGTGGATGAAGCCATAAAGTCCATGCGGGCAGCTCTTCCAGAATACATGGTCCCACACATAGAGGTTGTACCGGAGATCCCTCTCAATGCGCACGCCAAAGTCGATCGCAGAAAGCTTGAGGAAATGTACCACTCGCGCCGAGAGAAACGGCTCTGTGCTCTTCATGGAGACACGAATGCCAAACCCGACTCTACTAGCACGCGCGAGCATCTCGCTCGGCTGTGGGCTATGATTCTGGCCACTCCAGCCCCTGACTACTCCGATGACGACGACTTCTTTGCTCTGGGAGGTACATCTTTGCAGGCGTCGTTGCTCATCAGCCGTATTCGGCAGCAGTTGCATGCTGAGCTCTCTTTGCTGACCCTGTATGACCATTCTACCCTTGGTCGGCTTGCCTCCATCATCGATCTGAACCGCGGAACATCCATGCAGACTATCCGACGGGAGTGCGACCTGTGGGTCGCTGACACAAAGCTAGGGGATGAGCTTGAGCTTCCTTGGGAGCCAGTTGTTGACTGGCGGCGTGATACAGAAGGCAGGGTCTTCCTGACCGGGGCCACCGGGTTTGTCGGAGCGTTTTTGTTGGCAGAACTTCTCGCTTTGCCGGAAGTATGCCAGGTTGGTTGCCTTGTCCGTGCATCTTCTGCCGCGGCAGGATTGGCAAGACTTCGTGAGGCTTTGAACAAATATCATCTTTGGCAGGATGGCTTCTCATCGAAACTTCTGGCTTTGCCGGGCTCACTTGAAGACACTTGGCTCGGGATGGATGAGGATCGCTTTGGTGAGGTTGCACACTGGGCGAGTGTGGTTTTTCATCTCGGAGCGCGAGTCAACTACACCCAGCCTTACTCTCTGCACCGGCCCGCAAATGTCATTGGGACGTTGAACATTGCTCGTTTCGCGATCACGGGTCGCGTTAAGGGACTTCATTACTGCTCTAGCATCTCCTGCTTTGGCCCGACGGGATTCATGACTGGCGCCCAGACTGTCTACGAAGACGCGCCGTTGTCCGCGCATTTGGACGCACTTCCATACGACCACGGCTACGCCCAGAGTCAGTGGGTCTCCGACGAGTTGTTACAGCGGCTTGTCAGACGTGGTTTCCCCATTGCCGTCTATCGACCGGGTTTCGTGACTGGAGACCGCAAGACCGGAGCATGCAACCCCGATGACTTTTTCAGTCGCCTCATCCGCGCCAGTGTGGACCTGCGCTGCTACCCCGACCTGCCCAACCAGCGCAAAGAATTTGTGCCCGTCGATTACGTGGTGGATGCGATGTTACATATCTCCGCCTCCGTTTTCTCGTTGGGTCATTCCTTCCACTTGCTCCCGAGACGCGCTGTGTCTATCGACATGACGGAGTGCATGGACCTAGTCGCTCAAGCCAGCGGGGTTAAGATCGAGAGTGTGAACTACGAGGATTGGATTGAGCGTCTCTCGGTCAGCTCGCACGCCAGTCTCTTGCCCTTGCTCCCGATGCTGGCGGAAAAAGTCCACAACGGATTGAGTCGTTGGGAACTTTACGAAAATATGCCCACGTACGATGACACAAACACTAGAAGGGCGCTTGATACGTATCCTGGCGGATTGACGTGCCCACCATTTGACTCGGACCTCATGAAGAAATACGTTCGTTACCTCACTGGTGCTTGATACAAGAGGCTTTGTATGTCGTTGCCAGCCCTTTTGTTCAATATCGGGTCTCTTTTTCTTTTTTTCTGTCGATGGGGAAGACATGTTTTGATAGCACGTGGTAATATTTAGAATACAATTTCATGTGCTCAACCCTCCATTTGGACCGATTTACCAAATGATTTCGTCTTTGTTCCTCTCCACATTACGTGACAACTAGTAGAAGGTTGCTCGGTCAGACTATCGTAATTTACCTCAAAAGCAGGAATCTTCTATTCCCTAAATATGCAAGGCCATTCAGTGTGCTGGGTCGGGTGCAATGAAGAAGTCATACCGTCCATGCCGGGCAGTCATCCTGTGGTAGTCACCGTAATCTTGCCACAGAATCAATGGATTCCTTTACATTGCTATGACACAGCGCACTTGGGTAGATCGCGCTTACCTTGAATGCATGACTTGTGATTGTTGACTAGGGCTGCTTGTTCAGGCAGATTGGACTTTGAATATGGCTCGTCCTCGGAAATTTCAGCTAATGAGTATTGAGTGCCACCATTGCTAGAAATCAATGCTTCCACGGACCTCCAGCCGGTCGTCTTCTCCGCAAGAAACAGTAACAGAATCGAACTGAGGGAAGAAGTAGAAGAGGAGAAGGAGGAGGAGAAGGAGGAGGAGGAGGAGGAAGAAGAGGTCAACTTGAGAGGTATGGGGAGACTGCGTGGAGAGATTTCAGAACAGATAGAATCACCGAATCCTACCCAAATTCACACAAGTTCGAACCAGATATTTCATTTTTGCATATCCACAGTGAAGTCGATGAATATCAAGTCTGGCGGGACGGCCAAGTGCCACTCCGATTATGAGCCGCGTCTATTCCTGGTTGACTTTTTCTCGACTTGCACGAATAATGCGTGCTGGTGGCTTTCAAGTATATTGCTGCGCGGGATTTCTTGTTTCATTTATCACCAATCCGGGTAATCTCCTGTTACATGCGCATACCGCTCTGCTTTCCACACAAGACAGTTTGACGAATGGTCTCGGTCTCCATACCGGCGCCCTCAGTATTGAAAAGCGCAGTCCTGCTTTGCACTTGTTGGCCAGCGGACCGGTGACTTTTTGTAACGTTGACCTTGTTCCATCAAGGCCTTCAACAACCTTCTCTTTTAGCCTGTCTCGTGCTGCGGAGGCGGTAGCCTGAGCTGCGTCAACAGGTGCCCTTCTCGCCAGTGCGGCCGTGATCGGCTGGAAAATCTTTGACGGCATAGTTGGATGGGACTTTGGTGGTTCTCCATCCAAGCCAAACCTCGGAGTCCCAACAAAAGTGGCGGGGCAGTTTTCATATAGCCAGTGGCCGCTCCTTGACTTTAGCGGTGGCACAATAACGAGTACCTGCAACTGTGCGGTCAGATATACATGTCCATATGTCATGGGTTAGACTGAAGCGTGTGATAACCAAAAGTGAACTATCGACAAGCTGCGCTGCCAATCGTGAAAACTGTCCATCGGCCATTGGGTTTCATCCCCCGACGCTAATGCATTGGTGGTCACTTCAGCTCTTGATTTAGTTGCAGATCTTCCCACAGCTATCTCCGTCGTAGCACCCACAATTCATGATATATGCCGCCAAGCCAGGCTCGAGATGTCAACCCATCATGCCGCACAAGGATCATTTCGATTAATCAAACAGAGGTTGCCAGGCAAGTGACAGTTAGCAGTCGAGTCTTGCATAATAGCACCGGCCTCAGACCTGGGCGCCCATCTGATTGGATCAGCTTAAGCGCCGAACTAATTCCTTCCATTCAGCTCAAGTAGCCGACCTGATGTTGGTATAGTGGTTCATTGGTAAGCATTGATTGGGAAGCTACTAGTCAGATTTAAAGGCAGTCAAGGCTATTACTTTTTCTCGTGAGGCATATAAATATGAATGGTAACCGAGTCAAAGTACCAAGCGTCACTAAAATAAGAAGGCCTCGTTCAACGGTTAGACACCGATTTCCTTCAAATCAAGTGAGTATTTAGGAGTATCATGTTCATTTTGCAATCGCTCACCTCATAAATGTTTTCTCGCCGATCAGATACCACCCCAATATAATGCCAGATCCAAAACTATACGTTGTGTTTTACCGCCCTCGCTACGGTAATTATCAACACTGGGCTTTATATGTCGACGATGACCACGTGCCGATGATCTTTGAAGTCATTGGACAGCATCCGAACTTCAAGCGCAACGTTGTGAACGCCAAGGCTGAAAAGTCTACAAGCTTTCTGGGCAAGGAATTCGTTGGATATATCGGGAAAAATGATATTGAAAGAATCAAAGTCGTCGCGTCAACGATTCATGTGGACAACGGGACAGTGGAATGGGACTGCCAGGATTACGTGCTTGAGATCCTTGATAAACTGGAAGATGACTTTGTTTTGGATACGGACGATGAAGATTATTCTCGAGCGCGAAGCATCTTGAAAGGGAAAAGGGGTGCAATTGTGTAATGATCTCATTGTATGGGAGCTATTCTGAATATGCTTCGGCGGCGGCTCATACAACTCTAGTTTCCCTGACTCGATCGAAAAGCCACCACTGAGCATAGGTGTTTGGTGAGACACATTCTGGCAGATATAAAAACCAGTCATCTTCCTCGTAAGGGCTGAGGCAGTTTGTGCACCGTACAGATTCATAATAGTCAGGGTAGAAACCACTATATTCCCAGTCAAGGATTCCAGAAACAATGTACTTTTTGTTTTCGTCCAATTCAACCATGATATTATCCGGCCTTATGTCTCCATGTGTGAAAACGATGCGAGGGCCCGTATGGTCTGTGAGAGATGGTGATAATCGACGGAGAAACTCAACGAACACACTGCCGCCTGGATGCGAGCTCGCGAACAAGAATGTCTCGAAGTCTTCAAGGCTGGTGATAGGTGTCTTGCTCGTTCGAACATGTCTCCTGAGATCTCTGCAGCCTTCACCTGCGACTCCTCCTAAAGGAGACCCTTCTGTAAAAGGAAGAGTTCTTAAATCTTCTAGGATTGTGTTGAGCTGATTGCTCAGGGAAGTTTTTTGACAAGAGTCGAGCGTATGCCAGACTTCCCCAAGCGGCGCAGAACCCATGTAGCTCATGAATATCAAAGTGATCCCGCTCATACGCACTAAGCCAAGAGGCTTTGGTGCTGGAATATTCGACTTATGACGGTCAAGATATTGTAAAGCGGTATATTCGGTGTAGTGCTCCATGTTGCGAACCGCTTTAACAACAATTTCTGCGGAGCATTTGAACACTCCTTTCTGTCGAGCGAAGGGAGCTTTCCAGAGGATTTCACTATTCTCTAGAACCTCAAACAGCCTTTGAGAGAGTCCGACCGGTAAAACCTCCGCGGTTTGTGACACCGGCTCGATTAACTTTTCAACCGCATCTGAGAGAGGAAACACAATTTCAACCGGGTCTGATGGGCAAAGGGAGCGTCGGATATCTTCATCGCCCTCGACAGAATCCGGTTGATTATATTTGATTTTCTCTGGCAGATGATGACGTTAGCTATGCGAATGACGAGAGACTGAATTGCGGTACTGTGATACTTACTCGGAGAGCTTTCGAGCGGTTTTCTCATTTCCATAAGACGTTGTGTATAATCCGCGGGGAGTCGCTCGACCAAGTTGATCTCCGGGTCTTCCGTTATTGCGGCTTGTAACTTTTTCAAAACATGGACATTAAATCTCGCGGCTTTAGACTGGCGGCCATGCTGAGCCTCTAATTCAAATGCCCTTTTTCCTGACATCTTGCAGGACGATAATTTGAAGCCTTCCGATCAAAAAGAATAGGTCAGAATGAATGATTATTTAGGATACCTGGAGAACAAGGGAGGACATGGTTAAGTAAAAGGGAAGATGAGCGAGAAATAAGAGGGTGGTTTGAGAAATGTCGCTGTGGGTTCTGGCACAGTAGTCAGCCAATGGAATCGCTTCTCTGGTCAACACTAAAACACGACCGGAGGTACGAACTTCATTCGCCAAGGAAAATAAACAACCTGGCCAGTCAGGTACACCCCCTATGAATAAGTTTGGACACAACGGGTATTTTACCGCAAAAGTGGCAATATTCGAATGCAGATATCTCAACAACTTTGTAGTAAACCCTACTTTAAATGTTGCTTCTAACTTTAGGAATTCCATTAAGGTATCTATAGATTCTAAAAGCGTCTGTCGAAATAGTACTTGAGACGACTTATACTCGTCAAAAAAGAGGCTTATAAGTTGATAAAGTATCTTTAACTAGTCACCGCATACAAAAGATCCCGCCAAGACCTCGCGATTTCAGGCCTTCAAGAGTCTATCCCCTCGTCCGTCCGGGAAGCAAAATTAGCGTAGTTTACTAGGCCATACTGGCGCATGCACGGCTACGCGTACCCATTGGCCAATCACGGTAACAAGCCAGTAAGGTAATCAATTAGGCCTGATTTGAACTATCATGAAATTCCACCCAACACTGGCCTTTCACACATAGTGTAATACCACATTCAAAGCAACCAGATCTCGATCGTTTAGCCTGTTGACCCCTTTGACCCTTCTGCCTTGTATATTGACACCAAACATAAGCCTTTTGCTTATCGAATTGAATTCGCCGGTGGTTTATATCAGGTACCGGGGTTGGTGTTGGTGTAGGTGCAAAGGCAAAGAGCTGCTTGTAGAGCTTCCTCCGAAAATCTAGTTGACTAGATAGCTCACTAGCCCCCTGCTGCTTCTTGTAGACAGATTGAATGCGGAAGGCATTAACAATTTTAGCATCAAGAAAGAAGAAAAGAAGCGGAAACTAAGTACGCTCGCTCTTCCGATGAATCTCATAAGAAGATCTGTACTGATTTGTAGTACCTACCCCACCCATATAGTGATTGTAGTCATCAATCGTAGCAGGAATTTCAAGCTCCTTTATTATCTCATCACCGAAAGGGGCACGCGTAATAGCCGCATTCGTAGAGGTTGCCGATGGCCGCTTCCGCTTCGTAGGAGTGTGTATCTCTGGCGAATGGATAGTAGATAGTAGTAGTACTATATTATTATCCTGCCAAGCAAGACAGAGTATTCCTCCCGCTTCAGACGTATATAAACTGCCCTATGGGATTAATTTAATATGATCCTTTAGCTTAATAAGCTGAGAACGTAACTAAATAACGTAATTCCCGGCTTCGCGGCACACCCCACTGAGAATCGCGTCCAACTACCTACCTACCTTCTTCAACCATCTACCATGCCACCAATTCGCACTGCATTTCAACAGAAATTAGCCAATCAAGAGGGCAAGATCTTATTAGCCCTTGGCGATATCAAAAACGGCCGTATCGAATCGATTCGCGCAGCTGCAAAGCTATACGATATACCCTACCGAACTCTCGCTGCACGCGCGAGTGGGAGACAGGCACGCGTTGATCAACGCCTATCTACCTATAAATTGACCGAAACCGAAGAGGATTCGCTAGTTGAATGGATCATCTCTCTAGATGCGCGTGGAGCAGCGCCTAGGCCGGCTACTGTACGAGAGATGGCCAATATCCTACTAGCCGCCCGCGGTAGCCAGCCACTACCTACTGTTGGTAGGAATTAGCCATCAACCTTCATCAATCGACGCGAAGAGATTCGATCGCGTTTCTCTAGGCGATACGACTATCAACGCGCCCTAAACGAAGATCCAAAATCGCTACGAGCGTGGTTTACGACCGTACAACGCGTGATCGATGAGAACGGTATTTAACCGCAAGATATCTACAACTTCGATGAGACAGGATTTGTAATAGGCCTTATATCAACACAAAAGGTTGTTACGCGAGCTGATTACTACGGTCGGCGATCGATACTATAGCTAGGTAATCGCGAATGGGTCACTGCTATCGAAGTAATTTACGCTGATAGCTATTCGCTACCGCTATGTATGATTTTTAAGGGTAAGGTTGTAATCGCTGGTTGGTTTAATAACCTACCACAAGATTGGCGATTAGAGGTCTCGAATAACAGCTAGATAACCGATGAGATTAGCCTACGTTAGCTACAGAAGCTATTTATCCTATTAATAAATCCGCGCGTTATTAGCCGATTTCGGCTACTAATGTGAAGGGCTAAAGCAAGACTTAATTTAATCTAACTAGGCTAATATACTATTTATAAAAAGCTTAAGGAGGGGAAGTTTATTCCGTGCGTTCTCCGCGTTAATATACTAAGGTCTCGTGATATACGTGACCTATATCGGGTACTAGCCTATAATAATACCCTCCTCCTAGTCTTAGTCTTATTAGGGGTATAACGATATAAGCTTCGGTACCGATTTACTAGCGAATTACGTCCGAAATAGTACTATACTACTTCTTAAAGGTATCTAAGATACTATAATCCTATACTAAATCTAGTACTTCCTATATCTACTCTGCCTATCCTCTCTATTTTACTAGTACTTTATTACGATATCCTTACCTAATCTTCCTCCGTTAGATAGCTAAGATCTACTTAACCTCGTATTCCTCCTCTCTATTAACTAGTAAAGGCAGTAGCTATAGATTATTTACTAGCTAAGATAGAAATAGGTCCGTCGCTACTAGACAAACTAACTTAATATAGAATACTAGATATATACCGGTAGATATATCTAGTCGGACTATAAATAGTAACGGAACGTTAACTACTCGGTATCGAGTATATAGCTAATCTAACTTCTTTAATAGTTATTAAGTATATATATTCCGAAGGTTTAGCTAAACCTAGTTATCCTTCTTATAGATAGGTATAGCCTATCGGCGCCGGTTCGCTTATTCTTCTTAAAGGGTCTATATAGAAGCTATAGCGGCCTAGATCTAATCGGTAGCTTCTCGTAGGTAATTCGCGAATATTTCGCCTATCTTTTATAGGGATATTAGGGCGTCTTCTAGTTACCCTACTTTATTAATACTAATCGGGTTAATATAATAGCTATAGATAAAGAAGAATAGCGAGATTCCGGTTAAAGTAGTATTACGATTATTAATTACTATAGTAACTATTAGTAGTAGATCCTTCTAATTATCCTATATATATATTATAAATATATATAGGATTCGTTTAATCTCCTAATAAGTACGTTCTATTACGCCGTCGGTCTAGGGGTAAAAAGTAGTAGATAATCGGTATTAAATCGATAGCCTTTTATATACTCTTTCCTAGAAAGAACTTATAAATTAGGGGCTATAGTTGCTTATAATCGTTAGTAGTATCCTATAATATATAGAAGTATATAAGGAATACCTCCGCTATATCTTCTATCCTTATATTCTTTATTCTAATTAGAACTACGCTCTTTATTAACCGGTTAGTTATAACTATATAATTTATTACTCTTATAGGACCGGAGGATAGTAGCCCGATAATAAAGTCTACTAATATCTCGGTCTAGATTTACTATATAATTAGTAGTAGCTTTAATAGTCTATACTTTATATCTCGCTATACTAAGCTCTATCCGTAGATTATATAATTTTATAGAAAGCGTCGTATATCCTTTACTACTCCTAGCTAGAAGAACTATTGAGATAGTATCGAATAAGTAGCGTCTTACCTAGGATATACTATAATATATAAATCGTGAACTTTCTGTATAATTTCTATACGTAGAATCTTACTCTCTAGAATCTAAACCTATTACCTAAAATAGAGTATCCCCTACTTATCTAAATAGTACTCTAATAGACTTATCTTAATATTTATTTTAGCGGTAATTCGGCGCTCTTCCGTTAGTAAGATATAGGAGATTTATTAGTAGATCGGATCGGATATCCTTACCCTTTTCTATTCTATCTAAAGCTCTTCTTCTTCGAAGAGGGGGATATTTCTTTTAAAATCGATCTCTCTAATAGATTAGTTATCTACTAGTTAAGGATCTAGTCGTCCTATTTTAATCTTAATCCTTTTAAGTAGGACTTAGAAGTAGTTCGATAGTCTTTTATCGGTAATACTCTATAGTATATCTTAGCTCTATTATAATAGTATATCTAGTCTTACTATAAGCTTATCTAGGCGATAGCGGAGATTAAAATCGAATTCTATTAGGAGATCTATCTAGTATATTTACTATTTATTAAGGTATTATACTTTACCGAAGTAGCGAAGGTTCTTATAGTCTATTATAATAGTAAATTAGAGTACTATCTTTAGTTCCGGTCTCTATTCGCGTAGGGCCTATATAATCGCTAGGAGCTCTTTATCGTAGATTTTATAGTTCGCTTCTACTAGGAATAGCTTCTAGGATAGATAAGCGTATAGCCGTAGTTATCTATTAGGCCTATATTACGATAGAACTATCCTAGTAGTCTAGCTAGAAGTATTAGTTTCTATGATTATCTAACGATCTTTCTTAAAGTAAGCGAGGATCGGTATATTTATAAAGAGTTCCTTTAGTTCTATAAAGACTAGTTAGTAGTTATTATCCTATTCGAAGATAGCGTCTTTCTTTATAAGCTATATTAATAGTACTAAAAGGTCGGCGAATCGAGGTATAAATAGCCGATAGAAGTTCGTAAACCCGATAAAGCTTTATATATCCTATATTAACTTCGGTCTCTCCTATACTCTAATAGCCTCTATCTTCTTTAGATTAATATAGATCCCTTTTCCGGCTTCGATAATAAAGCTAAGATATTTTACTAAGTCCTATTCGAACTCCGACTTTATAATATTATATTATAGACTAGTATCTATTCGCTTCTATAGTATATTACTAACTTTTTAGCGGTAATTCGCGAGCGTTCTATTAGTATAGATTATT